TTTCAACCTAACATAATGCCAGCCACCTTAGTGATGAACCCAGGTGAGCTCCCAAGAGCTCGGAGTGCTTCCCTGGTTCCTAGGTTCATCCAGGACTCAGCGGGAGGTATTGTGTCATTCTGAGGGGTGGGTGGCTTGAAGGGCCAGTGCCGGGCCTCCTTTGTGTGAAGCCCCTTTCCGGGGGTGGGGCAGGTGTGCAGAAAGGTAAGGTCTTCTCCTGCCCAACAGTGGCTGAGGCCAACAACTGCCCTAGGAGCTCAGAGGAGAGGAGCCCTCTTCAGGCATGTCATGCAGGTTGAGTTCTGACAGCCTATTGCTGCATTAGGTGGCAGAAACGGGTTTGTTCCTGAATCTGGTGGCACTGAATGTGGGCACCATCTGGTGAGGATGGTTTTTCTGTGTTACTCAGCTTTACCCAGAGCGACTCTCGGTTAGGTGCTAGGTCATCAGGAAGGTTCCTCGAGTTCTCACGTTTTCATGCTGGCTGATCACATATCTGACACTGTTGTTTTATTTTTAGTTTTAGGGGCCACATCCTGAGATGCTTAGGAGCTATTCCTGGCTCTGTGCTTAGAGTGACTCCTGGTGGTGGTCAGGGGCTGAAATTACAACTCCATTTTTAAGAAATTGGCTTAATAAACAATCATGTTTATTATCTTTCATATTTTGACAATAGGTTGAAAATGTGGTGTGCTTTATTGATTTGGTCTTGCTTTTTGGGCCATACCATGTGGTGCTCAGGGTCTTGACCTGGCAGTGATGTTCTGGGGTTCCTGCAAGGCACCTGTTCCAGCCTGTTGAGCTCTCCCTTCCACCCTGAATTTGTTTTTTAAATTAAATGAATTTAATCAGTAACCATATACCTTACATTTATTATTCACTGTTAAATGTTTTTGAATCTTAGTTGTGGGATCCAGCATATAATGAAAAACTGAAAGAACTTTTTCTGCAAGAGGTACAAATGGGAGAATTTTGGTTATCCAGAGGTAAGAATGTCAACATTCTTTTGTAAGTAGTTACTCATAATTTATACAAAGAAATATCTATTGGTATTTGTCAAATAGCAAGCTGTGTTTGGCAAGTTGCTTCAGCTGTTTGTTCCTGGGCCACACCTGGGCTTACGCCTGGATCTCTGGATCACACTTGGTAGGTTTGGGGTACCGGGGATTGAAACTGTGCTAGCTGCTGCAAGGCAAGCGCCTTTCCCACTGTACTATCTCTCCTGGCTCAGTGTGCTTCAGTTTAAAGAGAAATTGTCCTATCATTTTCCCCTCGATCATATTTCAGCTCCGCTGTTATGTAGTGTTGTGTTTATGCTGCAGTCTTGGAAGTGGGCAGATGGAAAGCAAAGCTAAATATAAGAAAACATCATTTATTGTCAGGTGAAATTCTAAATAAACTTCCCAAATGGGGTGTTGTATGAATTGAAAGATTTACAAATTTTAAATTGCTTGACAAAAAATTTCTGCCCCTTGTTTTGTCTTGGGGTAACATGTGCCAGTATTCAGGACTAACCTCCTGGCTAGTTGCTCAGGCGACCATATGGTGCTGGGGCTCAAGTAAGGGCAATTGAGTAGAACTTTTCAACTTTACCATTATTGAATTGGGATAGTATAAATATGGGGAGGAAAATTCTGAATTATAAGTTAAAATCCTCTGCTCCTGCCGGAGAGCCCGGCAAACTACCGAGAGTATCTCGCCCGTACGGCAAAGCCTGGCAAGCTCCCTGTGACGTATTCGATATGCCAAACAGAGTAACAAGTGTCACAATGGAGACGTTACTGGGCCCGCTTGAGCAAATTGATGAACAACGGGAGTAACAGTGACAGTGATACTTTACTTCTATTCCCTTTACTTCTGCTCCCTATTCTGTGATGTAATAATTCAGTGAAACTTAGAGGTAAAAATGTTACAGGTATTAAAATTAAAGCAAAGTTGTAGGAGCTGGAGAGAGTACAGTGGGGAGGGAGCTTACCTTGCATAAGGGCCAACCCAGGCTTGATCCCTGCATCCTCTATGGTTCTCCAGCACCACCAGGTATAATTCCTTAGTGCAGAGACAGGAGTAAGCCCTGAGTAATGCTAGGTGTGGCTCCAAATCCAAAAACAAAAAGTAAAATTCAAACAGGTTAATTTTTTTCTTTTTGGGTCATACCTGGCGATGTACAGGTGTGACCTGGTATCCTGGCTCATGTACTCAGGAATTACTGCTGGCGGTGCTCAGGGGACCATGTGGGATACTAGGAATTGAACCTGGGTCGGCCGCACGCAAGGCAAACGCCCTACTCACTGTAATTCGCTCCAGCCCCCCATTATTTTCCCTTTCAATCTTATTTCTTTGATGCCCTATATTTACTAGCTCTTTAAGCTCCCAACTTTTGTAGTCTACTTCTAATACACTTCTACATTTCTGTCTTGTTTATTTTGTGGTTTTGGGGCCACACCCAGTGGTACTCATGGATCTGTGCTCAGGGATCAAGCCTGTTCCCTGAGGATCTATTCCTGGATCTGTACTCAGTCAGGGATCACACCTGGTCCTCCTATCTTTATTACTCATTAATTATCCACCAAACTCTATCAAAATCTTTACAGGTAGGACCGAGACGTACTTTTAAAATGTTCCCTATCACAGTCCAAATCCAGTGCTGGGGATTAGTACAGGTCAGATGCTTGTATTGCATGCTACTGATCCCAGTTGGGTTCCTGGCACCACTTATGGTCTACCAAGTACTGCTAGGTATTGCCTAAAAACTAAAACCCCACATATCAATGTGTGCAAGGCAAGTACCTTACCACTCTACTATTTTTTCCAGCTCCTAATAACTTCCTTTAATATCTAAAGTTATTTTTTAAAAAAAGCAATGAAAATTTGTTAAAAATATATAACGAGGTGTTTAAGTACAAAATGCTACCATGTAACCAAAAATAGTGACAAGACTGTTAGGTTATATGCTTTTTGTGGTTTTGCTAAGTTAATATGAATCTTTGGGAAGTACTTTTTTCTCTTCGGACTGTGTATTTCAACCAACTAATGGAAAATTAGGTTCAATTAGTAATAGTCTAATACATATTAATTATTAAAATATTTCCTATTTATTTGAAATGTCAACTTTTCTGGGAAAGCAACACACTGTAGTCAAGAGAGATTATAGGTACTTGCCTTGCACCTGGCCAGCTGGGGCCATGAGTGATCCCAGAACGCAGAGCCTGGAGTCAGCCCTAGGCACTGCTGACTATTGCCCAGAAACAAAAAGCTCTGGAAATGAAATTCATTGGTGTTAAATAGCTTTGAAACTTTAAATCATTTCCCTGGTTTGGCCTATTTCCTAAAACAAGGGAGTGAAACTAAGTGATTCTATGCTATAATAAGTAGAAATTGTATAATTTCCACTGTTCACAACTTTTTATTCTTAGTAACTTCACAGAAAATCATTGTAAAACTTATGTTAAGAAGTTCACAAATTGCTTATATCTTCCCCTAAATATATAATTAATGCTACGCTCAATCTTTAAACTTTCGATAATATAGTATTTAAAATTTCTTCAGTCAGTTCATTATGATTTCACCATTTACTCAATAGCAGAGTAGAAATCTTTACCCCACTCTGCATACCCAATTTGTATAACAAAAACATTTCCATTGCAATGTGCTTTTAAACATGGCATACACTTAATGCAATTTGGGTCTTATGCAGTTTAGACACAATGAATTCAGTAGCTCAACATTTCTCTCATCATACTCTTTACTGAGACTTGTCTTTTAGTTTGATGTACCGTTTCAATATTTGGTAATTTAAGTCTTGGTAATTTGTAGAAAGTGTATTCTGGAGAATTGTAAGTTTTCTAGAGCCCGAGCAATAAGACAGTGGGTAAGGCACTTCCCTTGCACACAGCTGACTCAGGTTTCATTCCAGCATCCCGTATGGTCTCCAGGAGATTCCTGAATGCAGAGCCAGGAGTAACCCTGGAGCTCTAGAGTGTGTAGCCCCCAATCCAAAGAACAACAGACATTCCTGTAAATGTATTCCTCTCTTTCAGGAGAGACTCATATAGGAGTTGAACATTTTGGCAATGCCCTCTTAGTGTGTGAGCAACCACAGGAACTTCTAAAGGTTTTTCAACACACACTCCCGCCCAAGGTATTTGAGATGCTATTGAACAAAATTCCCCTTATTTGCCAGGTAAGCATTTATTTGTCTTTATAAAATCAACACAGCATATAAACCATGTTGGGTATTATAACATAGAAATTACAAACTACGTGTGTGAATGTCCCCAAATTTTGGATGTGTCAAAATTTCAGCTTCTGTTACACATCAGCCAAAGAGAGACAGCAGCACATTTTAGTCTCTGAATTAGTGATTGTTTTTAAGTTGAAATATGCCTATTTTTTCCATAGTCCTTTCACTAAGTTGTATTTTGTATAGAATCATATGTTTAGGGGATGGGATATAGCTCAAAGAACTGGAGTGCATGCATTATACACAAGTCCAAGCTGGAAGCAGACCCTAAACACAGCCAAGTATGGCTCCCCCCTCAAAAATAAGATTTATACGTATCAACACAAAAAATACTGTTTATATTTTCTTTTCATACTTTGAAAAAAATTACTAGGCCTTTAAGACCTAGTGAAGACCTTTAAGTGTGAAATGACCTAATGACTTAATAATAATAATATAGAAAACAGTAAATTATCAAAGCAGTACTAATTTTTACTTCCCAATAATAAGAAAATATAGAAATCACTTGGTAAGGGCTGGAGAGATAGCACAGTGGGTACGGCGTCTGCCTTGCACATGGCCGACCCGGGTTCGATTCCCAGCATCCCATATGGTCCCCTGAGCACCAAGAGTAACCCCTGTGCATTGCCGGGTGTGACCAACCCCCCCCCCCCAAAAAAAAGGAATCACTTGGTAGATTTAAACATAGACAGTAATTTTAGTGTTTTTGAACGTTTAAGCTTAAATTGCTATGAAATGAAATTCATTTACAGGTCATTAATAGATATTAACCCCACTTTTATTTACCCAATCTTTTGGATTTTAGATATTACTTTAACTTTGGTTCACTTTTTATTACACCAATGACATGTAGTGGCTGAGAATACAATGTATATTGTTGTTCTGACTTGGAATTATTCATGTTGGATTTTGAAAACACAAAACAACACCACTGAAGCTTTAACAGTCAACTCTTAAACATTCCATGCTAGTATCAGACTGGCTGTTTCCTGAAGGTAGATGGAAATATAGATAACAACGTGTAATGCCCACCCTTAACAACAAGGCAGGCAAGAAAAAGATCGTGCATTGGTTGGAATGACTAGCAAGTAACTATTTTATGTATTTACCAGCAATTTGAGGCAGACATGAATGAACAGGAACACGAGGATGATCCTGATTGAAAAAACATTTCAACGTACCCAGAGTCCAGTCAGAATACTATACTATAGTATAAACAACTGCTTGGTGATGCTTCCATTTATTTTACTTTTAGTAATAAAAAATTTTCTATCTTATACATGATTGAACACATATTTTGCTTTAAAATTAACAGTCACAACTGACGAAACAATGGTTTATTTTTTTGAATCAAGTAACCAAGCTGCTGAATTTGTTGTAAGGCCTCAACAAATGTTGCATCTTATTATTTTCAATGAACATATAAGACCTTCTCATTATCCCTGGCAGATGGTAATTTTGTTTCTCCAGTGGTTATCCAGGTGCCAAACAGTCATGACAGACGTTTTAACATAGTGGCTACTGCTTTCAGGGGATTCTGTCAGGTGAATCCTCATTTGCAATGCCATAGCTGTTGGCAATCTTTCATTGATAGTCCATTGACCAGGACTTCTCTATCGTGGCTGGCCAAGGAGTCCTGCTTTGGCTGCCAAGGCTTCGTTCTGCTGAATATGGTATTCCTGAAATCTCATGGATATTCTTTGTGTCATTTTTAAATATTTTTGTAAGCAATGTTCTGAACAGGTAGTCTAAAAATCAAAAGAGAAAAACCAACATAAAATATTAAAAATAACACATGTATTCTAAGAAATGACCAATCAATTCTTCTTTCTAGTAATATTCAATCTAGTAATTAAATAGTAATGGATAATCAGTGACCACAGCTTTCAATCATTAATGCTTTCGTTCATTTATAAGAATATCAATTATTAAATACTTGCAATTGCAGGACGGAAGCACTTTTGTTGTAGGGATGAGAGTAAGTCAGTCCCAGTTTTCTGGACTCACTGACTCCCTTCTGTAGGCTTCAATATTCACAGAAAGTCAAATTCCTACGCCCTTATTCTGATTTTCTTGTAGCAAATTTTTCTTTTTAATAAGAAAACCTATTTTCAAGTCTTAATTCTCCACCTTTTACTTTTTTACACGATATTCTCTTAGAATTATCTCAGTTTTTGTCATTTATTTAACAAGCACTTTAATGATTGCTGGTTACTCCTGACTCTCTGCTCAGGGATCATTCCTGGTGGACACGGGGGATCATATGTGGTGTGGGGAATTGAACTTGGGTTCACTGCAAATATGGCAAGCACCTCGCCCACTGCACTATCTCTCTGGCCCTAAAGAAATCATTTTGAGTCACATGAGCCTTAAATAAGAAATCAATGAGAAAATAAAAATTAAGACTTCTACTAGGATTGGGTTAACAGAGTCCACTCAGGAACCAGCAAATTCAAGTTTTATCTTCTCTATAATTTCAGTGTGTTAGATAAGTCAAGTTAGGTTTTTGTGCCCAGGTTATCTTGTCTGAAACCTAATTAGAAAGATTTGTGGCTATGGAGCAACCCAGCAAGCTTTAACACTAAAATAAAGTATAATGAGACATATTAAAGCTGGCATTATTAAACTCAATGACCCTGGCTGCTTCAGTTTTTTAAAGCCAGACTCCAACATTTCTGTAATAACTACCTACCCCCAAGTACCTACCCCCAAGTATTTGACTTGCTCCTAGTTCATATTGTTTGATCCCATTTATATTGTTTGTTACAAGCTTAGAGAAACTTTAGCAGGTTCTCATACCTCTTCAGGTTTTACTTCTCTTGTTGTGAAGTCTTTAACACAGTCCAAAAAACATGTTTCTGTAAGTTTATTATATGTTCCAAGAAACTCCTTAAACTAGAAACAAACCAGAAGGTCATAATTAACACTTGATTTTTAAAAACACATTTTTTACAAAAAATTTAAAGTTTTAAGGTTACACCAGAGATGTTCAACGGATATATCTGGCAATGCTTGGGGAGTCATATGGGATACTACTGGGGCTCAAATTTGGTTTGGGTATATGCAATAAAACATCTTACCCACTCTATCTCTTCAGTCTCCAGAACACAGATATTTTGAACAGTTAATTACTGATGTTTTACATTTAGGCAAAATATCCAGAAATACTTGAACTAAAAGTTTTTTGCTAACTTGGGTATGATTTACAAAGTATAGTCATTTAGTTGAGCATTAATTATTTCCCTAAATTATATGAAAACTGATTATGTTTTATATCATTTGGTATCCATTTCTGAAATTAAATAGTTATCTGGGGGGAGGACACTGATGTATTTGGTTGCATCCAGCACTTTTTTAAGTTTTCTGCAAAATATCTTGTCTTTATATTATCTTACCTGTTTTATCTGATCAGATTCTGGTATTTGTGCAGCCATATTCTTTTGGTATGTATATTGTTACCTATTTAAAAATAAAAAAATTCATCAATCTATACACAAAGATTTTTCAATTTAGATGAAGAGTTAAGTAATCGGAACAAAAATAATTTATAAAACAAAAATAAAAATTTATCTGAAATAACTGTTCATATACATATATATGCAAACACACACATACATATGTAAATTTGCTTTTGGGCCACACCCGGTGCTGCTCAGGGCTTATTCCATCTCTGTACTCAGGGATCACTCCTAGCTGGCTCAGGGTACCATATGAGATACTAGGAATTGAACCTGGGTTGGTTGTATGTTAGGCAAGCGCCCTACCTGTTGTACTATCTCTCCATGCCCTGTTACCTGTAAAGTCACTTTTACTGATTTAGTTCTTTATCAGAGTTATACCCAGCAGTATTTGGAGGACACTGCAATTCTAGGGATTGAACTTAGGGTCCTTCATAATAGTGATGTACCACCTGAGCTACATCCCTGGCCTCAAGGTGACTTCTTTAAGTTCCGTTGCCAGAGGTTTTTTTTGTTTTTTGTTTTTGGGTCACATCCGGTGATGTTCAGGGGCTACTCCTGGCTCTGCACTCTGGAATTACTCCTGGTGGTGCTTGGGGGACAAATGGGATGCCAGGGATCAAACTCAGGTCAGCCGCATGCAAGGCAGCTGTACTATCGGTCTGGCCCCAACCAGAGTTTTATGGGAGACAAGAAATTTGTTGTCTTTACTTAAGTCACTATACTGCTAGTTGCTAATATAACTTTGATCTGAGGCACTATTCTTTCACAAAAATTCTAGTGCTAATATCATCCCCACAACCTTGATAAAAGATATTTAGAGTTTTAAAAGACTCTAATGAAGGAATGGGGGAAGGGCATATATGGTGCCAGGGATCAAACTCAGGTTGGCCATGTGCAAGGGAAGTGTCCTTTCTGCTTACTTCTCTCTGGACCCTCTAAAAGATTCTAAGAAAAAGCTGTAGGAAATACATACTATGCATTAACTGAGGGGGTGGACATGATCCCAGTACTGTATGGTTTCTTTAGCCCTGCCAGGACTGGTATCTGAGCACAGAGCCACGTGTAGACCCTAAGCACAGCTGGGTGTTACCAAAAAACAAAAACAAAAACACAAAAGCAAGCAAGCTTTTATAGGAAGGTATTATAGAAAGAAGTAACTGAGGCTTGAGAGATAAGTTGCTTCACTTGTACTAGCTAACTCACAGCACTACCTGGTCACCATAACACTTCTGGGAGCACCCTCTAAGGTCAAAGCTGGGAGTAAGTAGTGTGCCCCACCCCACCGAGCACTGCTGAGTGTGGCCTAACCACTCCCCAATATAAAGAAGAATGATTATAGAAACTTATCACAGGTGACATCTGTGATCTACTTGGGGGAACCACAACAAAGTGAAACAACTTTGAACACAAAAGCCTTTCTGAATTAGTAGGATATTTACATATTTTAAGTGGAGGTCCAGGCTCATTAACTTGAATTATTTTTTTCTATCCTGGACAATTTAAAAATAAATGAATATCCAGCATAAAAGATTGTGTGAGGGGCCAGAGTGATAGCACAGCGGGTAGGGCATTTGCCTTGCACTTGGCCGACCTGGGTTCGATCCCTGGCATCCCATGTGGTCCCCTAAGCACCACCAGGAGTAATTCCTGAATGCAAAGCCAGGAGTAACTCCTGAGCATTGCTGGATGTGACCCAAAAAGGAAAAAAAAAAAAGGTTGTGTGAGGGCTGGAGCGATAGTACAACGGGTAGGGTGTTTCTGCCTTGTACGTGGCTGACCAGGTTTCCACCCCCAGCATCTCAAAAGGTCCCGAAGCACCACCAGGAGTTCCTGAGAGCAGAGCCAGGAGTACTCCCTGTACACCGCCGGGTGAGACCCGCAAAAAAACAAACAAACAAACAAAAAACCCACACACATGTATATATACATAGTGTGAAATAAAATTGTCTAAAAGAGGAATTAAACATGAGAAGAAATAAAGCATCATGAAAAGGAATAAGCACTGTCACTGTAGCACTGTCATCCTATTGTTCATCGATTTGCTCGAGCAGGCGTCAGTAACGTCTCCATTGTGATACTTGTTGTTACTGTGTTTGGCATATCGAATACGCCACGGGGAGCTTGCCAGGCTCTGCCATGCAGGCGGGATACTCTCAGTAACTTGCTGGGCTCTCTGAGAGGGACGGAAGAATCGAACCTGGGTGGGCCGCGTGCAAGGCAAACGCCCTACCTGCTGTACTAGGAATAAACTAATGTTAATTATGTAAACTATAGACTCAAAACTTCTATGTATAGTATTTACTATTATTATTATTATATACTCATTATACTTAATGAATTTCCTGGTAATCAGTGCATAAAGAATAAGCTGGATCTATTATTCCCACTAGCTCATCAATTATTATTTAAAGTGGCTCCAAAGACCATGGCATTTTGATGGAGCTTGCACTGAGATAAAACTAAATAGGGAATTCAAGTTTAGGGGAAAATGTAGGTTACCAGGCCAGAGAAGGAGCTGAAAAGGTTGATCACATGTTTGGCATATAAAAGGCCTATGTTTATTATGTAAAAAAAATTTTTTTTGGAGGGGGAGAAGGGGGACTCACACCCAGCTGTGCTCAGAGCTTCAGAGCTAACTTCTGGTTTCTCACTCAGGGGTCACTCCTGGCCAGTCCAGGGGACTATATGTGGTTCTGGGGACCAAATCGGAGTTGGCTGTGTGCAAGAAAGCACCTACCCAGTGTCCCATCACTCCAGCCCCTAGAAGGCCTGTGTTTAATCCCCAGTATATCTCTCCTTTCCTCTCTGCAACTCCAGCACCATCAGGAACAAGAAGAAGCACAGAGCAGGGAGCAGCGCCTGAGCACCACTTGGTGTGGCAAACAGAAAACCAGAACAAAGCACATGTATGTTACCATAAAAAAGAAACACCGATTGTTAATATAATCAATAGTAATTTCATTCCAACATTCCCACCAGGTATACTGCAACTTCCCTCTTTTGTATTTATTCTTCCCTTTTCTTTTTTCTGTCCTATACATTTTCAACATTTCTGACATTTCCCTTGAAATGTTAGGGGAAAAAATACCTGAAAAATTTAATTGTCTAAAAGAAAAAAAGGGTCTATACTCAGGGAACATTGAATTTGAAGTAACACAATATAATCTGTCTTTTCAAGACTTTCCTTTTTCTTTTTTGCCTTTAGGGTCACACCCAGCAGTGCTCAGGGATCAGACCTGGCAGGAGTCAGGGGATTATATGGGGTGCTGGGAACTGAACCTGGGTCGACTGTGTCAAGGCAAGTGCCCTACCTGCTTTACTGTCTCTCTGGCCCTAATAAGGACATCCTCACGTGCTACCAAAAATGAAGTAGAAATTTTTGATTAACCAACATTCAGACTATGCTTCATAAGCACCTAAGGGCTAGTGAAGAATGCCTTTTAGGGTTCAGCAGTAGAGCACATGCCTGCATACAAGACCCCAGCAACCCACATGGCAGTCACAGAGTACCACTGTGTGTGGTTCCTAAACAAACACCAAGAAATGAAAAACTACCGCTTTTTATTCCTGTTTTACAGGTTTATAAATAACTTCTTTCGGGGGGACCATTCCTAGTAATGTTCAGGAGGCCCACCAGAGCCTCATCACTGGTGCTCAGGGGGCATATGGTGCCAACAGAACCCAGACCTCACACATGCATGGCATATGTCTACCAAGTGAGCCATCTCGCTGGCCTGAAACAGATTTTTTTGGTTGTTGTCATGTAAACCACCTCAGAAAATACCAGGAATTACCTCATTTTTCAGTTACTGCTATGACTATCATCATTTATTAGTTCCAGGTAAGATACAACCTAATTTAGTTTCCCTTTACCTCAGGTAAGCCATGAAACACTAATTCTATCCTCTCCACTATTAAACTAAATATTTAAACCTAATTATAACATTACCTTTTAATAGCATATTTCATTATTGGATCTTAGCAGTTACTATTTTACTTATTAGAAATTCCTCCAACTTTGAATATATACAGTTCTTGACTATATCAATTGCTCAAGTATAGTTCTTAAATGCATCAAGCACCAGTCATGGTTTCAAAGATAGATGCAGCTTTATGATAGCTACAAAATACCACTAACAGGGGGCCAGAGAGAGTATGGAAGGTAAGGCACTTGTCTTGCATGCGCCTATGGTGGTATGATCCTGACTTGAATCTTTGACACCCCATGAGCACTGCTAGGGCTACTATTGAGCATTACACTGCAGAGTATGAACACTGCGGAGTATGGTTCCCCTTACGTCTCTTTATTACTAACAAGTGAATAAAGAATTATGTAAATACACACACACACACACATACACACACACTGTAATTTATGATTCGTGCGTCTGGGAAGATGGGGTAACCATGCTTTTCCATATTCTTCTGTGTATGGCTAATAACTTGGACATTACATGTAAGATTCTGAAAGGTGGAAAAGTGAGCATACAGGTTGTAGACCTTGGGGCCAGAGAAACCGAGACATGAATTCTTTCTCTGTACTATCTCACCTTAAGACTTGGAGAAAACAAAGTCAAAAACAATCTGCAAATGCCAACGGGGACAGTCAACCCTCAGGCCTGCCCTCTTTAGACTAAAGCCAGGAAGGGGGATGCCTGAAAACCAGAAATGTTTAGATAAAAGTTGCCATGACAAAACTCTGTGACATCCGTTCCCACTGTATCAGTGTTGGACTGAAGGAGTGCCTCCAAATCCAAGCCCAAAGGACTATCAGAGAATAATATGCTGGAGCAGGAACCTTCATTCTTGTTTTGGGTTAATGATCCTGCCCCAGGTGCCAAGAGCAGCCCGAAAGTCCACCTAACTTGTCAATAAAGGTCTATCCGTAGTCATCCCATCTGGGGTAATCAAATGATGCACAGTTAAGACGCAGGACGTGCATCACTGCTCCTGGTAACTAGACCATATAGCCATATGGTATAGTAAAGCCAAGCGAAGAGTGTAATGAGGCCCGATGCTGAGACGGAACTTCACTCTCATCCAGCAGTAATGAGAACCTAACCGATCCTGGCCTCCTTCCCAAGACGAGATGCTAGAAAACAACAGAAGCTGGAAAAAAAAATCTGAAAAGAAAAGAATAAGATACCAGAGAATTACGGGATGAATTCAGGAGGACCCATATAACAATTATTAGTCTGTGAGGAACAGGAAGGTAAATCTGATGAAACACTAAAGAAATCATAGATAAGGATTTCCCAGAGTTGAGGAGTGCAGACAGCAAGACCCAAGAGACCTGAAGGGTCCTATTAAATATAGACCTACATAGAAAAACTCCAAGATTCTTTATAATCATAATGATAAAAGCCAAAGACAGAGATATTAAAACAGCAAGATCAAAACAGGAACTCACATACAAAAAGGAAGTCGATAAAATTCACAGCAAGCAAATCTATTAAACGGGACTTGAGCCAGAAAAGAATCATGAAATACAGTTCAAAAATAAAACAAAATGAATACCTCATCAAGTACACTCTATAGCTAGATTATCATTTAGATTTTAAGGAACAGGATGAAGCTTCATGGACAGGCAACAGCTTAGGGAATTCACAGCCTTTTGAAACCAGTTTTGCAAGAAGCATGAAAGGAGCTCCCCTGAGACAGAAACTTCTCGGCACTTTCCCACTGAGCATGGCATTCACTCATGGTGCTGATGGTTGCCCTCTACTAGATTAAGAAAGGTCAATTTGTTCCAAGTTCCTAAGGGATTTTATAGTTTTTCCAATAATGAATCAATGTTTCATCATTTATATTGAATGTTCCATGTCTATTCAGGTAACTTTTTTTTTTTTACACAGAGATTTTTACTACAATCCTATTTATTAATGCAGGTACTTAAGCATAATTTATAATATTTTTGGGGGGTGGGGTTACGGTTTAGGTCACCCTGGAAGTGCTCAGGGCTTACTTCTGGCTTTGAACTCAAGAACTGCTTCTGGTGAGCTCGAGGATCCATATGGGGTGCTGGGGATAAAACGTGGGTCAGCTACATGCAAGGCAAACCAATGTCCTACCCACTGTACTATCATCCCAGCCCCTCTATAATATTTTCTAACATAAAGCCAATGTTCCCTTTCAAGGATAAAACATTTTTATGTTTATAGGCCTATTCAGACTTTTCTTTGATAATTTCTAAACTGTCTTTTTACTCTTAACTAAATTATTTGTAGGATTTAGCTATTTCATGTAATTAAAAAATGTATCAGTACAGAACTGTCCAATGGTTTATTTTAAAATTTATGTACCTATAAAAAAAGATATACAGTATTTGAAAATAATCCTTTATCAACTTACCACTGATTTACAATTTTGTGGAATTTCAGGAGTTTAGCTTTATCTGTATGTGTGCATTTGTCACTATCTCCACAATAAATTTTAAAAAGTTTCTTTTTTGGGATATAAAGAAATAAAAAGGTAAAGGTAAAGGCCCTCCTGTTGATCACTGATTTGCTCGAGCAGGCTGAGTAATGTCTCCATTGGAGACTTTGTTGTTACTGTGTCTGGCATATCGAATATGTCACGGGGAGCTTGCCAGGCTCTGCCGTGCAGGCGAGATACTCTCGGTAGCTTGCCGGGCTCTCCGAGAGGGGCAGAGGAATCGAACTCGGGTCGGCCATGTTGGCTGCGTGCAAGGCAAACGCCCTACCGCTGTGCTATCAAAATTGAAGATTTTTCTCTACAAAATTGAAATTGCATGGAAAGAGGAAGAGGCTGAGAGGAGCCCTTGGGACACTGGTAGAGGGAAGTGGGCCTTCTGGTGATGGATGTATTATTGGAATGATGTACACATTAAAAGTATTATTAAACAAAAAAGTATAATTAAAAGTATAATTAAATCCTGGTACCCCCATAAAAATGGTTTAAATTATTTAACATCATTTATCAAAGAGAAATGAAATTAGGTTCACCCAAAAACCTGTACATAAACATTATCAGTAATTTATTCATTACTGTTAAGACTTGTTAACAGACCAGACATTCTTTTGCGAGTGCATGGTCAAATAAATTGGAAAACCCATACCACAGACTACTCTGTAGCTATAAAAATGAATGAACTAGGATGAATCTCCACGGAGAGTTAGGCTGAATGAAATAAGCCAATACCACAAAAGAAGGTTCAATTTTATGATTACATTTTGACATTACTGAAATGATAAAATGGCAGAAATAGAGAACAGTAGTTTACAGGGATGGGCTATGGAGGGCCTGGGATAGAAGTAAAGGCATATAAGGCATCATGAGATTTTTGTAATGAAAATATTCTACATCTTAACTTAATATCATGGTAATTTTGTAAACTGTAACCATTATGGAAAACTGGGTGAAGGGCACTAGGCATTCCTGTATTTTTTCACAAAACTGCATATGAATGAGCCAGAGAAATAGTACAGCAGGTAGGGCACTTGCCTTGCACAGTGGACCCAAGTTTAATCTCTGGGCACCCTACATGATCCTCTGAGCTTGCCAGGAATGATCCCTGAGCAGTAACCCCTGAGCACTACAGGATGTGTGCCAACCCCCTCCCCGCCCCACCTCCCAAAAATCCACAAAGCAAAACAAAAAACTGCATATAAACTGGTGTAATCTCAAAATAAAACATTCAATTAAAGATGTGAAGTTGCCCAGCTTTATAATCCTTGCAATAAAAAAAAGTAAAAAGTAAAGGCCCTCCCATTGATCATCGATTTGCTCGAGCGGGCCCAGTAACGTCTCCATTGGAGACTTTGTTGTTACTGTGTCTGGCATATCGAATACTCTCGGTAGCTTGCCCGGCTCTCCGAGAGGGGCAGAGGAATCGAACTCGGGTCGGCCATAGTTGGCTGCGTGCAAGGCAGACGCCCTACTCGCTGTGCTATCGCTCCAGTCCCCTTGCAATAAAAAGAAGATAAAAATAAAGTGCTAGCAGATGTTCAGAACTAGAGTTCTCTTTTCACCCAGAAAACAACTTAAGATTAAAGAACTGGTAAAACCACTTTTTTTGGGAAATAGGTGTTACACGAAACCATTGTTTTCTGGAAACTTGGGGAGCGGGGAGAGTAGACAGGAAGCCTAGCAACAATGGGCTTAGAAAGTGAGGTCACAGGACTAGTGTGAATACTTCCCATACAGGAAGCCAGGTCTGAGACCCTGGATCAGCTGGTGCCTACCCCCTGCACCTCCTAGGGATACCTCCTCCTACCCAGCACCATAGAGATGTGGCCAAAGAAACACAAACAAAGGGCAATAAAAATGCATCAAGGAATATGGTCTACCATAGCACCTCTAGGCTGAAAGAACAGAAGGTGATTCATAAGACCAAAACCATGGGTCCTTGATTAGTGTACATGGATAGTTGTAGACTGCCTATAATTTAGGAAGACACAGCAAACTGGACTCTACAGCCTGTATTAAAAAGGAAAAAGAAATCTAATTTCCTTACATAGAATACCTTAGAGTTTTACATGTTTGCTAATTTGTGATGAAACCGGATTCATTTTCCTATTTCCTTTTTGGGTCACAGCCAGCGATGCACAGGGGTTACTCCTGGCTCATGCACTCAGGAATTACTCGGGGTGGCAGTGCTCGGGGGACCTATGGGATGCTGGGAATCGAACCCGGGCCGGCTGTGTGCAAGGCAAACACCCTACCCACTGTACTGTTACTTCAGTGCCTCATTTTCCCATTTCTACTCTCACATTTCTTCAGGTTAAATTTTGTGTGTGTATGTGTTTGTGTGGTTTGGGCCATATGTGGTGGTGCTCCCGGAGGCTCTGTGCTTGGGTGACACTGTGGTGTTGTGTTTGGTCTTGGGATCACATCAACACAAGTTATTTTTGTGCTAAGTAAAATATAAAACTAGGGAACTTAAAAGAGAGTCATTAAGATCAAACCTTTTCTGATGCATGTGTTTCCGTTATGTTCTGGAAAAGTAGTTATCCAGCTCTTGCTTGAATGTCTCCAGTCAGATTTGATCTCTACCTGAAAAATGAGGGTTTTACAATGACTACTTAAGCCCCTTTAAATTATATATGACAAAATATAAATTTGTGTTGACTACATAATTTTGAAAAAGACTCTTCCTTGTCAATAAAATTAGTTTCTCTAGTCTATTCTGAGGTTATTAGCTATGTTCTTAAAAATACTTAAAACGTTCTCTCGAGGCAGTACACTCAGGTGAACATCACAGAAAAGATAAGCAATTCCCCTATATTTCTGAAAATAAAAAACTAGTGAACTTAAAAGGGAGTCATTAAGATCAAACCATTGAGATCAAAAAGGGACTCATTAAGATTAAAAAAATTCTCCATTTATTTGTGTTAGGTCCGGAGGCAAATTATAAAATATATTCCAACTTTGTTTATAGTGATTCTTCTGATGTCCTTGGCTATTATAATTGCTTAGTCCTTCCATGATCAGTACTGGTAATCAGTACTCTTATGACATAGGAAAGGACCTGTTGTTGGAAAACAGGATCTACTCAGGGTCTCAATGCAGCTCCACAGGTTATTTACCATAAAGGAAAACTGTCCTTTTACACTGGAAAGATCTAAAATCACTACCTTAACCAGCTGATTAAATTTAGCATCACAGACACAACAAAAGACACAGTCATCACCTATGGGATATTTTTGCCAAAATATTTAACTGATCATGAATAAGTAATTAGGAAAATTCACAATGTGGGATAATGTGTAAAACAATAAGATGAGTCTTCAAAATGTAAAGTCATTAAGAAAAGCAGTTGACAGTTGCTCTAGAGAAATGTTTCAAGAATGACTATAAAAAGCAACGGCAAATTTCTAGAATGAAAATGTTTTATAACCAGGAAATTTGAATATCATGTTCTTCAGCATAGGATCATTATTGTAGCCATGTTATAGATTTTTCTTTTCTTTTTGGTTTCTGGGACCATCTGGTGGTGCACAGGGATCATTCCTGGTGATGCTATGGCGGCCCACCATATATAGTGCCAGGGGTCAAACCTGGTCAGTAGTGTGCAAGGAAAGTGTCTTACTAGAAGTATAGTTTTGACCCCTGTAATAGATTCTTACATACTTAAAAAATTAGGATTAAAGGTTACTATGCCTGCAACTTATTTGAAAGGGAAAGCAAATAAGTAAAAATGTTAACAAAAGAAACAAGAGGAAGAAAAAATCTTATCCAGCATCTCTGTTCCAAGCTTTGAGTGTCTTTTGAGAGGTCAGCTGTCTGAAATGATTTGAATTTTGATACACTTAGTATTCTGCTATTAGTCCATTTATTGGAGATATTGGCAGCAGGCTTAGGAAATTATTCTGATTAAATGGTAACCCTCTGTTATCAGAGCAAAAAATTCAAATATATTGAAATATTTGTTAACTGCTTTCAATTTTAAAGACTGGTTTCAATGACCTAAATATGAATCTTTGAGCACCAATCTATAATGGGGGCAAGGTGACTAGGATTTCAATGCCAACTCTAATAGTAAAGGTTGTAAAGCAAGTCATTTGCTCAGGGCATTTTAGGGAGTGTCCCACACCCCCATACACCCTTAGTAACTAGAGGGGAAAGGTCATTTTTTCTTCCACATATTAAGTTTCACTTAGAAAATGTGAGCTACAAAGTCTCTCATAGCCCTGACATTGGCATCTTCTCAACTCCAGTTCATTATAAAACAAAGAGCCTAGTAATCCATTAGGGAAATAATTAATAATACACACTCATCAAGACGCAAAGTTAAATGGTACTCAAAAGCAGAATCCTTAAGCACCCTTTTTAACGGCAGGGCTTAAAATCATATAGATGTGAAAATAAAACTTGTAATTTCGTTTTTACATCAGCTTCGGCGTATTAAAGATCCTAGTAAACTGTAAAAAAGGCAATGTCTGAGTAGTGCGTCCTCGATAATTAGCTGGTCAAATAAATAGTTAGGTCCTAGTAGTCTGGTCTCCAGATTTTTCAGCGAAAGGAGGGTCTCTGGCCGTCTGCTCAAGGTCACGGGCGTGGGTGCCCTACAGTCCCAGGCTCAATGTCTCAAGACAAGACCCTCGATCCCCCCAAACGCGGGTTAGCTCAGAGCTCCAAGTCCGACCTGCGTCCCAGCGACGCGGCCCCCGGACAGGTCCCAAACCTGCTCCGAGGACGCGCTGCCCCGCCGGGCTGGCCCTCAGGGTCCCATGAACACGCGGCGGCCTCCTCTTCGAGACCCGGCCACCTCCCGGGTGCCCACCGCCCAGGAACCCTGGATCCGGAGGGAGGAGAAGAGAGACCATACTTAGGCACGAGCTCTCGCGTCCGACCCCAGTACCTGGCTGGGGGGGCGAGTGCTGCCAGTCGAGCCTGGGGGCGGAGGTTGGGGTCAAGGCGGGCGCCGCAGCCGCTGGATGGAAGAGAACACGTGGGTGCGCCGCAGCCACTAGCCCGCAGACCCTCAGCGGCCGATTCGTTCCAGTTCCCCGCAGCTCGCAGGAAAAGACCGATGTCACCCACCGGATCCTAAAAAAAAAAATCTTCCGGGGACTATATGTTGTGATTCTTCACCTGGAATAACTGTCTTCTTGTCCGGACGGACTCTCCGCGGTCACACGGAATCGTCGGAAAGTTTTCTACGAAATCAATTTACCTAAGCCGGCGTCCTTAACGGTCTCCAGGAGTCACACTGAAAACTGTCCCTCAGCAAACACGAGCGGTACAGTCGGTTTTGTCGGTGACGCTGGCGCTCTCTAAGGAGTCTCTCAGGTCGGAGTCGATGTTTAAATCTTGAGAGGCAGGGTTCTGTCTTAAAAACAAACAAACAAGCAAACAAACAAAACAGTCACAGCTGTTTGAAGCCTGGCGCGTTCGGAGTTTGTTTCCACCCGGAGAGACATGGAAATGCACCCGGGGAGGCCTTACAGGCAACGTGGTTGGATGTTTTGGACGATTTTCTTGGTGCGCTTGCGCGATTGCCCCCTAGGGAGGGCTCCCCAGACAGTGGGTGTTGTCCCGCCCGCAACCGATGTTTGAGATCGGGTTAGATTTGGCACAGCGACTGCCCGGCGTTCTGCAAATGCGACGGGTGAATTTAGATGTCCCTTGGTTGCATCTGGAGTGGTGTGTAAACTCTGACAGAAGACAGCTTATTGAGCTTTTTGCGTGGGTATTTTCCAAACAAACAAAAAACAAACAACAGCATTTTGGGTTTATAAATGTCAAGTCGGTTTCCACATCGGTTTCACTTTTTTATGCTACCAGCTCTTGGGATGGGGGGGGGGGGGCGTGTATGCGGTGTTATTGTTATAAATTATTGCTCGTGCATAAATGATTGCTCGTCATTCATTCCCGTTCTCAGATTCATTATCGTGGTGCATTCATAGAGTCAGTGGGGTTACTGGGTAAATACAAGGTTCTAGACGTCTCTGATCGTAAACGAAGCTGCAATTTGAAATGAGTAGCTTCGGGGATAGTCTGTTTAGACCTTGTCTGCGTGTTGAGAGATCACCAGAAGTTCACGGTTGTCATACTTTCTCTCTCCTGTCTTTCTCCGCTTTTCTTTCTCCTCACCCTTCAGAGTTCTCAAAGTCTTGAAATTGTTCTGAAGTTTTACGGACCCAGAAGAAAATTCTGTTCAGAACCGCGGAGCTAGTTTTGTTACCAGTAACATGAAAGGCTCTGATTTGAGTCTGGAAAGGAAAAAAAAGGTTAAAATCCCAGCGAGGAGACTTCGTGAGGTAGTTTCTCCAACTCAGGGAGGTCATTTGTCTGTGCTGAAAGATGAGTTGCCCCGTGTTCCTCCAGCGTTCTCTGCAAGTAAATGTCTTCCGATTAGAATGGGGACTAGCTCAAATGGAACTTTACATGGTATGTGATTCCAAATAGATTTTTTTTTGTTCTTGTAAGTCTTTATTTCGTTTTCAAAAAAGGTGTTTCAAAATTTAGAGGATTTTTAACGCTTAAATTCCCAAACATAAAATATGTGTAGTTTGTACAGATGTTTGCAAACTGACTTCTAGCCTTAGGAAATTGTCCAGTCACAGTTTGCATTTAATGGTAGTGATAGAATGAATGAAACGTTTCCTGTTGTCTTTTTATCTTTAGACTTTTACACACATAACCTGTCACATCTGTGATGGACGTGCTGAACTTTTGTGAAGTGCTTATTTATTTTTGTACCAGTCAGACTTTTTGCTTAATATTCTTCCTTCTCTTTCGGTAGTACTATGTAATTTGGCATAGTAGAAAAACTCAGCTTACACTGTTTTGATTACTTCTGTATTCCTAGTCACTTAAACCATCTGGAGCCCAAGCAAAATGAAGACAATGCTTTGCCCATTTCACTGGTAATTTTGAGGATCAAATGTATCTGAACAAATAAATGTTTTAAATGTTGCCTCTTGAGGTATACCCATGGGTACACAGGATGTCCAGCATAACATAGGCTTGTTCATAATTTAGCATTTGTATCCTGTGCATATCATATTTCTGGAAAATTCTACCCAGTTTGTCCAAATGCAACACTGTGATTATATAGATATAGATATATAGATATATCTGTATATCTATGTGTATATATATTTAACTTTTCAATTGATGTTATGTTCTTAGCTACTTTTTAAAAAGTGTGATGATATATTTTAAGACATTTTGTACTTATCTCACTTGATTGTCAGTTCTGACTTATCATTATTATCTTATTATGTAAGTCAGCTTGTAAAACCTTCATCAGCATGTTTTTTTAATATTTTGTAGAAAGGGTGGTTTCTGATTTAGTCTTGTGTTAATATGGAATTTATAATATGGAATTTTTTTTTGAATACACCTGGCCCTCTTGAGCAAATTGATGAACAACGGGAGGACAGTGCTATATAGTGCTATACACCTGGCAGTGCTCAGGGCTTATTCCTGTCTGTGTGCTCAGGAATCATTTCTAGCAAGGCTGGGGACCCTATGTGGTGCTGGGGATCAAACGTGGGTCAGAAGCTTGCAAGGAATGTGCCTTACCCTTTGTATTGTCTCTCCAGCCCCTAGTAATTTATAGTTCATTTTGTTTGTTTGTTTGTTTGTGTTTTGGGCCACACTTCTGGCTCTATGCTCAGGAATTACTCCTGGGGTGCTTGGGGGTACCATATTGGTTGCTGGGGATTGAATCCTGGTAGGTCATGTGTAAGGTAAGCATCCTACATGCTGTACTATTGCTCTGACCGCCCCCCCCCCCGGAATTTATATTTTTAAAATCATTATTTATTCTTATATAATTTTTAAAGGTAAGGTTCTGATATAAAAGTTGATAAACTTGTTTCCTTTCTTTTATTAGGTTCAACAGACTTAACTTCTAGAAACTATTACCAACCTCCATTAGAAAATCCTATTCCATCAGAAAGTGTAAGTTAAAAGATTATTACTATTATTACCTTTAATGTAAGAGTACTGCTGTTTATTCAATACTATTGATTAAGTTGATTCAGTTGGACATGAACTCCACATTACTTTTTCTTTAATTTTTTTAATTGAATATCCATGAGATAGACCATTACAAAGCTGTTCATAATTGGGTTTTAGTCCTACAGTGATCCAGTACCCACCCCTCTACCAGTGTACATTTCCCACCACCAATGTCCCCTGTTTCCCTACCACCATCCCCCAACATCCCACCCCCGACCCTCAGCCTCCCTCTATGGGAGGCACTTTCTTTCTTGTTCTCTCTCTCTCCTTTTCCTTTTGTGCATTATGGTTTGCAGTACAGGTGCTAAGAGATCATGGTTTTTGTTCAGAGAATTTGGTATTTTTATCAGGACAGTAAGGCAGAAGTAGCCTTTTAATTGGGTAGCTGCTTTGGGGTGTGGATGTGGCTGCGAAGGCTTCTGAAAGTACAGGGAGATGGGGGTAGGTAGCCCATCCCGACCCTAAGAAAGCCTGGAGATTTCAGTCACAAAACCGGCGTACCCAAATTTTCAGCAGATTATGTCTTGGTGAGGTTCCTCCTGAGTTAGTGGAATCAAGCTGGGGATTTGGTGATAATTTTGGATTGTGTAAGCAAGCAGCTACCAAGGGCTCTGCTTTGGTGGGCTCCACGCTCACCTGCCCCCTTCAATTTACCCTGGTCTGTTCTGCTATGTGCGGGTCTGAGATTAATTGTGGTTTTTGATCTCTTTTGAGATTTATTTATGGGTCTCTAAAATAAGGGTAGTAAATGAGCCTTTTTTTTTTCTTTTTGGGTCACACCTGGGGATGCTCAGAGGTTACTCCTGGCTCTGCACTCAGGAATTACTCCTGGCAGTGCTCAGGGGACCATATGGGATGCTGGGAATCAAAGTCGGGTCGGCTGTATGCGAGGCAAACGCTCTACCCGCTATATTATTACTCCAGTTCCGTAAATGAGCTTTATAGCTGAACCAGAGGTGGTTTGTGGGCATGGCTCCCACAAACCTAACTTTTGGCCGTTTAATTTCTTGGTAAACTTGGTTCCAGGTTGTTGGGTCTGGCCAAAGGCACAGAGGCAGTTTTGGGGTGTGAGGAAGCCTGAAGGCACCATCAAGCTCCTGAGGTACTCGCCCTGCAGGTACAGGTTGACCTGCTGGCACACCATACCCCTTGCTACAGGATTATTATAGTCATAATAACATTTTAACATTGTCAAAATGTTCTTAAATTGTTCAGTCACTGTCACTATCACTGTCCTTCCATTGTTCATTGATTTACTCGAGTGGGCCCAGTAACATTGTGAGACTTGTTACTGTGTTTGGCATATTGAATACGTCACGGGGAGCTTGCCAGGCTTTGCCGTGTGGGCGAGATACTCTCGGTAGCTTGCCCGGCTCTCAAGAGGGGCGGAGGAATTGAACTCGGGTCAGCCATGTTGGCTGTGTGCAAGGCAAACACCCTACCTGCTGTGCTATTGCTCCAGCCCAAATTGTTCAGTAATAGGTCTTATTTTTGTTTAAATTTTATTTACAAAAATACACATTATACCATTGTGAACTGAATAAAGTTTGATATAGTAAATAAAAGGACTTCTGTAGAATAAGAATATCCATAAATAGTTCATAGCTACTAAGAAGATTCTGCACTTGAAAGAAGTTCTATTATTGTCCAATGAAAATACTCCTTTTCAGTGGTGGTGTGGTAGAGGGGTGGAGGGAAGGTGATCTCATGCAGTGCTCAGGTGGCTTAGAAGGGACATGCCCAGTGAGGTGTCACCTGCCAACCTGGCCTGGCCAAATGGTTCAGTGCTCAGGCTAGAAGAGCTGCTTGCATAGTAGTGGGATGTGGGGATGCACCAGAGCCTTCCCTGTGGTCATGGGGCATATGTGGTATCCAGCTGGTGTGACTTGTATAAAACAAGTGCTCCTGATTGCTGAATACCAGCTCTTCATGGAAATATTCTAAGCATAGGATATACAGACATAACGTACTGTTAGGTTAAATTAACTGTAAAAAATGTTTGAGGTTTAGTATTTGGGGCAGTAGTGATTATTCAGTGGGTAAGGTGCTTGCCATTAATGTAGCCAGCCTGGGTTCAATCCCCAGCATCCCATTTAGTGCACCAGATACTACCATGAGTGATTCCTGAGTGCAAAGCCAAAGGTAAGCCCTAAGTAACACTGGTGTGGCCCAAAACAGAACAAAGCAAAAATCAAATAATTGTGAGATCTTATTTTTTTTTTTGCTTTTTGGGTCACACCCAGCGATGCACAGGCGTTACTCCTGGCTCATGCACTCAGGAATTACTCCTGGCGGTGCTCAGAGGACCATATGGGATGCTGGGAATCAAACCCGGGTCAACCGCATGCAAAGCAAATGCCCTACCCACTGTGCTATCGGCCCAGCCCCAATTGTGAGATCTTTTATTTTTAGTTTTTGAGGTGTGTTTAAGAAATAACATAAAGTCCTTATTTTTAATTTTTTTTTCCCTGTGATACCGTCCTTGTAGTGCTCAGGGATTACTCCTGGTGGGGCTTGGGGAACTATATGTGTTGCTGGATATTGAATCAGTATTCACTGTATACAAGGCAAACACCCTACCTGCAGTACTACGACCCTCGCTCTAAGAAAGCTGTGACTTAAGATGGATGAAGAGCAGTGTTGAGTGTATTTGGGACTTGTGGTGTATTTTTGGGGGTGCAGAAGCCACACCCAGCAGTGCTCAGAGGAGACTCCTGCCTAAGTGCTTCGGCGACCCTCTATGTTACTGAAGATTTAATAGAATTGACCGAAGACAAGGCAGGCAACTTTTACTCCATATTGTCTCTTCAGAACCAAAAGTCATGGTGTTTTGGGTTTGGATTTTGGGTTTTGGGCCATACCTGGCAGTTCTGGGCACTTATTCTTGACTCGGTACACTGGGATCACTCCTGATCTGCGGTGCTATAACTCTTTCCCAAAATCCATGGCTTCCCCGGCCCCTACCTCAGGGGCATACCTGGGCTCAGGGGTTACTCCTGGCTCTGCACTCAGGAATTACTCCTGGCAGTGCTCAGGGATCCATATGAGATGCCAGGGATTGAATCGGAGCTGACTGCATGCACGACAAGCATCTTACCCTCTGTATTATTTCTCCGGTCCCAGTCATGGTATTTTTAACGCTGAATAAAGCTTTAGAAATGAAGTCTAGGATTATACATAGGAGCAGAAAACTTGTTGCCAGATAGTGTCACCTATAAAATGAGATGCTTTTCAGACCACATTGTGAACTACGACACAAAAATCTCTTGATTACGTAGTGATATTGTGTCACTTGACTGTCCTGTACTGTTTTTGACTCACAGTGAATCAGATTTTCTTATTTAACTGTAGCAACTGAGATGTTGCATGAAGTGCTGTGCTAGCAGTAACAGATCTGTGTTTGAATCTGCATGTCAGCACCACTGTTGTTGCTTATTCATTTCCTCTTCCATTTAGTTGACTGACAGTTTATTACTCACACAGCTAACAAATTCTCGAGTAGTCTAAAGGTATGTAAGCATTGTCCAGTCTTAGAAATTCACCTACAGATTACATAGATTTTCCCTTCTAAGAATTCAGTAGTTGGTACTTGATAAGAAATAAATCATAACCAAGGAAGGTAATAAGAAAAGATGGATGGGAGGTAATGGATATAGGTGTCAGGAGCGTCGGAAAGTTATATAGTGTAAAGGTGTGGTATATGTGTATATCTGAACTATGGAGCTAACAATACTGTAAGCAAGAGATCCAAAATACAGCAACCAAACTTAAAACTGTGCCTATCAAGGACTGGAGAGATAGTACAGTGGGTAGGTCTGGGTTTGACCCCTGGTACTGCATAGTCCTCTGAGCACCAGTATCAGTGATCCCTGAGCTCAGAGCAAGGCATAAGCCCTGGGTACCACTAGGTGGGGCACAAAAACAAACAAAAAAACCAAAAACCAAAGAAATAAACAAAAAACTGTGGCTGTCAAGGAGTCAGTTGATGTTGAGGGGAGGGAACCTGCGGACATTAGTTAGGGGGAAGTTGATAGTGGTGTGGGATTTATGTTGCAGCATTGGAGTCCTGAAACTCAAGTATGAATAGCTGTGTAAATCATGGTGCCTTAATACTTAAACATTTTTTAATGTGAAAAATAGTAATTAAAATACATAATATATAAGGTTTATGAAGCATTCTTTTTACGTTTTATAGAACTTTTCCAAGGATGTTGCAGTGCAAAGGTTGCCTTTGGATAAAAGGGAAGAACACAGCAGACAAAAAGGTAAAAGAATGGATTTGTTTTATTGCGCTAAACTGTATATATATAACATAAAATTGGTAATTTTGTACCATTTTAAGTGTTCTGTTGCATTGGTTATGTTTATGTTGTGCACACATCATTGAATTAATCTCTAGAACTGTTTTTTTCCCCTTTTTTAGTTTTTGATGTGTATAGGGGGGAATCCATACCCATTGGATGCTAAAGGGCTACTTCCAACTCTGTGTTTGTGGGTGTCTCTTGGCCGTGCATTGGGAAACATGCAGAACTCAGCCTCCTGGATACACAGCATCTGCTCTGCCTGTTGCACGTTTCTTCATACCTTTTTTTTCAGAAACAGTGAAATTTTTATTTTTTCCAGCTGAAGCTCTGATTTTATCAAATGCTAATTCTTTTCTGTCATTCTTTTTTTTGGGATACACCTAGCAGTACTCAGGGGATACTCCTGGCTTTGCACTTAGTGATCACTTCTTGAGGGCTCAGGAGACTACAGGGGATGCCAGGAATCTCCTGGGAATTATGTGGGAAGCTGGGAATTGAGCTGGGTCGGCCCTATTCAAGGCAAGCACCTTACCCACTGCTCTATCCCTTCTGCCCCTAAGTAAAATTCTTTTTCCCTACCTCTCTCTATTCCCTAACAGCTATCATTGTACTTTCTGTATCAGTTAATTTCATGTAAATTGGATCTTACATGTTTCCTTTAGTAATTGACTTATTTTCTCATATACTTTGTATAAATAGATTCTTGCCTTTCTCTAATTGGCGTATTTCACTTGCATTATCTGTTTTCACTTGCAATATCTTTTCTGTTTTTTCAGTGCTAGAGATGGAACCCAGGTACTCATATGAATGAGGCATCACACTACCTCTGAGCCATATGCCCAGCTTACTTGCTGTATTTTCTTGATGTATACATGCTATATAGTGTCAATAATCTTTGCAAGGATCAAATTTTCAATTTTAGACATTCATTGATTTGTTAGACATTCATGAAATGGTCTTAAAGATTTTTTCTCATTCTTTTAAATTACTTTTGCCTTCCAAATTAAACAATGAGTGTGACCTCTAAAATCAAAAAAAAGTTTCTTGGCTGGAGATATTGTACAGAGGTAAGGCACTTGCCTTACATGAAACTGACTATTTCAATCCCAGGTGCCCCATGTGGTCCTTCATGTGGGATCACACCACCGGGAGTGATCCCAAAGCCCAAAGCCAGGAGCACAGGTGCAAAAAGACCCTTCTCCAAATAAAGAAAAGGGAACAGTTACCAATGGTAAACGTAAATTGGGTCTGGAGCTATAGCACAGTCCTTAGAACATCCAGCTTGCAAGTATATTTCACAGGTTCAATCCTTGGTTCCTCCATCTGTGTCGAGCATAATCCTGGCATCTCTGCTGTCTGTGTTACTTGATGCTATGATTGATTTTTGGCCACACTGCAACCAGGTATGCCTGAGTATTGCAACAAAAGGATATGACCCCTTAAGAAGGTATGTGAACCCTATAGTCTGGAAGGGTGACTCCTGGCCAGAATGTGTGTGAGCATCAGAGGTGAACCTCAGCAGAAAAATAAAATAAAATAAAGTTGTGTGAGCACCACAACCAGAATGTATGTGCCTCTACTAAAGAGAGAATGCCCTGGAGAATATCATAATGAAGTGTGCAAGGCTGTTGTATGTGTGTGACTCTAGTCATTGCATCAACAACAAAGGGAAGGCGTTACCCTCTTTAGTTGTGTTTGCACATATGCCAGTTGCAGAGCTTCTTGAAGGTCTCTGTGATGCTCACAGATGTTTTCCAGGATTCTACTTGCTGGATGTGGCTGTGATGCTCACACATGTCCTCTCACCCCCGGCACCTCTTTTGTTTTAAAAAAAAAAACAGTGAGGACATGAGGGCTCCATCCAGTTGTGCTCAGGAATCCCTCCTGTTTGGGTAGGGGGACCATATGGGGTTCTGGGGATCGAACCCCAGTCAGCCGCATGCCAGGCAAGTGCCTTACCCGCTGTACTATTTACCCAGCCCCTCACACACCTTTTTCAGTTGCAGCATGTGCCAGGAGTTGCGTGCCTCTTTTGTGCTGTGGTGTCACTGAAATCACTTGCAGCTCTGGGGAGCACAGACAACAGGGCTCCCAGGATCCGCAGGGCATGTGGCAGTATGAGGCAGAAATGGGGACTGAATTTGTTGTGACCTTCAGTTTACAAGGCAGGCTTTCTGAGCCACTGAGATATTTCTCTAGACCTCTACTTTGAATTTTTGAATATTGTGAATTCCACACCCAGCTGTCATCAGGGGCATATAATACCAGGGATGTACCCAGTGGTAATTAGGACACCACGTGATACCTGGGATTGATGGCAGTTGTGCCCCTTTATTGTACCTTGTGCTCTGTAAGGTGAGCCACATCCTTTGCCCCTCCTTGCCATATTTTGGGGGAATCAGGGCACATAGTTGGTGTTCAGGGGCCACATACAGTGCTGGGGATCAAACCTGGCTGGGATTCAGCTATATGTGCAAGGCAGGTGCAAATACCCTGTTCCATCTCTCTGGTTCTTCCTTTTTAAATCGAGAAGTCTGTTGCTAAATTCTTAAGATTCTTTTAGTTAAAATCATTTTTTACTAGCTTGTTATAACTGAATGCATGCTCAGGAGTTTATAAAGTATAAATTTTTGTCTTACTTTTGCAGAAGATGACATCTTGATTTCTCAGTATGCCATGGGGCAGAAAGATGCTTTAAGGGCAGTTTTGAAGCAAAAGTAAGTTTCACTGGCAGAAAGTAAGTAGTGCATTTCCCCCCCCCCCTCCTGCCCCCATCCCTTTCTTGTATGTTCTTAAAAATCAGCTTCATTTATACTTTGGGATAATTTCCTCTGAATGGGGAGAGGTTTGTGCATTTTTTCCAGTTTTTCATGTACTTAGAAGTTTTTTACATGTGCTATGCTACACTTACTGCTTTGATAATTAGAAAAATAAATTGAAAGCCTATAAAGAAGTTTATGTATAGTTCTATCATATTATATCTCTTAGTGGTCGGTTAACCTATTTAATGTAGAGTGTTATTTAATGTAGAGGATTTTAAATCACATTCAGTCTTCAGACAAGAATACTGAATGATAAGGAATATCCGAGTTATAGTTTCTTAGTATTTTGCTGAAATATATATATATAGTGCCTAATATGTATGTATATGCACACACACACATACATGTGTATATATATATATATATATATATATATATATATATATATATAGTGCCTGCTTTGTGGTTAGTTTCTTGTTAGTTGCTACTCTTCTATTTCTTGACTTACATGGACTATAACTGGGGAGAGAATATGTACACATGTGAAGAATGAGTAATTGTGGCAGAAAATAGCTTTACACTCTTAAATGGTTTAAATGATCTGTACAAACATTTGAACCATAAGCTGACTCATTATCAACCTGGCTGTGTTTGTAAAAGCCATTATGAATTATGGAAGGTAGAGATCAATAGTAAATAAGGACAGATTTATTGAAAAAAAAGGTAGGCTTTAAGTTGGATTGTAAAGGAGAAGGATATAATAAATTAGGTGAAAGTTGGAGAGAATTCAGGGAAACAGAAATTGTGGAGTCAGGGCTGGAGAGGTAGTATAGTAGGTAAAGCATTTGTCTTACACACAACTGACCTGACTAGATCTTTGCCACCACATATGGTACTCTGAGCCCAGCCAGAAGTGAACCCTGAACACTGGAGTGTGGCCCCAAAACCAAAAAAAAAAGTCTTCGAGTCAGCTGTGAGTGTGGTGTGGTATAGTCAGCAGAGTGTAATTCCAGAGAGAGGCAATTTGGTGACATACTAGGTGTGTATAGGAAGCCAGAATGTACCCAAAGGATGAGTGTGTGGGAAACCAAGCCTGTTCAGCTATTTTTTTATTTGTTTTTTTTTTGGTGTTTTTTTCTTTTTGGGTCACCTCCGGTGTTGCACAGGGGTTACTCCTGGCTCATGCACTCAGGAATTACTCCTGGCGGTGCTCAGGGGACTACATGGGATACTGGGAATCAAACCTGGGTTGGCCACGTGGAAGGCAAATGCCCTACCCTCTGTGCTATTGCTCCAGCCCCTATTTAGCTGTTTCTAAGGAACAATTTTTGAATTTTGTTGTTTGTTTTGGCGTCAGACCTGGTAGTGCTCAGGGCTTATTCTTGGCTCAATGTTAGGAGTTACTTCTGGTATGTCAAAGGACTGTCTAGCATGCTGGGCATAGAACCTAGGTTGGCTGCATGCAAGTGCCCTACCCACTGTATGTCTCTTTCGCCCCCAATTTTTGAATTTTGAATAATGATAAATATGAGTGGGAAGTTTCAAAGCAAGTCAAAATGGAAAGAACAAAACAATTGACAAGAAATGATTATTTTTGTTTTGCTTTGTTGTTTTGGGACCACACCTGGTGGTGGTCAGGGCTTACTCCTGACTCTGTAGTTAGTGACCACTCCTGGCAGGCTAAGAGGACCGCATATGGTTCCAGAGATTGAACCTAGTAGACCATGAGCAAGGTGTATGCCTGTTCTTTGCTTTCTCTTTGGCCCCTGGTAGTGATGTTTTACTAATTTTGCTCATACTACACCTAGTGGCAATTAGAATCTTGTCCTTGGTTCAGTGATCTAGGTTAGGTGTTTCGGGTTCCCAAGGTGCTGAATCAAACCTGGGCCTCTGCAAAGCATGTGTTTCATGTGTTTAACCCATAGAGGTATTTCTCCTGTTCTCTCTTTTGGAAAGTTAGAGAATGAACTTGTTGAGTTCCTGCCTTGCCTCTATTGTTCTATGACACTGTCCCTGCAATTGTGATGAAATAGTTGACAAAATTTAATAACTCTTTGGTCTAAGAAGGTACATAGAATATAGAGATGGCAAGATAACTAACATTTTGAGACTGGAGAGAAAAAAACGATGTGTTTAATAGCATTGAGGAAACATCAAAGAGGAGTAAGTTCAAGAATTCTCTGTGGTTTTTAAAATTCCGGGGGTGGACTAGGGAGATAATATAGCGGGTAGGGTACTTACCTTGTACACAGGATGTAGACCAAAAAATAAATAAATAAATAAATAAATAAATAAATAAATAAAGTAAAATAAAATCCCAGGGGAGGACTGGGGTGACATAGAGTTAAGGCTTTTTGTATGCATCTAAATCCAGTGCTGGTTCCATCCCTGGCACTGCAAGGTGTCCTGAGCACCTCTGGGAGTCACCCCTGAGAATTGCTATGTGTGGTCCAGAAACCTGTTATTAAAAAAGTTTTCAAGGGTGAAATTTGCTTAGATTTCCCTGGGGGTTTTCCTAGGGATTCTTTTTTCTGTTTTGTTAGGTCCTTATAGAAAAATTGACTAGTCTTTTTAATATTAGTTAAATGCCTCATTGAAAGTTTTATCTTGTTTGTTTGATTAATTTTAAAATCCACACTGCTTAATGTTATCTTTTGTGTCCATTTTATCAAGCTAGCAATCAGTTTATTAAATATAAATGAACTAGAATTAAAATTTCCATTCCACAATTCTTTTAGCAGTCCATCAGCTATCTTCATTTTTATTTTTTGTGGGGCAGATCTAGTGGTGCTTCTGACTTGGTGCTCACTCTTGTTTTTATCTTTCTGAGTGTAAATTATTTTTATTATTGTTTAAATCTTTAAAAATTGAATCACAGTGAGATACAGCTTTTCATGTTTCTGTCACACAATGTTCCAGCACCCATCCCTTCACCGGTATACATTTCCCGCGACTAGTGTTCCCAGTTTCCTTCCTCCAACTCCTTCCCAGACTCCATGGCAAGCACTTTACTTTCCCTCTCTTCTCTTTCACTTACTCTCACTTTCCTTTTAGGCATTATGGATTGCAATACAGGTACTGAAAGATTATCATACATATATATACATATGTATATATATATATATATATATCACTTTACCTCCTTTCAACACTCTTTTCCAGAGTGACCATTTCCAGTGATCATTGTCATAGTGGTCCTTCTCTGTCCTAACTGCACCTTCCCTCCAACTCTATCCACTGTGGCAAGCTTCCAACCATGGACCAGTCCTCCTGGCCCTCGTTTCTACTGTCTTTGGGTATTAGTCTCATACTACTTTTTTTTTTAAATATCCCACAGGTGAGTGCAATCAATATCCCTCTCCCTCTGACCCACTTTCACTCAGCATGATACTCTTCATATCCATCTATGTATAAGCAAATTTCATGACTTTATTTTTCCTAGTGGCTGCATAGTATTCCATTGTGTAAAAAAAAAAAACTTGTTTCTTTATCCAATCATCTGTTCTTGGGCACTCAGTTTGTTTCCAGATTCTGGCTATTGTGAATAGTCCTGCAATGAAAATAGGAGTGCATTTCTGCTATATGTGTTTTTGAACCTCCAGGGTATCTTCCCAGTAGTGGTATTGCTGGGTTCCATGGAAGCTCAATTTCTAGTTTTTTTGAAGAATACTCGTATTGTTTTCAAATATGACTGTGCCAGTTGGCATTCCCACCAGCAGTGAACGAGAGTTTTTTTTCCCCCCACATCCACACCTGTGCTGATTGTTCTTGTTCTGTGCTAAACTCTGTGGTGTGAGATGATTTTTTTGTTGTGTTGATTTGCATCTCCCTGATGATTAGTGATGTAGAGCATTTCTTTATGTGCCTTTTGGCCATTTGTATTTCTTTTTTGAAGAAGTTTCTGTCCATTTCTTCTCCCCAGTTTTGGATGGGGTTGGATGTTTTTTCTTATAAAGTTCTAACAGTGCCTTATGTATCTTAACCCCTTACCATTTGGGTGTTGGGTAAATAATTTTTTTCATTCTGTGGGCTGTTTTTGTATCCTGGTCATCGTTTCCTTTGAGGCACAGAAGCTTCTTAGTTTGTTTATCTTTGCTTCTACTTGCTTGGTCATTCATGTTTCATTCTTAAGATACCTTTAGCTTCAGAGTCATGGAGAGTTCTGCCTATGTTTTCATCTATGCACCTTATGGTTTCATGTATAGTATTGAGGCCTTTAATCCATTTTGATTTGACTGTTGACCCTGGCATTAGAAAGAGGTCTGAGTCCATATTTTCACATGTAGGTGCACAGTTTTCCCAGGTGCTCACTCTCTTTCCAGAAAGCTTCCCAGAGTAGAATCTATTCCTCTACCACTGTAGTCGCAGAGACTACCACTGCCATTGTGAGAGGTAGTACAGTGGGTAGGCTGCTTGCGGTTAACCTGGGTTCAATCTCTGATCCCTAGATCTACAGTTCTATATCATATATATATACATATATAATGTCATTTTCTGCAATGGCACTTTATTTTTATTGTAGGAGTATTGTCATCTCTTCAGCCATTGGTTAGGCTGATTGAATTGAGCATGAACTCCACCTTACTTTTTTTTCCCTCTTTTTTATAATTTTATTTATTGAATCACTGTGAGAGTAGTTACAAAGCTTTTGGGTTTAAATCTCAGTCATACAATGATGAAACACCTGTCTCTCACCCATTTTCCACCACCAAAAACCCCAGTTATACCCCCCCATCCCTCCCCCTCCCCCTGTCTGTGGGGCAGATGATTTCCACATTGATTACATTCAATATTTCAACACCAGACCCACCATTATTATTTGGGATTGTACCCCAACACTCAGATCTGCTGAAAAGGCAATAGTAGACAATTTGCTTTTTATTGTCGGTTATGAATAACATATGATGTCACACAGCCTGAGTAGTGGCCACGAGATTTTGGAATTCCAAAATTTAAACAATTAAATCTGGAGGGATTTTTGCCAAAAGCTGCTGGTTTCTGAGATGTGTTCCTGAGTCTCTGGGATCATGGCCGTTAAGCAGTTTGATCAGGAGCCAGAGAGGCCGTTCATGGGTGGTGACTCGGAGTCTCATTGGGGCAGGGAGAAAAGGGCTGGTTCAACTCCCATCCCATGAGGCCCCGTGTGCCTTGTCACTGTGGCCCAAATCTGACCATCCAATGGCCTCTGGAGGATGGTGGCCACCGAGCCGCCAGGGGGAAAAGGTCAAAGCATGAAACCTATTCCCAGCTGGGGTGACCCAGGGCTGGTAACCTAATGCAGGGACTGGACGCATTTCTGCCAAAAGCCACTGGGTTCCGAGATTTGTTTCTGAGTCTCTGGGATCATGGCCATTAAGCATCTTGATCAGGAGCCAGAGAGGCCGTTCGTGGGTGGCAACTCAGGGTCTTGTTGGGATGGGGAGGAAAGGGCCAGCTCTACCCCCTCCCATGAGGCCCTGCAGGTCTCATCACTGCCGGCCAAACCTGACCAACCAATGGCCTCTGGAGAATGGCAGCCACCGAGCTGCCAGAGGAAACAGGCTAAGGCTTGAAATCTATTCCCAGCTTGGGTGGCCTAGCGCTGGTAACCTACTGCAGGGATTGGATGCATTTCTGCCAAAAGCTGCTGGGTTCCGAGATTTGTTTCTGAGTCTCTGGGATCATGGCCGTTAAGCAGTTTGATCAGGAGCCAGAGAGGCCGTTCATGGGTGGTGACTCGGAGTCTCATTGGGGCAGGGAGAAAAGGGCTGATTCAACTCCCATCCCATGAGGCCCCGTTTGCCTTGTCACTGTGGCCCAAATCTGACCATCCAATGGCCTCTGGAGGATGGTGGCCACCGAGCCGCCAGGGGGAAAAGGTCAAAGCATGAAACCTATTCCCAGCTGGGGTGACCCAGGGCTGGTAACCTAATGCAGGGACTGGACGCATTTCTGCCAAAAGCCACTGGGTTCCGAGATTTGTTTCTGAGTCTCTGGGATCATGGCCATTAAGCATCTTGATCAGGAGCCAGAGAGGCCGTTCGTGGGTGGCAACTCAGGGTCTTGTTGGGATGGGGAGGAAAGGGCCAGCTCTACCCCCTCCCATGAGGCCCTGCAGGTCTCATCACTGCCGGCCAAACCTGACCAACCAATGGCCTCTGGAGAATGGCAGCCACCGAGCTGCCAGAGGAAACAGGCTAAGGCTTGAAATCTATTCCCAGCTTGGGTGGCCTAGCGCTGGTAACCTACTGCAGGGATTGGATGCATTTCTGCCAAAAGCTGCTGGGTTCCGAGATTTGTTTCTGAGTCTCTGGGATCATGGCCATTAAGCAGCTTGATCAGGAGCCAGAGACCGTTTGTGGGTGGTGATTTGGGGTTTCATTGGGGCGGGGAGGAAAGGGCTGACTCCAGCCCCATCCCATGAGGCCCTGTGTGTCTCGTCACTGAGAGCCCAAACCTGAGTGTCCATTGGCCTTGGAAGATGGCTGCCACCGAGCTGCCAAGAGGGAGCAGGTGGAGGGACAACACCCTTTCCCCCGTGGGGTGGTCTGGCTCTGGTAAACCCATTGCAGGGACTGGACGCATTTCTGCCAAAAGCTGCTGGGTGCCAAGATTTGTCTCTGAGTCTCTGGTATCATGGATGTTAAGCAGTTCGGTCAGGAACCAGACAGGCCTTGCCTCCCGTTATATGCTGAACCGGAGGTGGTTTGTGGGTGTGTCTCCCACTTACTTAACTTTTGACCATTTACTTTCTTAATAAACTTTGCCCCAAGTTTTTGGGGTCTGGCCAAAGACACAGCAGCAATTTTGGGGTATCTGGAAATCTGAAGGTGCCATCAAGCTGCTTATGCACTCGCCTCACAGGTACAGATTGACCTGCTGGTGGCACCATATCCCGAGCAATAGCACTATCTTTACAGAATTGTTTTATTTCTTTGGTGATCTGTATTTTAATAGATTTTAGCCAAATGATAAATAATAGTCAAATGAGTGTTGAAAGATTAATAGGTGGGCTAGAAAGATGGTACAGTAGGTAAGATGCTTGTCTTGCACATGGCTAACCTGGATTTGATCCCTGGCAACACATATAAGTCTCCTGAACATCACCAGGAGTGATTCCAGAGTGCAGACTTTCAAAAGAAGTTCTGAACACAGGGCTGGGTGTACCAAGAACCAAAATGGTAATAGAAGGAAAAATGGTGATTTAACTTTTGAAAATGTTAAGAAAACCCACCTTCAGCAGATTGGTACTTGTAGGTATTTCTTAAACGGTTCAGTGTAGTTTCCTAAATATATATATATATTATTTTTTATTATTTATTTATTTATTTTGCTTTTTGGGTCACACCCGGCAATGCACAGGGGTTATTCCTGCCTCTGCACTCAGGAATTACTCCTGGCAGTGCTCAGGGGACCATATGGGATGCTGGGAATCGAACTCAGGTCGGCCGTGTGCAAGGCAAACGCCCTACCCGCTGTGCTATTGTTCCAGCCCCACCTAAATATATTTTTAATTCCCATTTTATTTACAGAGCTCAAACCATTCCTGTTTTTAAGGAAGTAAAGGAGCAGCTTTTGGAAGATGCTGTCACAGAGAAGGACTCTGCTCTTCAGGAGACCAGAGCTTCACCGAGTGGAATTGATTCAGCTGCCACTGTAGCCGCAGCCACTGCTGCTGCCATTGCGACAGCGGCTCCATTGATAAAGGTAGATTCTTTTACGACTGCTGTATGAAAGGTCATAATATTTACTAGGGACTGATTCTGTATGTAGTTGAGTCAAATTTTAGACTGATGATGCTGTCGTTGCTTTCAACTTGAAAGAATTTTCCTGCTGTGGTGTTGTATATTATATTGCCTTCTAGGAGTTGAGACTTCTTTTAGAAAGGTTTTTTTAAATTACTATTATATCAAATTGACCACTGTTTGTATTCATGGCAATTAAGACTTTATGTACTTTTGGGTGCGGGAATTTGGGTCACACCTGGCTGTTTTCCAGAGTTCCTGCTGACTTTGTTCAGAGATTACTCCTGGCAGGGTTTGGGGGACCATATGTGGTGCTGGGAATAGGAATGGGATCAGCCACATTCTAGGCAAACACCTTGACTCCTGTACTCTCTCTCTGGACCCACAATGTGAGATTTTTCCCTCATAGCTGTGATAATGCCCGAGAACCCAGGATTTTTGCAGTTTGGTACCAAAAAATCTGTATTGAGAAATTTCCTCAGTCCATTGAAACCCAGGATAATTGGTCATCCTTATTCTAGAACTTGAAGGCTCCTCTGAGGCCATCTATGTCAGTCCCTTCCTTGACTTGTCAATGGGAAAGTTGGAATAGGCACAGGATCCTAGTAGCTAATCAATAGCAAGACTAGAAGTTAAGGCTGCTGTCTTAGTGAAATCTCAAAATCTGCTTTGTTTTGCTATTTCTCATTTTTGTTGGTTGTATTGTAAAAATTCTACGTAGCAAATTCAGTATCTTTTTATGACAAAATTTATGTAGGGAAGCTTTTTTAAATGTGGGAGTATTGCTATTTATTCAGCCATTGATTAGGCTGATTATATTGGGCATGAACTCCACATGTAAGGAAACTCTTGTTCATATCTCTATAAACTCACTTTGCTTCACTTTTTAAGGTAATTAAGCATAGTTTTTGATCTTTTGATCTTTATTTTTCTCTCAGGTGCAAAGTGATTTGGAAGCAAAAGTCAATTCTGTTACAGAATTAATCAATAAGTTACAGGAGACCGATAAGCAGTTACAACGTGTTACAGAGCAGCAAACAAGCCTTCAGAGGAGTCAGGAGAAAATACACTGTCATGATCATGAGAAGCAAATGAATGTGTTTATGGAGCAGCACATTAGGCATCTCGAAAAACTGCAGCAACAGCAACTAGATATTCAGGTATTTATATAAAGCCACCATGACACTCAGATCCCTCATCACTGGGAACTAAGTTGACAATGATTCCTCATTGCAGTGGCTCATTTAACTGTAACCCTTTCACATCTTGCATAATGATTGGCTTGTTCGTGTTTCCCTAGTAGGAAGAGACCAATGCATGTGCTGGTTGGACACCACTAACCAGAGAGAACATTCCTTTTATAGTATAGCTGTTTTCCTTTTATAGTATTTCTTTTCACATGTTAAAAAAAAAAAGCTCTTATATCACATCGCAGATGTTTATATTTGGACTTTGTAAAAATAGAATAGATTCCCTTATTCATGGTTTTGCTTCCTATAATTTAGGAAAATAATGCCAACAAGGTTTTGGTTATTTGGGGGGGATGGGGTTTCCACACTCTCTTGTCAGGGGTTTCCTGGTTCTGCAGTCAGGAATCACTCTTAAGTGGACTTGGAGGACCAGATAGGGTACCTGGGATCAAACCCGGGTCAGCTATATATGCAAGGCAAACTTCCTACCTCTGTACTGTATTATTCAAGCCTCACAGATGTTTTTTGAGCCACCACTTGCATATAACTTTTATTATAGTATATTATTAAATTGTTTTACTATCAGATGTTAATTTCCACTGTACTTAATTTATTTGTAAGTTAAAGTTTTGTCATTAGTGTGTATGTGTAAAAAATACATAGTATTGGTTTCAGAGAGATAACATAGCAGGTCAAGAGCGTGCCTTGCATGTGGCTAACCCAGTTCAATCCTAGTACCCCATATGATCTCCCAAGCCCCACGAGCTATGATTCTTGATGTCAGAGCCAGCAAATGAGTGTGTAAAGGCCTGAGTACAGCTGGTTGTACTCAGCTGTACCCAAAACAAAATAAGTAAAATTATATATATATGTACAGATATATATAAAGTTTTATACTATCAGTTTTATTTATTTTTCTTTATTGTTTATTTGTTCTTGTGCCACACCTATTAGTGCTCAGGGCTTACTTCTGACTCTAAGCTCAGGGATCACTCCTGTCAGGAATTATGGGGACCATGCGGGGTTTCAAGGATTCAACCTGCACTCAGGAATTCCTGCTGGTGGTGCTCGGGGGAATATATGAGATGCCAGGCTCAAATTTGGGTCAGCCACTTGAAAGGCAAAGGCCCTACCTGCTGTACCCGATCCTGCTCCCTGGAGTTTGGATTTTTGAGCCAATCCCTGTCTGATCCTCCATCTTTTTTATAGTTTTTCTCTACCTAGTATACAACTTTAAAAAGATCAGTTTTATTAGGTAAGATGTTTACTTATTCAGGGTATTTTAGTAATAGTGTTGAAAGCTGTGTTGCTCCTATATTTCCCATTTATCTAAAAATGCATTGTTTAATTGTTGTTACTGAGCATATATATTCAAGCATTGGTTTTTATTTTATTTTTGTGGTGCTGGGGATAAATCTCACTTCACACATGCAAGGAAAAGTGCTCTACTGTGAAGTCATTTCTTTAGACCGTGATGATTGTGTGTGTCTGTGTGTGTGTGTGTGTGTGTGTTTATGGGGGGTGGGGTAGGTTTGGGGAAGAGTTTTTCCATTCCCAGCAGCACTCAGGGACTGCTCCTGGCTCTGTACTCAGGGATCACTCTGGCAGTGCTCAGGAGACCACTTGTGGTGCTGGTCATCAAACCAGGTTCAATTACCTATAAAGCAAACATCTTACCCTTGAACTAACTCCCTGGCTCCTGGGAATGTTTTTTAATCTTCATATGAAATCTTACATTCCTTGATATGAAACATAAGATGTTTTGCTTTTAAATTCTCTTGTTGGGGTAGAGACCTGGTTCTAGGGCCTCTTCCTCTGATCCTCTCCTAGCCTGCTTGAGGGGTCCATGTACCACCTCTGTGATAGAATGAAAGGTAAGATTCAGAATGGTTTGATCAAGATTACACTGAAGAGAGCCAGACTTCAGGTAGTCTTTGAGTTGATATGTCCCACCAGTGGCATTTCTGCTACAGTGGATAGTTACATTGTAATACATGACTTTCATTGTTTCCGAAATATATTTAAGCGCTCTGTATTTTGTCATCCAATTTTCAAATGACATTTGAATCTAATACAGTAATTTTGTGTCTTTTAGACTCATTTCATCAGTGCTGCATTCAAGACTAGTAATTTTCAGCCTGTCATGTTGCCTCATTCTAATGCAGTAGAAAAGAATTCTGTAAAACCAGACCATTCTCATTTTGGTAGCAGTAATCTATCCTCACATAACATATTTGCTTCCAAACAAGGTAAAAATATATACTTTTCTATGAACAAATAATGTCAATTATGAATTTCCTTTGTAGTGTAATATTTGAATACTTACTAGGTTATGGGCTGGAGTGATAGCACAGTGGTAGTTCATTTGCCTTACACGCAGCCAACATGGCCAACCCAAGTTCGATTCCTCCGCCCCTCTCGGAGAGCCCAGCAAGCTACCGAGAGTACCTCGCCCGCACGGCAAAGCCTGGCAAGCTACCCGTGATGTATTTGATATGCCAAACACAGTAACAACAAGTCTCACAATGGAGATGTTACTGGGCCCGCTCGAGCAAATCGATGAACAACAGGAGGACAGTGCTCTAGTGCTCTACAGTGCTCTACTAGGTTGTAGAAGACCAACTTTTTGCCAGATGAAATGAGTTTCTTTCAGTTAAAGTATTTTAATACATTTAAAAAAATATTCAGTCAAATTATGGATCATGTTCTGCTTTGTGGTTTAATTAATATAAAATTATTAATTGTGGAAAGCAGTTTGAAATTTTAAAATTAGAAAGGTTTTACTTATCAAATATCAAAATATTTATTGATTTTTCAGCTCCCTGAAAGATCACATTTTTTTTTTTTAGTTCATTTGGTTAGGAGAGAAACTGCCTGATTACAGTTATTAACTGTTTCTAAATATTTTCAGTTAGTAGCAAAATATTAAAAATCCCCATTCTAATAAATATAAGTATTTTTTTGTTGTTGTTTCAACAAAAGATGCACTACTATTATTTAGACTTTATACCCCCAAACCAGACATGCTGAAAAGGCATTGTGAATTTGTTTTCTACAGCTGGTCACAAGATTTTGAATTTCTGGTATTTTACCTATTGACCCTGGAAGTATTTCTGCTGAGAGTCAGATAATTATGAGATTGGTTTCTATGCTCTGGAGCCTTGGCCGTGCCGGAGAGCCGCTTGTGGGGGGCAACTCGTGACCTCGGTAGGGCGTGAAGGACAAGCCGGGAATGCCCCCCTTCCCATGAGGGTTTAGTCGCCCCATCACGACCGGCTCATACCTGGTTTCCACAAAGCTCTGAAGCGGCTGCCATCTTTCTTTCCAGAGCAAGAAATAAAAGTATTTCCAGCTATACGGATATAAGTATTAAACAAGTGAGGGCATAAATTTTTGTACATTCAGGAAAGACAAGGTACAAATCCTTGAACTCAGATTTTGCAGCCTTCTTCCAAATTTTGCTTGTCAAGAAAAATCCCAGAGGAATCTAGTATCCATTTTATTAGAGTTCACTGATTACCAGAACTCTTTGCCCCTTGAGAGGGTGACTCTCAGTTTTCTTAATATTCACTTAAATTGAGTCTGCTATTCCATATCTAAGCCTTGTCAGCTTTTTAATATTAGCAGTGTAGCCCTTAAATAAGCAATTTTCCATTTTCAGTGAAAGTCAGTATCCTATCCATCATGTATTTTTTCCCTTTGGTGATTAGTTGTTCATTGTGTGCCACTGTTGATAAGCGTTATGAAAGTAACAGATTCCACATGCTGAAGATAATCTAATATTGCCTGTGTAGGGGTAGATGGCTATACTGCTAGGAAGTGATGATGGAAAACAGAAAAAAAATGAAGTTTAAAATAATAAATGAATAAATGACTCCAAATTATTGATATTTGAGTAATAAACTAATAAAAATTGGGCCAGGACAATAGTAGCAGGTCTTTGCATTGCATGCAGCGATCTGAATTCCAGCACCCTGTATGGTCTCCCAAACCCACTAGGAGTGATACTTGAGTGCAGAGCCAGGAGTAAGCCTTGCGCATGGCCCAGTGTGGCTCCCAAACAAAACAAAATCAAAAAAAGGAAAAAGAAAATTAAGGGCCTATAGGGCGTTTGCCTTGCACACTGCCAACATGGCCGACCCGAGTTCGATTCCTCTGCCCCTCTCGGAGAGCCCGGCAAGCGACCGAGAGTATCTCGCCCACATGGCAGAGCCTGGCAAGCCACCCGTGATGTATTCGATGTGCCAAACACAGTAACAACAAAATCTCCAATGGAGACGTTACTGGGCCCGCTCGAGCAAATTATTTTTATGCAGAATAGTGTTTTCAACTTTGATTTGTTAGAAGATTATATTTCAGAATTTTAAAGACTGCTTATGCTTGTGTATGGGTTTACTTTTGGATTTTGCTTTTGGACCATGCCTGGCAGTGCTCAGGACTACTTCCAGGTTTGTGCTTGACTGGGGACCGTTTGGTACTAAGGATCAAACTCTGGCTTCCTATATGCAAAGCATATGTTCACCCTTTCAGCATATCTCTGACTCTGGGCTTACTCTTAAAACTTTTGTGGGTAATTTTTTTCAATACTTTAGTTTTTTTCTTTGTTTTTTGTAGAATTTCTTTTCTTCTTTTCCCTTTTTTTAAAATTTTTAATTAATTAATTTTGTTTTGTTTTGTTTTTTGGGTCACACCCAACAATTCTCAGGGGTTACTCCTGGCTCTGCACTCAGAAATTACTCCTGGCAGTGCTGGGGCGGGGGGAGGGGGAACCATATGGGATGCTGGGGATTGATCCCAGGTCAGCTGCGTGCAAGGCAAACGCCCTACCCACTGTACTATCAGTCTGGCCAGGATTTCTTATATTTGTAAGATGCCTAAGATTTTACAACAAAAGCATGTTCCTTTTGAAACTGTTATAAAATAATATGAGTCAGTTTAAATTCAAAGGAATGAAGATGAAGCTTGTTGCTTATGATTTTCTTGTTCAAGGTCACCATGCTGGAGAGAAGGAGAGGGAGAGAGGACTAAAGTGATAGCTGAAACTTTGATTTCAGCATGACACACCTGTGTGCTTGCTAAATATAGAGACTTGCTTCAAACTTGATTCCAGAAAGCTCCTGGCTCACAATTTTTTATTTTCAGATGAGTTGGCAGACAGGGGGGTTGTGTATGTGGTAGGGAAGAAATTGGCCACAGTCAGCGTTCTCAGGGGCTACTCCTGACTCTGTGCTCGGGAGTCATTGACGGTGCTCAGGGCACTGTGTATAGTGCTGCCCTTTGAACTGGAGTTAGCAATATGCAAGACAAGTGCTTTAACCCCTGCACTGTCTCTCCTGGGTCCTTTTCATAAGAGCATTAGGAAATGTTTTTTGCGTGTTCTATCTTTGTTTGTTTGTGGATTTTAAAAGTGATATTAATAAAAGGGAAGAAAGAAATTAAAAATCAACAAATAAAATTTTTATGTTTTCTTTGTTTTTAGGCATTTTTAAAAATTTGTAGCAGATATGCATTTTTAGCTGCTTTTTTAAAATATCAGAAGTGTTTTTCATTATTTTTATAGTTTTACATACTTTTAGGGCTGGAGCGATAGCACAGCGGGTAGGGCGTTCGCCTTACAAGCGGCCGACATGGCCGACCCGAGTTCGATTCCTCTGCCCCTCTCAGAGAGCCCGGCAAGCTACCGAGAGTATTCGATATGCCAGACACAGTAACAACAAAGTCTCCAATGGAGACGTTACTGGGCCCGCTCGAGCAAATCGACGATCAACGGGAGGGCCTTTACCTTTACCTTACATACTTTTAATTTCCAATAACTAAAGCATAGTCTATAAAATTACTGTTTCATAATATATTTAACATTTATACTGTCAATGAACCGTTAATGGTTTCAGTGATTTTTCTTATATAAACAATACCAAAATGGAATTAATTATATATTTGATATTTTTCTTCTTTGAAGATTATTTCCTTATTATAATTAAGGCAAATTAATTACATTAAATAAATTCCATTAAAATCGTGTAATTTTTAAAATTTTATTTTCAATTATGGATCTACATAAAAATTTGCTTTCTGAACTTAGTACCTGATCACGTTAACAATTTTGTTTATCTGAAGCAAAATGTCTCTGTCATTTCCACTACAGCATTTAAGCTACTTACGGCATTGGATATTATCGTACTCACTTTTTTATGTATTAGCTATAATTGTAAACTGCAATCTATTTCTAGTGAGGATATAGTTGTTTTTGTAGCATGTTAATAATTTAGTATTTCTATGTCTAATATTATTATATCCTAAACTTGTCTAGCCTATATCATTTGATTTTAGTTTTACAGTATGGGGAAATAATAGTATTCTACAATTAAATTTTTTTCTTTAGATTTATTTATTTATAAATTTTTAGTAGTGAAACACCATGAAGTACAGTTGTAGACTTACAAATTTTTGTGCTTGGGTTTCAGTTATACAATGATCAGTGATCGAGTACCCATCCTTCCACCAGTGCCCATTCTCCACCACCACTGGTCCCAGTATCCCTCCCAACCCCCACCCCCCGCCCCCGCCTCTGTGGCAGGACATTTCCTTTTGTTCTCTCTCTCCTTTTGGGTTCTGTGGTTTGTAAAAGAGGCATTGAGTCGCAATCATGTTTGATCTATAGTCTACTTTCAGCATGCATCTCCCATCCTGGGTGGATCCTCCCAACACCCTTTATTTGGTGCTCCCTTCCCTATCTGAGCTGCCTTTTCCCCTAGCATGTGTGGCTGGCCTCCAAGCCATGGAGTGAACCTCCTGGTACTTATCTCGGCTGTTCTTGGGTGTTAGTCTTCTATTTTGTTACTTTATGTTCCCCAGATAAATGCAATCTTTCTATGTCTGTCCCTGTCTTTCTGACTCATTTCGCTTAGCATTATCCTTTTATATAGTACCATTTGTATATAAATTTCATAACTTCCTCTTTTCTAACAGCTACATAGTAAGCCATTGTGTAGATGTACCAAAGATTCTTTGACCAGTCATCTGTTCTTGGGCACTCAGGTTTTTTCCAGATTCTGGCTATTGTAAACACTGCTGCAATGAACAAACAAGTGCAGATGTCACATCGACTATACTTTTTTGCCTCTCTGGGATAAATTCCCAAGAGTGGTATTGCTGGGTCAAATGGGAGTTCAATTTCTAATTTTTTGAGAATCGTCCATCCTGTTTTCCAAAAGGGCTGAACCAGTTGGCGTTCCCACCAGCAGTGAAGGAAGGCCCCTTTCTCGCCACATCCATGCCAACACCGGTTGCTTTTCTTCTTTTGGATGTGGGCCAGTCTCTGTGATGTGAGATGATATCTCATTGTGGTTTTGATCTGCATTTCCCTGATGATTAATGATGTAGAGAATTTTCTCATGTGCCTTTTTGCCATTAGGATTTCTTCTTTGATAAAGTTTCTGTTTATTTCATCTTCCCATTTTTTGATGGGGTTGGATGTTTTCTTCTTGTGGAGTTCAACCAGTACTTTTTATATCCTTGCTATCAATTCCTTGTGGAATGTATATTGGGCAAATATCCTTTTCCGTTCTGTAGACTGTCTTTGTATTTTGGTCACTGTTTCTTTTTAGGTGTAGAAGCTTCTTAGTTTAAGATAGTCCCATTTGTCTATCTCTGTTTTCACTTGCTTGGACAGTGGCGTGACATCTTTGAAGATACTGTTAGCTTCAGTGTTGTAGAGGGTTTTGCCAACCTTCTCTTCAATGTACCTTATGGATTCTGGTCTGATGTTGAGATCTTTACTCCATTTTGATCTGACTTTTGTACGTGGTGTTAGGCAGAGATCTGAGCCCATTTTTTTTTTTTTGCATGTAGCTGTCCAGTTTTGCCAGCACAATTTGTTAAAGAGGCTTTCCTTGCTCCACTACACATTTCTTGCTCCCTTATCAAAGATTAGATGATCATATGTTTGGGGGGAGATGTCAGTATATTCAACCCTGTTCCATTGGTCTGCAGCTCTGCCTTTGTCCCAGTACCATGCTGTTTTAATTTTACTGCTTTGTATTAGAATTTGAAGTTAGGGAGGTTGATTCCTCCCATTTTCTTTTTCCCAAGTATTGCTCTAGCTGTTCGTGGGTGCTTATTGTTCCATATGAATTTCAGGAGTGTTTGCTCTATTTTTTTGAAGAATGTCATGGGTATCGCTATAGGGATCACGTTGAATTGTACAGTGCTTTGGGAAGTATTGCCATTTTGACAATGTTAATTCTCCAATCCATGAGCAGGGGATATCTTTCCATTTTCTCGTGTCCTCTTTTATTTCCTGAAGTAGGATTTTGTAATTTTCTTTGTACAGGTCTTTTACTTCCTTAGTTAAGCAGATTTCTAGGTACTTGATTTTCTGGGGCACAATTGTGAACAGGATTATTTTTTTTCTATCACTTTCTTCTCTCTCACTATTTGCGTATAGGAAAGCCGTGGACTTTTGGGTATTGATTTTATAGCTTGCAACTTTACTATGTAAGTCTGTTGTTTCTAGGAGTTTCTTGGTAGAGATTTTAGGGTTCCTTAAGTATAGTATCATATCATCTGTGAATAGTGAGAGCCTGATTTCTTCCTTTCCTACCTGAATGCCCTTAATATCTTTTTCTTGCCTAACCGCTATTGCAAGTACTTTCAGTACTATTTCGAACATCAGTGGAGAGAGTGGACATCCTTGTCTCGTCCCTGATCTTAGAGGGAAGGCTCTCAGTATTTCCCCATTGAGGATGATGCTTGCTGTAGGCTTGTGGAAGATGGCTTTAACTGTATTGAGGAAAGTTCCTTCTATACCCATTTTGGCAAGGGTTTTCATTATAAATGGGTGCTGGATCTTGTCAAATGCTTTCTCTGCATCTATTGATATGATCATATGGTTTTTATCTTTTCTTTTGTGGATCTGATAGATAACATTGATTGATCACTGAATTTTAAACCATCCTTGCATCCCCGGGATGAATCCCACTTGGTCATGGTGTATGATCTTTTTGATGAGTTGTTGAATTTTAATTGCTAGTGTTTTGTTGAGATTCTTCGCATCCATGTTCATCAGGGATATCGGCCTGTAGTTTTCTTTTCTTGTGTTGTCTTTGTTTCCTTTTGATATTAGAGAAATATGGGCTTCGTAAAACTGTTTGGGAGAGTTTCTGTTTCTTCAATTTCCTGGAAAAGCTTGAGAAGAACTGGCAATAGGTCCTCTTTAAATGTTTGGAAAAATTCGCTAGTGAATCCATCTGGACCTGGGCCTTTGTTTTTGGGAAGACTTTTGATTACAGTTTCAATTTCCTTGATGTTAATAGGTCTATTCAGGTACTCTAGATCTTCTTCATTCAGCCTTGGGAGATTATAGGAATCCAGGAATTTATCCATTTCTTCTAGGTTCTCTTGTTTCATGGCATACAGACTTTCAAAGTGGTCTCTGATGATCTTTTGAATTTCTTTGGTGTCTGTTGTGATACCCCCTTCTCATTTCTGACTTGATTTATTAGGGTTCTCTTTGTCTCTCTTTCTTTGTGAGTCTTGCTAGTGGTTTATCTATCTTGTTTATTTTCTCAAGAACCAGCTCTTCTTTTCATTGATCTTTCTGATTTTTTTGGTTTCCATGTTGTTGATTTCTGCTCTAAGTTTTATGATCTCTTTCCTTCTGCCTGATTTGGGCTCCTTTTGTCAATCCTTTTCTAAGATCTTGAGCTGTGAGGTCAAGTTGTTTATGTGGTTCCTTCTTTCCTGAGAAATGCTTGCAGAGCTATAAATTTCCCCCCTTAACATGGCTTTAGCTGCATCCCATAGGTTCTGGTAGCTAGTGTCTTCATTCTCATTTGTTTCCAGGTATCTTTTTATTTCGTCCTTGACTTCCTTCCTGACCCACTTGTTGTTCAACGATAAGTTGTTTAATTTCCAGGTTTTTGATTTGGTTCTCCCGATCTGTGTGTTAATCACTTCTATTCTCAGTGCCTTGTGGTCTGAAAAGATTGTTGATACTATTTCTGTCTTCTTGATTCTATTGAGGTATGTTTGTGGCCTAGCACTTGGTCTGTTTTGGAAAATGTTCCGTGTGCACTGGAGAAGAATGTGTATTCTTTTTTGGGTGGGTGTTCACTTATCCCACCTTTGCCTTTGGGCTTGGGCGTTTCCTCTGATAGGTCTGATGTGTATCTAAGGGGTGCTCCTTTGTATGTGATTTTCTTCTTAGACCTTGCTGGTTGCAGTATTGTGTCTCTATCAGTGCATCCATCATTCTAACTATGATATGTCTTGAAGTGTTTTTGTTATAACCAAGTCCCGGGTTCAAATACTAACAGAGAAACTGACCTGGTGGAGGAAGAAGACCCATTTAATTTTTTTTAAGTAAGTTAAATTTATTATTTTCTCTTTAAGCACCTTCGAGAGAGTTTGAAGGTAGAGACCTTGATAAACAACTATCTCCCTTGGAGATACCAGCACCACGCAGGTTTGCTCCAGTACCTGTTTCAAAGGATGATAAAATATCAAAGAGAGAAGATCCTGTAGAAGAAAAAGAAAATATGGTGATGTCAGGACATACAGGTAATAAGGCAGTTATAATCAGCAGCCATTGCTTTTATTAGACATCTCAAATTAGGAACTGATTTGCATATGTGATTTCTAGTTTTCCAACGTATGTCATAATATCTAAAGTAGGATCTATTTTTTTAATATTTTTCTTTAAATGATTTAAATTGAGCAAATCCAATGTCTTAAGATTGTTTGTAGAAATAATTGGAGGTTACAATTGTAATGTCTTCTAATAAACTTTATTATTTAAACTTAAAATGAACAAGTTTTGTTATTGGTAATTAAAACTATCACTGTCACTGTCCTCCCATTGTTCATCGATTTGCTTGAGTGGACCCAGTAACGTCTCCATCGTGAGACTTGTTGTTATTGTGTTTGGCATATTGAATACGTCATGGGTAGCTTGCCAGCCTTTGCTCTATGCATTGCTGAAATTAAAACTGATTACTTCAGAGCCTCTTTTCTTGTTGTTTTTTTTTTTTTATGGTCACACCCAGAGGTTCAGGACTTAACTCCTGGCTCCACACTCAGGGATCATACCTGGCAGAGCTTGGGGAATCATGGTCATATAAGGTGTTGGGGATCGAACCAGGGTCAGGCTGTGTGGAAGGAAAGCGCCTTGCCCACTGTACTATCACTCAAGCCCAGTGTTAAACTTCTTTGAGTTTTATTGTTAAAATCACACCTAAGGGGCTAGAGCAATAGCAAGCAGGTAGGGTGCTTGCCTTGCATGCGGCCAACCCGGGTTCGATTCCCAGCATCCCATATGGTCCCCTGAGCACCTTCAGGGGTAATTCCTGAGTGCAGAGCCAGGAATAACCCCTGTGCATCACCAGGGGTGACCCAAAAAGCAAAAAAAAATCACACTTAAAACCAGTATAAGGAAATATGCTTTATGGGACAAGAATGGCAGTACAGTGGGTAAAGCTCTATGCCTTGCATAGGGCTGACAGTGGTTTGATATAGCACCACATTTACACATCCAAGCAATGCTAGGAGTTACCCCTGAGCTTAGAACCAGAAATAAGCCTTGAGCACTGCCAAGTGTGGCCCGAAAACAAAAAGGAAAAACATGAACGTCTGGAGCAGTACAGCTAGTATGGCATTGCTTTGGACTTGGCCAACCTACCTTCGTTACCCAGAATTTTTCCTGAGTCTGCCAGGAGTGATCCCTGCACATAGAGCCAGGAGTAAACCCTGAGTACTGCCAGATGTGGCCCGTAAACCAAAAAAAGAACAACAAAAAATAAGTTTAACATCAGTTATTCTGCTCAATTGCAAGGTTATGTGAACTTTTTAGTAAAGAGCAAGAAAGTGACTTGAAATGATTTTATAGACCCTTAAAAGATAGTTTTGCTAGGGCCAGAGAAGAGAGTACAGGAGGTAAAGCACTTTGCCTTGCAGTGTGTGGACATTTCAGCTGACCCTGGTTGGATCACTAGTACAGTGTATGGTCTCCTAATCACTTCGACGGGTCCCCCCTGAGGCTGTGGTGTGCAATCCAACCCCCTTACCCAAATATATATATTATATATACTCCTTCTAGAGAAAGTAAGTGAAAAAAGCTAGTAAGCCTTTCTTCTTGGAATTACTTTAGTGTGATCATGCAAGTTTGGTCAATTCATTGTGATACTTTTCATTCAAATCCCTTTGTTCTGTGATGAATGGTAATTAAACCCTAAACCCTATTATTATTTCTTTTAAATTGACTGGCCCCCTCTCCTCACCTTGCCGCTATAGATATTATGGCGACTGTGAGTGGTGCAGATGTTTGCATGTGATATTTGCCAGAGGTCATTTACCTGTGGTGGTGCTTTCATGCTCAGCTATAATGTGCACCAGGGTTTACACTCCTTTAGTTGCAATACTTGCACCTGAGCTCACCGGGATTCACATGCTTTATTTGTGGTGTTTACACACTTTCTGGTTGCATCTGCCTGGGGTTGCACGCTATAGTTGAACTCACACATGTGCTTGCTAAGGGATTACCTATATATTTTTTTTGTGATTGTGCCTCACCTAGTAATGCTCAGGGGTTACTTTCAGCTCTGCACTCCGGAATTATTTATTCCTGGCAAGCTTGGGGTTATAGGAGATACCGGGAATCCAACCTAGGTTGGCCATGGGCAAATGCCCTGTGCATTGTACTACCGCTCTGGCCCCTATGCCAACATATTAGACTGAATTGAATAGATGATCCTTGTAAATTAATACAAATATATGAGAAATTGGCTTGCTCTTTAAGCTCATGTTCTCCTTTGAACAGGTATCTTGCTTGTTTGTCTGTTTCTTTGCTTGCGGATTTCCACCGTGGAGAAACCCACGTCATCTCTTGAGCACATTTCCCTCTTTCTCTCCTCTCACATCTTTCTAAGAAATTTTCATTCAATAAAAACTCCTCTGCCTCACTAAAATACAAAGGAAAACAAAGAAACACCACAAATATATGTGAAATGTTATATAAAAGAAATGAATTCTTAAATTTTTATTGTAGGAAATGTGAGACTATTGGAACAAATTCTGAATACCCAGGATTCTTTGACAAGAAAAAGTGACTCTTCAGATAAAACCTTGCTCACTACATCAAAAATAGAATGGAATCCTGAGTACAGGCACAGGTAAAAATAAGAGATTAGAATTTAGAAAAGGCTTTGTTTATATTTCTGAAATTTCTTTAGAAATTTTAACTTAAAGCATTAAATTTAAAAATGACCTTAGATTTAGTGTTTTCAGCTGCTCATGTATCAGTTCCTTTTTCTTACTTAAAAAAGTTTTAGAATTTTTTTAATTGAATTACTGTGTGATAGATCATTAAAAAGATATTCATGATTGGGTTTCAGTCACAATGTTCCAACACCTATCCCTCCACCAGTGTGTATTTTCCACCACCAGTGCGCCCAATTTCCCTCCCACCATCCCTCAAACCCCATAGCCTGCCTCTATGACAGGCACTTTCCTTCTTTCTCTCCTTTTGTGCATTATGGTATACTATACAGGCACTAAGAAGTCATTGTGTGTGTTCAGAGAGTTCAGTTTTTTTTTACAGGGAAGCTGCAACTGATGTAGCTTATTTAACCGGGTGGAAGCTTTGGGGTGTAGATGTGATTGCCAGGGCTTCCAAAAGTACAGGAAGGTGGGGGGGAGGTAGCCTATTCTGAGTCCAAGAGAATCCTCGGTATTTCAGTCACAAAACATGCATACCCAAATTTTTAGCAGGCTAATTTCTTGGTGAGGTCCATCTTGAGATAGTGGGGTGTGACCAGGGACATGGCAGTGATTTTGGATTGTGGGAGCAAGTGACTGCCTGGTGCACTATTTGAGCTGGCACTGACTGACCCACCCCATAATCTTCTGATGTGCCCTGAATTATTCAGCCATGCATGGGTCCGAGAAGATTTACTGCATCTTTTTGATCTCTTTTGAGAATTTATGAGTCTCTGGAGCAAAGCCAATAAATGAGTTTGTATGGAGGAACTAGAGGTGGTTGTGGGTGTGGCTCCCACATACCTAAATTTTGGTCGTTTGAATTCCTTGGAAAACTTAGTTCTGAGTTGTTGGAGTCTTGGAGGCATAGCAGCAATTTTGGGGTGTCTGGAAATCCAAGGACACCATCAGGCTGCTCTTGCTCTTGCCCTGTGGGTCCATGTTGACCCGCTGGTGGCGCTGCACCCTCTGGGTCCCAGTGGTGATGGCAACAGTGGCCCTAGCAGAAACCAGGACTTGGGCCAGGGTGACTGCTGTGCTTGGCTCAGGCACTACAGGTGGGCCACAGCCACTAATCCAGAAGAACGCTCAGGGAGATTATCCTCCTCAATATGCTGTGGCACTGGCGGCAGTGAAGGCTGATCCCAGGGAGCAGTGGAGGCCGGGGTGCCCTGCTGGCAGGGAATTACCATGGCCATCCCAACTTGGCCCCTGTGGTGGGAACCCGCGGTGTCCCCTTAACTCCAGGACATGCTCTCAGTGGTGCCAGCTTGGACCTGAAGGGTACTGTTCATTTACACAAGAATTCTGTTGCCACAGTGGCTCACTGCCCATACACTGAGAGTTGTGGTAGCTCCACCAGCTTTGGTGCACAGTCGTGGTGCCACTGCTGCCATCTTCATGGGTCTGGCTCCGGGCTGGCTCTCTGCAGTGGCCTCCAGATTGGTTTTGCTTAAAGGTACTCATTTTGAGATGTACTTGTGGCACCGTAGCAACTCCACAGGCTCTGCTCTTGAGTCATGGGAGAAGCAGCAGATTTTGGTCTTGGTGCGGGTTCAAGGCCTGGTGCTAGTGCTGGGCTGGCAGTGAGTCTCTGGGGCTGCTCATGGTAGGAACCTGGGGTTTCAACATTAGTTTCAGGCGCCAGGCTGGACTTGAAAAATGCCTTTTAAAACAAAAGACACTTGAATTCATTCCCATGAAATCATGCAGTGTTTGTGCCATCACGACCCGCATCTCAGAGCTCTGAGGGCCACCACCGCTCTGCCATCCCAGTTCCAGTGCCCACACTGCCTTGGCTCCCTCTGTCCCCTTTTCTGTAACATATTTGTATTAAGTGAATAAAAAATAGCTAGCTAGGGCTGGGAGAGCTCAAAGGGCTAGACAGAGTGCCTGTTTTCCTTGTGGGAAGCCTGGTTTTGATCTTTGGCACCACCTGGTCTTAGCACCATTGAGATGAGCATGGTGCCCCCAGCACTGATTGTGAGACCTCCCCCCCAAAAGAATGTAACTAATTTTCTTAAAATAGATTTTTTTGTTGAATACTATGATAGCACAGTGGGTAGGGTGTTGCACATGTCTGACCCAGACTACCCGGGTTTGATTCCTCTGCCCCTCTCGGAGACCTCGGAAAGCTACCGAGAGTATCGCACCCGCATGGCAAAGCCTGGCAAGCTACCTGTGACGTATTTGATATGTCAAACACAGTAACAAGCAGTAATAAGTGTCACAATGGAGACGTTACTGGGCCCACTCGAGCAAATCAATGAACAACAGGAGAACAGTGCTACAGAACAGTGATACAGTGCTACTATGATTCATTTTCTAATAAATTAATGTTATTTTCCTAAAAATAATCTAGTGCAAGGTAGGAGAGACTGTTGAACAGTGGATGATGGGGGCTAGGAGTGTGGCTAGGAGACAAAGCACGTACTTTGAGTGCAAGAGAATCAATCCCTGGTACTTCTGAAAGGAAGAAAGGATGGAAGTAAGGAGAGAATGAGAGGGAGAAATAGAAGGAAAGAAAAAAAGAGAAATGAAAGAAAACAGAAGAATCAAAGAAAGGAAGGAAAAAAGTAGTAAGATAAAGAAGGAATGGGGAGGAAGAAGAGCTATGTTGGCAGGAGGAGGAAAGGGCGCAGGATTAAGGTGTTTGCCTTGCATGCAATCACCCAACTCTGATCCCCTAGCGCCACATATGGTCCCCTGAGCACAGTCCTGAACACTGCCAGGGTTAGCTCATCCACCAACTACCCTTTGAAAAAGTTCAAGAAAGGAAGAGAGGGAATATATATGAGATGAGAATAGTCATGATTTAATAACTGTTATAGTTAAATAAAGGTCATTATATTATACTTTCTACTTTGCTTTATGTTTGAAATTTTACATAAGTAGAATGGTTTTGAAATATCAAGTAAATCTAGCACATAGCAATTTATTTCGAATGTCAGTAAAGACTCAGTAATAAAATCTATCACAAATAAAAACTAGAAGAATTATCTTTTTGTTTTTGGGTCACACCTAGATATGCCCAGGAGTGACCCCTGGCTCTGCACTCAAGAATTACTCCTGGCAGTCCTCTGGGACTTTATGTGTACGGATCAAACCCAGGTTGGCTGCATGTAAGGCAAGCACCCTACATGCTCTACTATCTCGATAGCCCCAGGAGAATTATCTTTTGGGTCATTTCATGTGAAGACTGTAAAATTTGAGTCCATAAATATTTAATAGAATTACTGATTAAGATTTATGTCTGCTATGTTGCTATATGTATAAGATTTTTTAAAAGTCCATTATCTATACTACCTTCTTTTGTATAAAAATATTTCTTAGGTGCTAGAGCAATAGTGCAGCATATTGGGCTAACCCAGGTTCAATTCCCTTACCCCATATATTCCCTGAGCCTGCCAGAGCCTGCCAGGAGTGATTCTTGAACACAGAGCCAAGAGTAAGCCCTGAGAGCTGCCTTGTATGGTCCAAACCTCTTCCTCTGCCCCATAACATTTTATTTCCTTTGTTTTACTATATTTTAAAAGTATTTAAAAATATTTGATTAGGAATTATAATTAGCATTTTAATTTAAAACAGTCTAGCATGGATTAATGTCTCCCCCTCCCCCCAGAGGATTGAAAGGCTCTGATGCAAAATAACTTTATTCCCTCTGATTCCTTTTTGCTGTAATAAAAATTGTTATTATTTTTATTGTCTTGGATTCCTCCCTAGCAGGAATCTCTTGGTGATGTATAGCCCCACTGTGTAGTCCTGATGACTTGGCACTCAGCTTCCTTTATTTTTCTTTTTTTTTGTTTGTTTTAATTTGTTCACAGTCTTTACTGTTAAGTAACTTCCAGTCCTATATGAAAATATGGCATAAATCGGTCTGTCTAGTTCAGAGAAATGTATACGCACAAGACTATTATAAAGGTAGCATTCAGACCTTTATAGCCTTAGTATAATGCCTTTCAATAAATAGGAATAGTTTTCTGTGTTTTGTTGTTGTTCTTTTGGGGCACTCAACTTTCATGAGACAGTGCGGCTCATGCCCTGTAGAGTGTGGGGTCCAACAGGGCTGTATTGGTTCCTCGGGGTACCATGTGGCATTGAAAATTACATGCTGGTCCTCACATATGCAGGGCACATGCTCCAGTCTTTTGCGCTAGTTCCCTGGCTCCTTATTCTGTGATTTCATATTTTATTTTACGGTTTCAGGGCCACACTTGGTGATTCTCATAAGATGTATTTTGCTGGGATTGAGCCTGAGCCTTAACTCTTTGAGTTTTCTCTTTGGCCCCACTTCCTGCTGTTGTTGTATATATTGCATATTTATACTTTTAATTTTAGTTTAGTTTATTAAATTTTAAAATTATACTTTAGGTAATATTATTTTATTGATATACAAAGTTACGTACTTCCAGTCTCCCTCCAAAGTGCTCATGACCGCCCTCCTTCCTCCCCAGGACTGTTCTTATGTCCCTTCTGGTCTGAACTTCCTTCCTCACACCATTCCCCACACTGCTGGTAGATACATTTTATAATCCAAGGCCAAAAGTTTGTCATTGTTCGATACTATCTTTGTTCGATTCCCTTATGTCCTCTATATTCCACAGATGAGTGTGATCGGCTAGTATTTTTTCTTTTCCGTCTGACTTAATTCACTTAACATGCTAGGGTACATTTTACAAGCCAGTATATACATGCCTATTTATTGCTTTTTTGTAGTTGCCTTTTTTTTTTAATCAGACAGAAGAAAGAGATGGTTACCTACATAGTTAACCTTTACCAGCACTCCTTTTTGTGTGGGGGTCCTCCCCAATGATGCTTGGGGATCTGGAGACTATTCCTAGTGATACTTGGTCAGGTGTGTGGACCTGAGAGTTTGGTGTTCCTGTACCACCAGAGTGACACCGACACTCAAATGTACTTAGTAGAGGCCACCAGGACCACATTCATAGGTGATTGGGTGTTCTGCAGTATGCAGAAGTGCTTCTGTATCTTCTTCAGAGCAAAATCTTGTTACTTTCTTTTCCTATTATGCCTAAACCAGTCAGTAATTTTTGTCTTGTGTTTTTTGGGGTGTGTGTGTGTGTATGTGTGTGTTTCATATGCTTAGTCACTTAACTGATTAATTTCTTCATAAAATATTACTATAACATAACTAAGTCCATTGGAGATTTATGTAATTATGTTTACTGAATTGGTGTCAACTTAAACTGTTCTTTTTACGAAATATTTTACAGCACTGAAACTTCTCTATCCTCTCAAAGATTACTTGCTTATGAAGTAGGAATAGGTAAAGTACAGAAGTCTGATGATACTGACCAAAAGAGGAAAGAAACAAATGGCTTGTACCAGGTAAAGTCGGAGTAGGGTATTAAAATGGATGATTAAGGGCTGAAATGATAGTACAGTGGGTTGGGCTTTTGCCTTGCATATGGCTGACCTAGTTCAATCCACAGCATCCCCTATGATCTTCTGAGCACTACCAGGAATAATTTCTTAGTGCAGAGCTCAGTAACCCCTAAGCATTGGGCAGGGGTGCCCTGAAACCCCAAATAAATAAATAAATAAATAAATAAAATGGGTGATTAATAAAGATACAAATTATGAATCAATAGGACTGGAGAGATAGTAGGCACTTGCCTTGCATGTAGATGACTCTGGTTCAGTTCTCAGCACTACATATGATCCTCTGAGCCCTTCTGGGAGTCATAGTAATCCCTGAGTTTAGAACCAGGAGTAGCACTAAGCACTGCCAATTATGTTCCCCCCATACACAAAAAGCCAAAAACCAAAAAAACCCAAACCTCTGTTGTAAAAATCTCTGAGGGTGGCCAGGGGGTGGCCCCGACGGCTCTTCCCCTGGCTGCCCAGGTTCTGGGTTGGCCTTGGTCACTCCCCCAGCCGGGCTGGAGTGATAGCACAGCGGTAGGGCGTTTGCCTTGCACTCAGCCAACATGGCCGACCTGAGTTCGATTCCTCCGCCCCTCTCGGAGAGCCCGGCAAGCTACCGAGAGTATCTCGCCCACACAGCAGAGCCTGGCAAGCTCCCCGTGACGTATTCGATATGCCAAACACAGTAACAACAAAGTCTCCAATGGAGACATTACTGGGCCCGCTCGAGCAAATTGATGATCAACGGGAGGGCCTTTACGAATAGATAAAGCTATAAAAATAGAGAACTAGAGGAAAGATGAAGGATGTCAGCCATCTTTGTTCTCTTGGCAAAACTTCCAGGAAAGTCACCAAGTGATTTCTAGTCACTTCTCCTTATCTTGGACTGAGTCACATGACTGCCTCTAGTTTCTATATTATGTTGGGGAGGAAGAAAGAAAAAAAAAAGAAAACTGTCAATGGGCATTTGACATTTACACAGTCATATGCCTGTCATACCTACTGAGCAGAAACTTGTCCTTACTTTATTTTAGCTTTCTTCACCAGGTAGAGCTTTTTTTTGCATTACTGTTTCTATATGGGAAAAGACTATTATTGCCAGTGTTTTTTTCTGTACAGTTTGATGATTGGAGTCCTCAACATATATTGGCAATAGTATATGCTAATGTCAGCATATAAATTATTTTGATAGACTATAAAATAGTAAGAGCTTATGCTTGGATTAAGGTAATAATGAATTCTACATAGCTGTTTTTGCCTTTTAAATCTTTTTTCTTTTTCTCTTCTACTTTAAAGTCAAAAGATTCTCTAATTCTATCAAGGCTTGCTGATCTTCCCCCTAATTCTGTTAAGCTTCAAACAACCAGTACGAGATCTGTATTGAAGGATGCTGAGAAAATTCTGAAAGGAGTGCAGAATAACAAAAAAGTTCTTGAGGAAAACCTGGAAGCTATTATTCGTGCCAAGGATGGAGCTGCCATGTACTCATTTATCAATGCTTTATCTACTAACAGGTAAGGCAGTGGGTTGGCATCCCAAGATTATTTATGAAAGCCTGCTCTCTAACCTTAATTATTGCTTTTGGGATGCAGGGTTTGGGCTACACCCAGTGGTACTTAGGGCTTACTTCTGCCTCTGTACTCAGGAATCACTCCTGGGAGGTGCTCAGGAGTCCATATGTGGTGCCAGGCATCAAACCCGGTTATTTAGGGTGAGTTCAAGGCAAGTGCCTTGTATGCTGTAATTTCTCTCAGCCCCTGAATTATTTTCCTGAGCACCTTATTTTACTTAGTGTATTTTAATCTCTAGAAAAGATTTCTTCAGTACCTTTGAATAGTGGGCTTTAATTATAAAGTTGAATTCCAGATATAATAATGTTAAATTACTTTTTCAAATAAGATATTTTTAATTTTTAGAAATATCTTTGGTGTTTATCTTCAGATATCTACATGTGCTTTTCAGATATCATTCAAGTATTTGATAAAAACTAATGTTTCTCTCTTGTTAGATGAAGACATTGGACTTGAACCATAAAACTCAAAACTAGATAAGAGATAATATCTAATATAGGTCCTGTTAAATGATAGTTTAAGAACATTGTTTTTTCTCATTTATAGAGAGATTTCAGAGAAGATGCGAATCAGAAAGACAGTGGATGAGTGGATTAAAACTATTTCTGCAGAAATTCAGGTAGATAATAAGAAGCTGATGTCAATTCTTGAGAGACAACATTGATTCTGACTTATAAGTCTCATATTTATTCTTAAAATATTACTTATGTGTAAGCCCACATCTCATACTTAATTTTACTATTACCCTTTGTTTACTTAGTAATTAATTTCATTTTACTTAAATACTATATCTTATAAATCATGGCTCTTACTGGACAAATTATTGGACATTAATGAATATGAGTAACTTGAAAAAATATACCTAAAGCATTTAGGAAAAGAAAAATGTGTGCCACTTGCAGAAGCATTTCAGGGAGTTCAGAAGTGGCTCAGTGGTTTAGGAGACTTTCCTGGCCAGTTTTCTTGAGTTCAAATCCTGGTTTTACACACAGGTGAAGAGGTGATTCTGACAGTTCTGCTTTAGGGATCTCTAGCAGGATCGTCCTGGGAAGGTCTCAGTGACTTACGGAAGCATTCATGGCAGGAATGGGGTCCTGAGCTTAATTAACCCCCAGTGCTTTCTGTATGTTATGGTGCTCCTGATTCCCCCATAGTCTGGTGTCCACAGCAAAAGAAGGGAAAAAACTCAAAATCTCTGAAGATGCTAGAGTGATAGGATAGTGGGTCTTGGGGCGCATGTGGTGCAAGGCCAGTGCTTTAACCCCTTGGCAGCCCCAGGTCTTCATTATTTACTTTGGGTTGTCCAGGCACAGCCTGAGGCCTGAGGGTCCCACTGGTGGTTCTTGGCCCCCTAGCTGATATTCAGTGCAGGGTCCAAGAATTCGTGCTAGGGTCTTTGGGGCTGCACCTGGTGATGCTCAGCAGATGATTTGGTGCAACATTCAAATCTGGGCAGGTGCATGCTTAGGCATGCACCCTGACTGCCATCTTGTCTCTTCCCTCTCTAAGACTTGTGCAAATTTTTGAGAGCCTCCCCAGCTGTGTCTTGGAGTCAAGGGGTTACTTGCTGGCAGTGCTGGGACTGGTGGTTCCAGACCTGATTGTTAGGTGCTTGGAACATTGTGATTCAGTGCTGCTCAATCCCAGTGATGCTGGGGGCTTCAGAAGTCACCAAGGCTACACCTAATGGTGCTTGGTGGTTGATGTAGTGTCAAAGTTGGGGCTTCATACATATAAAGCATGTGCTTTAGCCCTTTGCACTATCTCTCAAAGGGTTGAATACATGCTGTACTTATTCTTTTTTTTTTTTTTTTTTTTTTTGGTGGGGGCTACCACACCTGGTGGTGCTCAGGGCTTTCTCCTGGTTCTGCACTCAAGAATTACTCCTGGCAGTGTTCAGGAGACCTGACGGGATGCTGGGGATCAAACCTGGCTAGCCTGTGTAGAAAGCGAATGCCCTAATTGACTGTACTATCGCCCCGACCCCTGGACTATGTGCTTATGCTTTGTTGCTGAAGAATGCACAACTCCAAAGTGGTTACAAAGACTCTTTAATATCAAACCAGAAAAAAAGATTGAGCTAAGAATTAGAAAACTTGGAGTTCAAGTCTGACTGCAGATAATGAGCAGCATGTCATTCCTGTCATTTGAATTCTATGTAAAGTATGTTTCTTTAAACCTTTAAAGCATTTTCATTAAACCCCTTACTTTAGAGGTTTGTTTTTAACCAAATTGCTTACATTTTTTAGAAATTTAATAATGTTCTTGAATAATTACTACATTATATAGGACTAAGTAAAAAACGTGTTAAGGTTTATAGTGAAAAATTGCCTTCCTGCTCCTATACCCCATCTACTACTACTTTTCATTCTCTTCATAAACTATCAGTCTTTTCAGACCTTCTTGGTGTAGTCTTTTATTTATTTTTTTATTTTTAAAATTTTATTGATTCACCATGAGATATAGTTACAAGCGTTCATGTTTGAGTTACAATCACACAATGATCAAACACCCATCCCTCCACCAATGCACATTTCCCACCACCAATATCCCCAGTATACCACCTTTCCCACCCTCCCACTGCCTCCATGGCAGACAATATTCCCCATACTCTCTCTACTTTTGGGCATTCTGGTTTGCAATGCAGATACTGAGAGGTTATCATTCTTGATCCTTTATCTACTTTCGGCACACCTCTCCCATCCCAGCTGATTCCTCTAGCCATCATTTTTTAGTGATCCCTTCTCTATTCCAGCTGTCCTCTCCCCACCCACTTATGAGACAGGCTTCCAACTATGGAGCAATCTTCCTGATTCTTCTATCTGGTGTAGTCTTTTGGAGAAATTTTATTCATAAGCCAGTATAATTTGTTTATAAAGAACTTAAAGCCACTAAGACTTATTTCTACAATCACTGAAAATACTAATTTTTTTATGTAAATGTAAAGTAATTTTAATTTTGGTTATAATAAGGATGAACTGGCAAGAAAAGATGAACAAAAACGACTTGATCAGAAGAATCAAAGGACCAAGAAAGCTCAGAATATGAGTAAAGCTACTAGAAGCAATGTGCAGGACAAAAATGTAAATAATACTGTAATTCCAAGAAAACATTCCCCAAAGCAAGAGCATTTTACACATTCACCTACAAGAAGCATGCCAGCTTCAAGCTTCCAGAAAGAAAGAAAAGAAGTAAGAGTCTATTTGGATTTTATGACATAATGCTTTGTTATCATTGATCATTCTTTTTAAGATGTAGATAATGAAGCGAATATGAAAGTGTTTTAAGATTGTGAATGACTAGTTTTTGTTTTTGACTTTAGAGCCATGCTCGCCAGTGCTCAGGGCTTACTCCTGACAGTGCTCAGGGCTTAGTCCTCGCCAGGGCTTACTCCTGGCACTCAGGAATTACTCTGGCAGGATCAGGGGACCATGCATAGTGCTAGGGATCGAACCTGTTCTGCTGTACTACATCTCTGGCCCTTTGAATAATTAGTTTTTAAATGACTTAATTATGGGCACCTATAATTTGGAAATCACTATACAAAATTAATAATTCTTCTAGGATCTTTCACTTAGAATCTCAGTATCTAAAACCCATCTAGTATAAAAGTTCATCTCTAGTTAATTGCACTCAATATTTTATTTTATCTTTGCATGTGAATATGTGTAAATATATAGATTCCTGAACCTATCTTATTTATATGTATATGTTTCTCTCAACAAGCATATATATTCTTGTTTCATTTTTTTGCTTAGCAGACATATTTTTTTTTGTTCTTAGTGATTGTAAGAATGGTACTTAAGTGCTATGGAGGAAAATTTTTTTAGCATCTTTAATTAGATCTTCTAAGTGAAAGATTGACCCTACAAATGCCAGGAATTGACTCATTCCTCCCACATGTAAAGAATTCTTCAGCTGTCTCCCTGACCCTGAACTGTAACTCTCTTAATGGCAAATGTATATTATTGGGCAGGTTAAGAAAGCAGGTAGTTTAGCAGTTAGTATTTATGTACCAAGCACTTCCTTTCTATGGCATTGGTTTCTGGTTGATGGTGGAATCAGAAGAATGGAAGATCATTTAAAGAACTGACTTTATTTTTGTACTTACATGTAATAAATATATAAACAGTGTTTAAATTTTACTTTCTGGTGCAGAAAGTATGCTTTATAATGAAAGAAACATTCATGTTTCTTCAGTGAATGGTTTTTATATTTAGATTTTCACTTTTGAAAACAATAAGCCTGTAGTTTTGAAAACTATATCTCATATGTTAAGAGCCATTTAAAATACAGGACTTGGGACTGGGAGATAGTACACTGGCCAAGGCACATGCCTAGCATGCACCCTGCCTGATTTCTGCCCTTGGTATCATATGGTCTCATGAGCACTACTGTCTCTGGAAGTCCCAGTAATCCCTGCATCCCTGGACCCTTGTATTGAATCCCAAAGCTGGCTACTGAGAATCATTGAGGGGCCTCCAAGCCTCTTGAGCAACACTTGAGAGCTACTACCCTCCAATCAAAATAAAATATAAAATAAGGTAGACTTTTATGACTTGATCATTCTTATTTTAATAGCAAAAATGGCAAAAAGGTGGCTTTAGAGAAAAGAGATATGTACCTGATGACTATTCAGCTGCTAAGTTGAATAACTTTGCATATATAGGAATATTTTAAAACAGCTGTAATGACACATGACGAGGATTACCTGTTACAGATTTATGGAAAACCAGTTTATCAGGGCCATCGCAGCACTCTGAAGAAGGGACCTTATCTCAGATTTAACTCTCCATCTCCTAAGTCCAAACCACAGAGACCGAAAGTAATCGAAAGAGTTAAAGGTAAGGAACCCCTATTTTTGGTAGATGTAACATTTTTATGGTACGAATTTATTCTGTAAACTTAAAAATTTTGCTTTTTACTTTTGCAGCTTAGGTTATAAGAAGCTTATGTATGTACACAGTTCTTTTTGCAGAGTAGGCAAAATATTAGCATCTCAAGGTGCAATATAAATAGAAAAAAGAGAGTATTCCATTTTTTTTTTTTAGCTTGGGTGAGATCCTGGTAGTGAATCCGCAATACAGCTCACAGAGGATCTTGATGTATTGGGCTTGAATGCCCTGATTCGCTAGGGCTTCAATGACCACTTCCGTCTCAACAGAATCAAAGAGGGGTTCGGCAGGGTGATACCATTTCACCAAAACTCTTCAGTGCCACCCTCGAGAACATCATGCGACGACTGGAATGGGAAGGAATGGGAGTGAAGATAGATGGTCGGCAATTACACCACCTCCGCTTTGCTGATGACATTGTTTTAATAACACCAAACATCAGCCAAGCGGCACAAATGCTGGCCGACTGTGATGGTGAGTGTGGAAAGGTAGGACTACAGCTGAATCTTACGAAAACAATGTTTATGAGAAACAGCCTCGTTCCTGATGCCCCATTCCCTCTCAACGGAACGACCATCTCCGAATGCAACAGCTATGTGTACCTAGGTCGAGAAGTCAACATGACAAATGACCTGGCACCCAAGCTGCGCAGGAGGAAGAGAGCGGCTTGGAACGCCTTCAAGAACGTCGAAGAAATAGCTAAGAGGACGAAGAACCTCTGGCTCCGGGCACATCTCTTTGATTCCACTGTTCTTCCTGCATTAACATATACCTCAGAGACCTGGGCCCTACGCAAACAGGATGAGAACACTATTCAGGTCTCCCAAAGAAGAATAGAAAGAGCTATGCTTGGAATATCACGTTTTACTCAAATGAGAGAAAAAATCCGGAGTTCCGACATCCGTCGATGATCAAGAATCAGGGACACTGTCTCATTTGCCAAGGTGTCAAAAATCAGATGGACTGGTCACGTAATGAGATTTAAAGACGACCGCTGGACTAGAGCTGTTACTGACTGGATTCCACGGGATGTCAAAAGACTGCGTGGCCGCCCACCTACCAGATGGTCAGACTTCTTCCTCAAGATCATAAACGATCGGTTTGAGGCTCTTCATGTTCCCAGAGCGAACAGATGCCATTGGGCTACACTAGCACGCGACAGGGACAAATGGAGATGTTACTGGTGCCCACTCGAGCAAATCGACAACTAACAGGAAGTTAAGTGATTAAGTGATTAAGCTTGGGAGAGATGGTTTAATGTTTTCAGATTGTTCTAACCTAGTGAAGCAATATGAACCACTAACACGCCTCATCTATAGTTTTTCCCAGAAATTGCCCAAGAGAATAGTAATATTAGTTGTGGAGTTGAATAGTTTGTGTGTACTATATTTGGTAGATATAATGAAAAAGTGTGCTCCAGAGGAGGGATAAAGGTATCAGGCCAGAGAGGAATATTTGGAAGACAAATTTCTCCCGTTTTATACTCAAGAACATATTCTGATAAAGTGTGATAAAATTTGTTTTTGTAAGATGATTCTTGAAAAAAATCTCAGTTATAATCTAGAGAATGTGGACATTTCTTTGAAGATCTTTATTCATCAGTTTCTCGATGCCTCAAAATAATCAACCATGTGCTGTATATTATAACAAAACATTTACACAGGTACTTTTGTACCATTAGGGACCATCATAGAGCTTTTGGTAGAGGGTGAAACTTTTTTGGCTACTTTTGTACACAACTAAAAATAACTGCATTATCACATGGTTTGATTTCTTTCTCATCACTAGTAAATAATGGATCGGTTGACTTTGGTTCCATTATTTGTATGTGAATGTAGGGCCTTGGGCATGGTGGAGAGGGATGGGGGGGTAGGGTTTTGGAGCCACACCTAGTGGTGCCTGGGGCTTGGCTTTTGTTACTTTTTTTTTTTTTTTGGTTTTTGGGTCACACCTGGGATGCACAGGGGTTATTCCTGACTCTGCACTCAGGAGTTACTCCCGGCAGTGCTCAGGGGACCATATGGGATGCTGGGAATTGAACCCGGTTCAGCCACGTGCAAGGCAATCGCCCTACCTGCTGTGCTATCTCTCCAGCCCTGGCTTTTGTTACTTTTTGAAATTCTTCAACTAGTAGGTATTATTTTATAGGTTGGTTGTTTTGTTTTATTTTGTGTTGTTTTTTGGCCATAGTTGGTAGTACTCAGGGATCACACCTGGCTCTGTGCTCAGGATCTTATGGTGTACTGGAGATTGAACCTGAGTTGGCTGCATGCAAGACAAGCACCATTCCTGCTGTACTATAACTTTGGCCTCCACACATACATCTTAAAAGTAAAAATAGTAATAACAGAAATTTATTTAGAAAATATTTTTGTCATTTTATGTGTTTTCTTCATCTTCCCTAGGTTCCATAGAAATGCATCTCCTCCAAAGAGACAAATTCAGATAAAGTTTTCATTTTTCAGAAGAATTATCTGTTTGTAGTTCGATTATCTGTACATAGTTTCAAAGAATTGATTTCCTGTACATAATTTAAAAGGACAAGCCTTTTTATACAGAATTATATAAATGATTTAAAAGTAATGAAATAAAGAAAAAATTGAATTCCAGAAATCATTACCCTTTTTTGTATTTACAGAAAAATTTAAAAAGTACTTTCTTGATATCCTTCTGATTCTTTTATCCAGTACTTATTTTCCTTGTCATATCTATTCTCACATAGTAATAATACTAGTTTCTTACAAATAGCAATAGTTTCTTATATCTATTTAGGGCTTGGGAAATCATGGCCTGCATGCAGGTTCCCGGTGAGCCTTTATATTAAGTTTTACTGAAATATAGCTGCATTGATTTATGTATTTCTGATTGTTTTTATGCTAGCAGAATTGAGACCACATGGCCAAATAAACGAAATGATTCACTGTCTAGCTTTTTAAGAAAAAATTTGCTAACCCCTGATTTATGTTGTTCCTATTTTGAGGACTTAAAATATTATATAGAATAACATTTTTCTGTGGGGAAAAAAAGTCACTGTATTTTTGACTGTCTGGATACTCGATGTTCAAACAGTATTTTAAATATCACTGTTGTTGATTATTACAGGTACTAAAGTCAAGTCAATCAGAACACAAACTGACTTTCACACAAGACCTAAGAGGGTCGATTCTAAACCTCAGCACTCTGTTACTATGCTGGCTCCAGGTGAGCAGCAGTATTTGTTCAGTCCCAGCAGAGAAGTGCCTACTTTTTCAGGTACCCTGGAGGGTCATCTAATCCCAATGGCAATTCTTTTAGGTAAGCCCTAATGGAATTTCTGAGGTAAATTTTAAAACCTAAGTGGTTTCCCAACTTGCCAAATGGTGCTAACACAGTAGTCAATTTTTACCTCCTTTTGTTGTGTATATTTTGGTTCTCAATATGTATCTTACTCTGGATAATAACAACCTCTGAAATGATAGTTTTCTGTTGTATTTTCACTCATAAGAAATATTCTTTTGGTATTTATTGTACTTTGCTGTAAGTAAAATAATATAAGCATGTTTAAACATGTCAGTTAAAACAGAAAAATTAAGAATTTTGATTGGTTTGTTAATCTGGGGCTGAAGCGATAGCACAGCGGGTAGGGCGTTCGCCTTACAAGCGGCCAACATGGCCGACCCGAGTTCGATTCCTCCGCCCCTCTCGGAGAGCCCGGCAAGCTACCGAGAGTATTCGATATGCCAGACACAGTAACAACAAAGTCTCCAATGGAGACGTTACTGGGCCCGCTCGAACAAATCGACGATCAACGGGAGGGCCTTTACCTTTACCTTTACCTTGTTAATCTTATCTTGTTTTAGAAGTATTTGAAGTACTGATTATGTACTTTTGAATTAATTTCTGATTAGTGAAAATTGTATATTAGTAAGTGATAATCAAGTAGTTGATCATTTATTTATTTGAGGACTCTAAGATTCACTTTTATTAAAAATGAACAAATCACTTTTGCTCTAGCTTTTAAGTATCAGTTACCTATATTTTTTGAAAGATGAGGGCCATACCCTGCAGTGCTCAGGGCTTACTCCTGGCTCTGTGCTCAGGGATCACTCCTGACAGCTCGAGGGATACTACATGGGGTGCTGGGAATCAAACTTGGATCATTCTGTGCAAAATAATGCCTTTCCCACTGTACTATTTCTCCGGCCCTCTACTTAGCTGTTTAAAAATATTTTTTTAGTGTTACTGCCATTCATAATTTTGATGTATGATTTAAATGTGAAGTTTTGAAGCTGGAAGATGGTACAGGAGTTAAAGTGCATGAGTTGCACATCCCCAACCCTGGTTCGATCCTTGCCTCGGCATGGTCCCATGAGCACCACAGCATGACCCTGATGGTCCCTGACATTTCAGGGTACTCATAACACTGCAGCACCCCGGGCACTAGCAGTGAGGTCCAGGTGGCCGAGAACCACTGCCTGTCTCCCTAGTATCCTGTGAGCACCATTTGGGAGTCTCTCTCAAACAAAAACAACAATAACAGCCACAAAAATAAGTTTGTATTTTTTTCAACGTAAGATAATTTTTAATATTTGATATTATGGGTTATTGACCTGCCAGCTTAGTAATTAATGACTTTCCAAACCTTCCTTCTAGTGATGAACTATAACTGACTCATAAAGTCCTCCTTATGTGCCAGGTTTAAGTCTGAGCACTTGCGCTTATTAACTTTTAAAATCCATGTTAATGTATCAGTGCTTAACTAAAGCACAGAGGAGTTAAGGAATTTGTCAAAAGCCACATGGTGAAACCAAGATTCAATTCAGGGAGTCTGGCCTTCTAGTCTGTGCATTTGGCGAGTGCATCCTATTCTTCCTCTTTGAAGCCTAAGGAAATAAGGAAATCTTGGAAGTGAAAGCTATTAAGTTTTTGGCAACTATCAAATAGGCGTCTATAATATTATTTATAAGCAGTCAAAAACTGGTATTTTATTCTTGGTGTTTTTCTTTAATTAGTTTTTAAAATTATTATTAATTGAATTACCATGAGATACACTAGCAGTTACAAAGTTATTCAGGATTGGGTTTCAGTCATACAATGTTTCAACTCCCATCCCTCCGCCATTGTACATTTCCTACCACCAATATCCCTAGTTTCCCTTCTACTACAACTTTGTAGGCTGCCTCTATGGCAGATGCCTTTCATCTATCTCTGTTTCTCTCTCTCTCTCTCCCACTTTCTCAATCTCTCTCCTTTTAGGCATTATGCATTATGGCTTACAGTACAGGTACTAAAAAGGTTATCATGTATATCACTTTACCTCCTTTCAGCACTTTGTTCTTGTCCAGTGTCATCATTTTCAACAATGTTATTAGAATTTAAGAATTAAAATAATACACTATAATGCAATATACTTTAGTCCTGGTGTTTTAATTTATAAATGATCTTTACTAACAAATTCTGCTAAATCTCTTTCTGAAACTGCGAAAAGTAGACAATAATAATGATACTGCATAAGCTTATATATATGTAGGGTAAAATAAGCTAGTATATGAGCCAGAGACACAGCCCAAAGTGCTGGTGTTCATGCTTATCAGGCATGAAGCTCTGAGTTTGGTCCTCAGTGCTGCATGACCAGTTGCCCACTACCACTGGGTATAGCCTTGGTGAGCTCTACCAGGAGCGATCCCTGAATACAGAGCCAGGAGTATGCCCTGAGCACTCCCCAGGTGTCACCAGGTACTCCCCTATTTCAGAAAGTCTAGCAAATAAGCAAATAAATTAGTGAGTTTGAATCATTTAGTAAGCTTAAAATGCCCAATAAATGTTAGTTCCTGTTAAAGGATGACTGATTAAGTATGTTGGCAGAGGTGTTGGTAAGGGGAAAGTTGATTGCTGATAATTCTTTGTGGTTTTCAATTGTTATTGTTGTTTTGGGGCAAAGCCTGGCAAGCTCCCTGTGAGTTATTCGATATGCCAAACACAGTAACAAGTCTCACAATGGAGACGTTACTGGGCCCGCTCGAGCAAATTGATGAACAATGGGAGGACAGTGCTACTACAGTTGTTTGGGGACCACACCTGACAGTGCTCATTGCTTAGTCCTTGCTCTATACTCAGGGTTCACTCCTGGTGGTGCTCAGGGGACCATATGTGGTGCCTGGGGTTGAACTCAGGTAGCATATGTATAAGGCAAGTGCCCTACCGCTATACTGTCACACCAGCCAATACTTCTTTTGATTATTCAGGTTTAGGTAGGATATTAACTTTTTTCCTTTTCTACTTTTGAAACAGTTTCTCTTTTTTCTCCCACAAACTTCTTAGGACAAACCCAGAGTAATAGTGAGTCTATGCCTCCTGCTGGTATAGCTGTAAACAAGCCACACCCTATAACCGTGACTACTTCTATACCTCCATCTTCTCGAAAAATAGAAAGTGGAGTAAAGAAACCTAACATAGCAGTGGTGGAAATGAAGTCAGAAAAAAAGGATCCTCCTCAGCTTACTGTACAGGTATAGAGAAAACACGAACAGAATGTTTTAAAGAAAATAGGCTTGACTTCAAATCACCCTTCTAAATTACCACTATCAACAAAATCTGTTTTATTACCTTATAAAAACTTTGGTTTTATCTTTCATTATTTAAATATATTTCATTATAGTAATATATTTCTGAGTCTCTGAGTCTTGAAATATATTACTATAAATATAAATATAAATATAATATAAATATATTACTCAGAGACTATAAAATCCAGCTCCCGGACGAGAACAGTGCAGTCTTCTGCCCCCGCGCCTGGCTGTTCCTCGCCGAGGCCCCTTGGAGGGGAGCGGGTTGAGTTTCCCTCCCCGCCCCAACCAGGGCTCCGGCAGCCGAAGACCTCCAGGACCAGCCACCACCATGCTGAGACCACTCTCTGCACACCTGAAGGTACCGGCAGAGGGACAAAGCCACGCGGGTTCCGGGGCCGAGACCTCCAAGCCTACTCGAATTGGAGTCGAGCATCTTCCACCCAGATCCTCCAAATTCCAGTAGGCGGAGGTCACACCCACCACCTGACCCCCTGGCGCCGTGTAATCCCATCAGCGGCCAAGACTCAGAGACTATAAAATCCAGCTCCCGGAACGTCTTATCAGGACATCTTTTTATGACATCTTATTATCTCATTCCTACTTTGGACAAACTTGCAGGCTATCGAATGTAGCCTGCCCACAGGGCAGAGTCTGGCAAACTCCCCGTGGCGTACCAAATATGCCAAATACCAGTAACAATGATGGGTCTCATTCTCCTAAAGAGCCTTGAATATAATCTCAGGGCTAGGATGAAAGAGACGTTACTGGGGCCTGCTCGAGGCAATCGACGAATAACAGGGTGATGAAATGAATGAAATGAATGAATATATTTCATTATAGTAATATATACGTATATTTCATTATAATAAATAATAATTTATAATTATAATTATAATTATATATTAATTATAATAAATAAATATAAAAATAAATATTTTTATTATAGTAATATAATACCTTCATCTTTGTTCTATATGATTTAAAATTCTTCTAAGCCAGTAATTCACATCCAGGTAACTCAATAATGCTAGAAATAACTAAATTTTGTATATAAGTTGATATTAAAAGACAATATGCAGCTAGGGAGACAGCTCAGAGGTAAGGGGTGCATGTCTCTGTGTGCAGGTTGGTTCCAGCATGACAGGGCCTTCTGAACAATTACTTAAATAATTTGGTTATTTGAAAGAACAAAAGAACAAAAGATTAGAAAAGTTAAAGCATGTTGGTCTGGTATACTAAAGTATTTCACGAATAGTTAATTATTTGAAAAGTGTGTAATATTTGATAGCTCTCATGATTCAGTGGGAAATTCTTGTAAATGTAACAAAATAATTTGTTATATTTAGTTAGCAATGTGGAAAAAAGATCAGTTTTAAACTCTAAAGTCCTCCTGTATAGCAAGTGAGTTCCAATAGGCTGATATATAACTGTCAAATATTACTAATTAAAAAACAGAAAAGTTAGAAAATAATTGCATGGAACCCTTATCAAAACTGAAGCTAAATTTGAATAGGATAAAATAAAACTTTAAACATTATAGAAAAATTAATTTGAATCTGTAACATTTAAAATATATGCAATACTTTTAAATGAAAAGAGAAAATAATGGATGGTGAATACGAATACTTTTTTTTTTTTTTTGCTTTTTGGGTCACACGTGGCAATGCACAGGGGTTACTCCTGGCTCTGTGCTCAGGAATTACCCCTGGCAGTGCTCAGGGGACTATATGGGATGCTGGAAATCGAACCCTAGTTGGCCGCATGCAAGGCAAACGCCCTACCTGTTGTGCTATTGCTCCAGCCCCTGAATACTAATACTTTAAAAAAGAATTAATTTTTTTTAAAAAAATCATTATTAAAAAAACACTATATTTTTTGTGCCACTTCTGGCACTGCTCAGTGTTTACTCCTTGTTTTGTTCTCTGGGTTCACTTGTGGTACAGGGCTCAGGGGACCAGAGAGGGTGGCAGAGCTCAAACTTGGGTCTGTCACATTAAAGGCAGGTGCCCTTCCTTCTGTACTCTCACTCTGGCTCCCAACAAAAATCTTCTGAGGATTAATTCTTAAATATAAAGATTCTCATTGATTTATAAGGAAATATGTGGTTACAAATTTAGAAATTTTCAAAGAACATGGATAAGTCTGCAAAAGTGGAAATAGTTTACAAATAAGTAGAGCTGAGAATGTGATTAGCGGTTAAGCATGTATCTATCATGCATAAGGCCTAGGGTTGGCTCTCTGGCTCTGCTACTACCACAACAAGACTAAATGAATCATAGTACGTACTGTAGCACTGTCCTCCTGTTGTTCATCGATTTGCTCGAGGGGCCACCAGTAACGTCTTCATTGTGAGACTTGTTGTTACTGTTTTTGGCATATCGAATATGTGCAGGCGGGTTACTCTCAGTAGCTTGCTAGGCTCTCCGAGAGGGATGGAGGAATCAAACCCAGTTCGTGTGCAAGGCAAACGCCCTACCCGCTATGCAATCGCTCCAGAGTACGTACAAACAAGGAAATTAAGTAATTTCATTCTCCTATTATGGTTGTCAAGATAATACCAACTGATATAATAATGGACCCCCCCCCAACTTATTTCTGAAAAGTTATTAAACTTACATGAAGGTTTTTTTTTTTTTTTCTGGGTCATACCCGGCGATGCACAGGGGTTACTCCTGGCTGTTCACTCAGGAATTACTCCTGGTTGTACTCGGGGGACAATATGGGTTTCTGGGAATCAAACCCGGGTCGGCCGCTTGCAAGGCAAATGCCCTACCCGCAGTGCTATCACTTCAGTCCCCTAGATGAAGTTTTATAATTGATTATGGTTTCAACAATGTAAACTAGTTCTGCTTTGGGCTGCATTTTGTTAGTAATTATAAACAATCTTAAATATTTGGGGTCAAGAAGCTAATTATCTGGATTCCTAACATAATAAAACAATTCAAAGTTAAGGGAAAAACACTTTGTATAAAGTTTTCTTCTGCACAATATATTTTAATAGAAAAAAATAGAAATATTCTAGATATTTATCACAAAAAGTAAAAATAGGGGCCAGAGTGATAGTACAGTGGGCAGAACATTTGCCTCGCATGCGGTCAACCCAGGTTTGATCCCTGACATCCCATATTCGCCCGAGCACTACCAGGAATAATTCCTGAGTGCAGAGACAGGAGGAACCCCTGAGCATTGCTGGGTATGACCCAAAAAGCAAAAAATCAAAAACAAAAGAGTGAGAATAATGAAGATACATATATATTTGTTTAAATATATAGTTATTTAAATATAATTGTAAAGTCTAGATGAAAGTTTGATTAGGTACTCATGACCTAATTGTTTTTCACATAGGTTTGGTGAAAAATCGGGAGTAGAAATGTTTATATTTCAGCAAAGGTGGATAGTAAAAAGACAAAGGAAATAGTGGTCTTATGTTTAGGATTATATATTTCTCCTTTGTTTCAGGTTTTTAAAAATCTGTCTTTATGTGTGTTAGACTTTGACTTTTAAGTTATATATTATTATATGTAGACTGACAAGCCTTTTAATTGAGATGATTTAACATTTCAGGTCTTGACTTTGTTTTTAGGTATTACCCAATGTGGATATTGACAGCGTTTCAAGTGGTAGTCCATTTCACCCTAGTCCCAAAGAGGCCTCTCCTTCTCCTCAGAGAAACTGGAAACAGGTATTACTTTGAGTGCTGTGAAACTATGAATGTGAACATTCCATGAAAAGCTTTTGATCATCATCATAATCTGTTATGGTAATTTCAGCTATCAAAGTGAATTCAGAATTGTTTACAGACATGAAAAAATAAAATTTGTCTAAGTTCATTATACTTGTAAACATTGAAAAGAATGGTAAAATCCTTAGTGGAACTTTTTGGTACTTTGTGGAATTCTCATATGAATAATTTCTCTTTGGGGAAGAATCTTGAATTTTTTTTCTCTAGTTTTGAAGTCACAGCCCGCTTACTCCTGGCTCTGAACTCAGTGGTCAGTCCTGATGGGGGAGGGGGAGCCACAGAATCTCAATTTTAATTAGTCTTAAATTACACTTTTCATAAAGTGGATTTTATTTTTTTCAAATAAATTATTTTTTTCTTTTAAAATGAATTTTATAGTGACTAGAGTTCATGTTTGTCATATTAGTGATCTTAGCATTTCTAGTTTTGTTGTTATGATTTTGCTACATGATAAAATTATAAAATTTTTCTCCTTTCATCTACTATAAGTTAAGTGTGGTCATTGAGATGCAGTTTTAAGCAGGGAGAGAGTGTTAAAAACTTTAATTAAAAATAGTAAAATAAAATTGGCCCTGATGGGAATTTGTGCCTAATTAATTTTTTATCAGAGATTTAATAAAACACATATGGTTGCAAATAATTTTGCTAGTGTACAGAGGCATAGATCAGTGGTAGAGTATTTGTTTTGTACATGTGAGAACCTAGATTTGATCCCCAGCATGGCAAAAACCAAAGACAAGTAAAAAAATTAATAATTTTATTAATAATTGCTTTGCTAATCATGTGTTTGCCAGAAAATTGCTCCTTTAATTTTTCATAGTTATTGAAATAATGACTTGGGACTACCTTGAATTTGATGTACTGATCAATTTTGAGCATTGATGTGGATGAATCTGGAGAACATCATGCTGAGTGAAGTTAGGAGAGAGACACTCACAGAGTGGTATCTTTCATATATAGGATAGTAAAGTAAAGTAAAGTAAAGGCCCTCCCATTGATCGTCGATTTGCTCGAGCGGGCCCAGTAACGTCTCCATTGGAGACTTTGTTGTTACTGTGTCTGGCATATCGAATACTCTCGGTAGCTTGCCGGGCTCTCCGAGAGGGGCGGAGGAATCGAACTCGGGTCGGCCATGTTGGCTGCGTGCAAGGCAGACGCCCTACCCGCTGTGCTATCGCTCCAGCCCCTTTATATATAGGATATAAAGAAAAATAACGGGAATAACAAATACCCAAAGACAATAGAAATTGAGATCTGGTCTTTAGTAGGAAGCTTACCCCAGGAAATGGGGTCAGGAAGAGGAACACTGGGACAATGGTGGAAAGAAGTTGACACTCATGGGTGGATGGGCTGCTGGAATGGGTCATGTATAAAAGCCTGCTGTTAATAGTTTTATAAACTATAGTGTCTAAACTAAGAGTTAACAGAAAAGAAAAAGTTTTGAACAAGATATCAAAAGAATAGGACAGTGTAGAAGAAAACTTATGCTAGGATAGAAAAAGGATATGATAAAAATAGGCTATGTATAGATTCAAAAGAAATTAAATGTAAGAAACTCTCTTTGAAAAATGCCTTTCAGACTCCAGAATTTATGGAAATAGAGGAAGAAGAGGTGAAGTTTCCAGGAACCAAGTTTGATGAAATAACTGATATTATACAGGTAATGAAGTTAAAGAAGCTGTGAGAAAAATTTCTCTGTCTTTTTCTATGTGTGTGTTTGTGTGTGTGTGCATGTGTACACATGTATATGTATATGTATATAAGACTTTACTTCTTTTTAGAGTGGTTTTAGAGTTAGAGATCAATTAAGAAGTCAAAAAAAAATTTTCTATTTATGCAACTTCACATGTACATACCCCCCTCATTTCTTATTACCCATGGAGGGGGTACATTTGTTGACAAACCCACATTAATACATGATAATACAAAATCCCTAGATTATTTTAAAGTTCATACTTCAGGGCTGGAGTGATAGCACAGTGGGTAGGGCATTTGCCTTGCACGCGGCCAACCCAGGTTCGTTTCCCAGCATCCCATATGGTCACCTGAGCAATTTCATTTCATTTTCATTTCATCATCCTGTTATTCGTCAATTGCCTCGAGCAGGCCCCAGTAACGTCTCTTTCATCCTAGCCCTGAGATTATATTCAAGGCTCTTTAGGAGAATGAGACCCATCATTGTTACTGGTATTTGGCATATTTGGTAGGCCACGGGGAGTTTGCCAGACTCTGCCCTGTGGGCAGGCTACATTCGGTAGCCTGCAAGTTTGTCCAAAGTAGGAATGAGATAATAAGATGTCATAAAGATGTCATAAATTCCTGAGTGCAGGGCCAGGAATAATCCCTGAGCATCACCGGGTGTGACCCAAAAAAATAATAAATAAAGTTCATACTTGATACTGTACATTCTTTAGGTTTGAGAAATGCATTCGCTTGTGATAGTAGCATACACAATATTTTTATTTCTCATGAGTCCTATGCTTTGTTAACCTTCTCCCCACTCAGGCCAGTCCTTGACAACTGTAGTGTTACTTTTTCCAAAATGTTATGTGTTTCGATTCACAGAGAATATTGCCTTGTCAGATTGGCTTCTTTCACGTAAAATTGTGCACTTAAGGTTCTTAAATGTTTTTGTGGCTTGATAACACATCCTGTTAGCACTGAATAGTAGGTCATTCCTTAAATGTGCCACAGTTTGTATATTTATTTATTTACTTCAGAACATTGGGTATGAGGGTCCGGGGGTTAATCCACACCTGACAGTGCCCAGGAGTTATTCCTGGCACAGTGCTCAGGAGTGATCCCTGGTAGTGTTTGGGGGGAAACATATGTGGTTATGGGGATTTGAATGGGGGTCAAGCTGCATGCAAAGCAAGTGCCTTACTTTTTGTACTGTCCTTTTTGGTTGTAAAGGAAGTTTTGATTTAAATTTTAGTAACTATGAATAAAGCTAAATGTACATGAGTAAATTCGGGTAAAAATCAATGACAGCAATTATTGTATTGTATGGGTAAAATATGTTTAGATTTGTTGTTTTGTTTTGCTTTGGGGTCACACCTGGTGATGTTACTTCTGGCTCTGCACTCAGGAATAACTCATGGTGGTGCTTGGGGAACGATTTGGGATGCCAGGAATTGAACCCAGGTGTGCTGTGTATGCAAGCACTGTACCAGATGTCCTGTTGTTCCAACTAAAGTATGTTTAGATTTGTAAGGAATTCCTGTTTTTCAAAGTGGCTGTACCATTTTTGTGTTCCCTCCAGCAGTGAATGAGAATTCCCCCAGTTCTTTGTAAGCATTTGGTCAGTGTCCTGGATTTTGGCTAATCTAATAGGTGTGTAGAGATATTTCATTGTCATTTTATTTTGTATTTTCTTCACAAGAGAAGATGTGGAACATCTTTTTATATAACTAATTTGTCATCTGTATATCTTCTTTTGTGAGATGCTTATTTTCTAAATTCAATTGTTAATTCTGGCTGTTGAGATTTTGCAATCATTTTTGGCAGTGTTCAGGGTTTAGGGTTCTTAAGGGTGAAGATCACTCCTCACTGTGCTTGGAGGTCACTGGGGCCAAAACTATTCCTGGTGGTATTATTTTGTTCATGATATAATGGTACAAATAATATGTAAGAGGAGCTGACTGCATATTTAAGTGAAAATTACAGGTTCTGTAAGAGGAAGCAGAAATATTTGGAAATGCAGTTTTATTATGATAATAACTTGTAAATTTCTAGAGGAAAACATCCTTTTAATAGATGCACAGTTTTCTTTTGTTTTATGACTACTTAAAATGATTATTGAAGGCCAGAACAATAGTATAGCAGGTAGAACACTTGCCTTGCATGCGACCAATCTGGGTTCAATCCCTGGTACCCCTTATGGTTTCCTGAGTCCTGCCAGGAGTGATTTCTGATCACAGAGATAGGAATAAGCCTGGAACATCAAAAGATATGGCCCCCAAACAAAGAAATGAATATTGAATTTTTAATATTTAATGTTCATTAAACCAGGTAAGGTGTTTGCCTTGTATGCAAACAACCAGGTCTCGTGCCCTGGCAGACACTACATACAGTATCCCAAGCAATGCCAGGAGTGATCCTTGAGTGGAGAGCCAGGAGTAAGCCAAAGACAAAATAATTGTGTAAGTTTTATTCACTATGAAATAACACTGAGCTTACACATATGGTATATGTGCTTATAATAAATAATTTATCACTGAATTAGAGTGCTGTTAATTATAGGGGTTGTATTACCAACCTAAGTTTCCTTCCCATAGTTCTCATTTAGTAAATGTTGAACCTTTACATAAATATATTTTAATTTTTTTTGCTACCAGGAAGTGGAAGAACGTGATGAAATTCCAGAATGCTCCGAACCAATTCTGGAATTTAACAGAAATGCTAAAGTTGCTTCTACAAAATATAATGGTCCGCCGTTTCCACCAGTTGCTGCTTCTTTTCAGCCCACTGCTGACAGTCTGGATAAAGTAATTCAGAGGAAAGAAACAGTGGAAAATGACTTAATCCAGTGGTGAGTTTGCAGAAGGCGCTGGTGTCAGTAGAACTGTAGTAGCAATTCCAATTGTATTTCCAGTATAAATTTATTAAGCTTTATATATGAAACGTTATATATGTAATTCTAGTATGTATTAAGTTATATAAATGTATTAAGTTTTAAGTTTTGGTTTAAAATCATCCTCTGCTTTTATTTATCAGACCTCTCCTTTTTTTTTAAAAAAAAAATTTTTATTAGTGAAACACTATGAGGTACAGTTGTAGATTTGCAAATTTTTGTGCTTGGGTTTCAATTATACAATGATCAAACACCCATCCCTCTGCCAGTGCCCATTTTCCACCACCACGGGTCCCAGTATCCCTCCCACCCCCCATCCCCCATCCCACCCTGCCTCTGTGGCAGGGCATTCCCTTTTGTTCTCTCTCTCCTTTTGGGTGTTGTGGTTTGCAAAAGAGGCATTGAGTGGCAATCATGTTTGTCAGACCTCTCCTTTACCATAGTCACTTGAAACTATTTGATATGATGCTCAAGGTTCAACTGATTGTTAGATCATATTTATATTTATTATGATAAAAGATTGTTGTTATGTAATGGAAGCCTTAAGAATGTATGTTCTCTAATCCACTAAATCATTTCCAGGAATTTAACCTAATAAAATAATCATAGTTCTGTTAGTAGGCCATAGAATACTTACCCCATACTATGCTCACTTCAGACAAGGCACAGAGCTATTTAATTTTTCCTTAAATAAACTCAATATTTTTGTACCTATTTTAGCTCTAAGGGAGTTGTGAAATTTTTCCATAAGATATTTATGGAATAAATAAATAAATAAATAAATACACACACACACACACACACACACACACACCCATCCAGGCAGTGCTCAGGAGTTCTTGGAGCCCTAGTGGCAGTTCATTGCAGTGGCCTGGTGCCATGCTGCACATGCTCTGATTACCTGGGTGAACCCTGAATGCTTGGGAGCCTCCAGGACTACACCTGGTGATGCTCGAGAGGCCTTCAGAGCTATATCCAGCAATGCTTGGGGTACCATTTGGTGCCAAGGATTGAACATGGTAGGCATGCTCTCTAACTGCTGTATTGCCTGTGTCCCCTTTTGAAAAAATTTGAGGGGATTTGGCTTATATTCACTGGTGCTCTGGGCTTCTCCTGGCTTTGGGCTTGGGTCTCTCCCAGCAGTGCTTGGGGGGACCGAGTGTCCCTGGGATTGAACTGGGCTTAGGTGCGTGCAAGGCCAGCGCCATGCCATGTACTCTCTTTTAGACCCCTAAACTTAAAACTTTTTTTTTGTTGTTTTGCTTTGGTATTGCTTATTTGGAATCATAACAAATGGTGCTTGGATCTGTTCCCAGCTGGGTAAAACATCTCTCTGTCTCTAATTTTTATTTGTAAATTAGGAGTTTTGCAATTTTTTCTTGGCATTTATTTCATTTTTTGTCTTACTCCTTTTTTTAAACGTTGGTCACAATAATTTATTATATTTAATATTCCAACACCAATCCCACCATCATTAAACCTTTCCACCACCATTATTTTGAGTTTTTCCATCCTCAACCCTTGAAGACTGCCCCCAAAGCAGGACTTAAATAATTTATTTTGTATTGCTTGTATGAATAATTTTCTAAAAATGGTCCAAAAAAGTTTCTTTTTTTTTTTTTAAAGTTTCCTTAGAGGAAAGTGTGTAAAGATTGTTGTCTCTCACCCTGAAACCATTAAGCCCTTGTATAAGAGATTACTAACATGTTAAAAGTTGAGCTTTGTGTGCTAATATATATATATATATATATATGCACATACATACACATAAATATACATATATAAAATATATATATGCACGAGTGAAGCCCCACAGAACCAGGGAAGCAGAACTCTGTGACCTTGGACTCCAGGCTCAATGGATTTGGAAACAGAGATCTTCTGCCTGCTCCCAGCAGCCTGGCAGACCTCCACTACCTCCGCTACCTCCACTATCCAGCTGCCACCATACTCCAGGACACTTTCTGAACACTCGGGCTGAGACTCAAGCACGAGTGAAGCCCCACAGAACCAGGGAAGCGGAACTCTGTGACCTTGGACTCCCAACTCAATGGACCCGGGAACAGAGATCTCTGCCTGCTCCCAGCAGCCCGGCAGACCTCCACTACCTCCACTACCCAGCTGCCCCCACGCTCCAGGATGCTTTCAGGACCACGCGGCTGCTTTGTGGTTGTGTGACACATCATAAAACACTTAATACAAGATTACCGCACCATATTTGATGGGGTTCAAATATGGTTTGAACCATGGGAACACCTGCAAGGACGATTAGAGGCTGCCCTAAAAGCCTCTATCCCTCTCGGAGGGCCTGGCAAGCTAAAGAAAGTGACTTGTGCACACGGCAGAGCCTGGCAAGCTATCTGTGGTGTATTCAATATGCCAAAACCAGTAAATACAATGGTTTTTACTGACCCCGAAAGAGCCACCAAAACAGCGACGTTAAGAATGCTAAGGAAGGAGAGGCTGATAAAAATCTCAGGGCCGAACTAGGCTGCCAAAATGAAGACGGACAAAAATGACTGTGTGTCCTTTCAATGCACATACGCTGGCATCGGATGCATCCATCAAGAACCTGATGGTACAAGTGAGAAAGATCAAGTACGACATCATTGGTCTGACCAGGACAAGAAGGCATCAATCACATCACGCCGTTTTCAACACTGGAGAAGAACTGTTCCTCAGAACAAGTGACAAAAGAGGCGTCGGTGGTGTCGGTGTCCTTGTCAACACGAACTTGGCCATAAACATTGATTCATTTGAATGCCTAATAGCCCTAATTGGACAATTACACTTGAATATATGTGGCTCACTGCTGGCAGTTTTTATCTTCGTTGTCTATGCACCAACATCCAATTATGATGAAGGAGAAATTGAGAAGTTCTACAAGGAGCTGGAGAAGTTCTATAAAGAAGACCACACCTTCTACAAGATCATTGTTGGTGATTTTAATGCCAAGATAGGACCGAGAAGATCAGCCAAAGAACTCCACATCGGGACCCATGCCCTAGAATGGAACGAACAGGGTGAGAGACTGTCTGAGGTCATCATATCGACCAAGACCTTCCATGGTAACTCACAGTTCCAGAAGGCCGAATCTAAACATTGGACATGGGTGTCTCCTGGTGGATGGTTCCACAACCAAATAGACCACATCATATTCAATCAACGATTTTGCCTGACGGATGTCACTGTTGTCCCAAAATTCCACATGGGATCGGACCACCGTCTCCTTCGTGCAAAATTCTACTTCACAGAGCAGGGAGAAAGGGCTGCAAAGTTTAAGAAGAGAACTCCCAGAACAACCACCAACTGGGCGCTCTTTGATACTATTGCTGCAATGTGGGAAGATGCCATTGTTGACAACATTGACGAATACGATTGACTGGTTCACCTACATGATTGTGCAAGGAACACCAAGAGAGATAGCCACAAAAAAATGCCTGTCTTCAAAAACTCTCGAGCTTATTCCTCAGTGCAGAGATGCGATCAAGGAAGACCTCAAAGAGAGAAGAGCAGCACTGCTGGCAGATGCGGCAGAAGCCAGGAAAAGCATTTGCAAGCCCGCCTGTCCTTCGCCAACTACAAGACCAAGATGACTGCCCTCTGATGTCCTGATGGATCTCTCACATCTTCCAGAAGGGCAATAGAGAAGATTATCTATGACTTCTACTCAGATCTCTTTGATAGCCACCTCCACCGGCCCACATACCAAATAACACAGGATGGATATGTCGTTCCAAATGTTCCCCTTTCCAAAATCCAACACGCCATTTCGTTGGTAAAGAAACGAACAGCACCTGGTCCAGACAAGGCAGACCTGAACACCTGAAGAACCTGCCGTCAGTACTCATCAATACACTGGCTCGGCTCTTCACACGCTCCCTGTCTGAATGCAAGGTTCCGTCCCAATGGAAAGCCATCAGGACTGTACTACTGCACAAAAAGGGAGACATCCACGACATTGGCAACTATTGCCCGATCTGCCTATTGTCTGTCATCTACAAGCTGTTCACTTGAGGCATCCTGAATAGGATTGGCAGAACACTAGATGAAGGACAACCATGCGAGCAAACTGGGTTCCACAAAGGATTCAGCATGATTGACCATATCCACACGATAACCAAGCTCATTGAGGTTTCTTGGGAGTTCAAGATGCCGCTTTGTCTAACGTTCATTGATTTAAAGAAGGCCTTTGGTTCTGTGGAGATGGAAGCAGTCTTCGAAGCCCTATCCAAACAGGGTGTTCAAACTCAATACATCAGGATTCTCTGTGAGCTGTATTGAGGATTCACTACCAGGATTTCACCATTCTACAGGGAGGTGATCATTGACGTCAGGAGAGAGGTTCGGCAGAGTGATACCATTTCACCAAAACTCGAGTGCCACCCTCGAGCACGTCATGTGACGACTGGAATGGGAAGGAATGGGAGTGAAGATAGACAGTCGGCAACTATACCACCTCTGCTTCACTGATGACATTGTTCTAATAACACCAAACATCAGCCAAGCGGAACAAATTCTGGTGGACTTTGACTGTGAGTGTGGAAAGTTCAGACTACAACTGAATCTCACGAAGACAATGTTTATGAGAAATGGTCTTGTTCCTGATGTTCCATTTGCTGTCAACGGGACGAACATCTCCAAATGCAACAGTTACATGTACCTAGGTCGAGAAGTCAACATGACGAATGACCTGGCACCTGAGTTGTGCAGGCGGAAGAGAGTGGCTTGGAACGCTTTCAAGAGTGTCAAAGAAATAGCTAAAAGGACAAAGACCTCCGGCTCCGGGAACATCTCTTCGATTCCACTGTTCTTCCTGCATTAACATATGCCTCAGAGACCTGGGCCCTACGAATACAGGATGAGAATGCTATTCGGTTCTCCCAAAGAGGAATCGAAAGAGCTATGCTTGGAGTATCATGCTTCACTCAAATGAGAGTAAGAATCCGGAGTTCCGACCTCCATCGACAGTAAAGAATCAGGGCTGCTGTCTCTTTTGCCAAGGCATCGAAAATCAGATGGGCTGGACACGTAATGAGATTTAGAGACGACCGCTGGATTAGAGCCATTACTGACTGGATTCCACGGGACGTCAAAAGACTGCGTGGCTGCCCACCTACGAGATGGTCAAACTTCTTCATCAAGACCCTGAACCATCAATTTGAGGCTGTTCTTATTCCTAGAATGAGCAGACGCCATTGGGCTTCACTAGCACGTGACAGGGATGGATGGAGACGTTACTGGTGCCCGCTTGAGCAAATTGATGAGTAACGGGATGTCAAGTGATCAAGTGATGTTAAAATATCTATCAAGTTTTTTGACTATTCTATAAGTTTTTTATTAAATTTTCATAAATTCCTTTCAAGCTCAGATTCACAACATCATTAACAGTTTTCGGTATACAGTGTTTCAACACCAATCCCACCAATGTCCAAAGCATACATCCCAGTCCTTTGAGCTATCTCCCCAGATCAAGATTTTAATTTGATTTCCCCCATCTCCCCACCCCTGGCATATTGAGTACTGCAGACCACCTCTCAGGGGCTGTTAACCATTGCTATTTTTTGTACTATGCTGTAAGGGTTTTTTGTTTGGTATTTTTTTCCCCCTCCCTCTCCACACCTGGTTAATCCCAACTCAGGGCTCAGGGGTTGCTTACATTGGTGCTCGGGGACTATGTGGTACCAGGAAAAGCAGGCTCCTACATGCAAATCGCGTATCCTAATCCTTTGAACTATCTCCCAAGACCAAGATTTTAATTTGATTTAATGGACTATTTCCCAGAAAGATTCTTCTCTGACTTATTTTTGGGGCTAGATCTATATTATTCTTTTCTTCAGAGACAGCTTTCAGAATGAGTGCTTTTACATGTAAACATTTGTGTCCATGTGTATAGTTTATTATTAAGGGTGGTTCTTTGAGCTCTGTACTTTTCAAGCAGATTAAAGAAACTTTAACTTTGATTCCCTAGGGTAGAACAAGAGGTAATGTCAAGAATCATCTCTGGGCTCTTTCCACTCCAACAACAGGCCATAACTAACGTCAGTGTTTCAGTCAGTGAGGCAAGTGAACCATTGAATTCTGGCATTGGTAAGTAAATTAGAATAGAAACCTTTTTTAAATTGAAGCATAAAACATAACACTTTCTTGTCATTGTATATTTATAATTCTAGAGATCAAGTAGTCTTCAAAGACAGCTGACTCCTTCTAATATCACCTCCCAGTTCTCTGTGGTAGAGATTACTTCCCTTCACTCTTCCCTTTTACTCTTCTCTATCATTCAGATTATTCTACTACCTCCATCCTTCCCATTGTAAAACTGATATTTTTCATAGTAGTTTGTATTGATCTTTGTTATGGTAGCTATCAGAGTATGCTTTTCTTTGTTTACACATTTATCTTACTGCAAATTATTCAGGATTAAGAAGGTTGAGCACAGAGCCAAGAGGAAGCCCTGAGCACTGCTGGATGTGGCCCAAAACTCAAAATATAAATAAATAAATAAGTAAATTTATTTATTTCTTTTGTGCATAGCCCAGGACTGTCACTGAGATATTTAATAAGAATTGAACTAGTCATTGAGTAGTTCAAAGAGCCTCTCTTTATAGAACCCATGTCATTCTCCTCTTCCTCTAGTCACCTCTTCTTCTCTTCCTTCTCTACTTTCTCCTCCTGCTCTTCATTCTCCTCTTTTTCTACATCTATCCCTTTCCTCTCTTTTTTCTTATCCTTTCCAGTCAGCAGCTGTATTTTGATTATTCTGTGCATTAGCCACACAATTTTTTTTTTTTATTGAATCACCGTGAGCTACACTTAAAAAAGCTTTTATATTTGCATTATAGTCATACAGTGATCAAACACATATCCCTTCACCAGTGTACATTTTCCACCACCAATTCCCCAGTATGCCTCCCACCCCTCCATCCCACCACAACCCCTACCTCTATGCAGACAATTTTCCTCTTATTCTCTCTCTCTACTTATGGGCATTATGGTTTGCAATATAGATAGTGAGAGGCCATTATGTTTGGTCCTTTATCTACTTTTAGCACACATCTCCCATCCCAAGCAATCCCTCCATCCATCATTGACTTAGTGATCCCTTCTCTCTCCCAGCTGCCTTCTGCCCCGGCTCCTAATTAGGCAGCCTTCTAACCTAGCCACACAATTTTGAATTAGGAAAACATTTTCATCATTCTCCAAAGTTCACTCATGTTACTTTGCAGTCAGTTCTTAATTCCCTCCCCTGTTTGTGGGGCCCATCACTGCTAGCCAGGTTTCTACCTCTTTAATTTTGCCTTTTCTAGAATTATATATGTACATGTATATGTATATGCAGTTATATAATCTCATTTCTGCCATGTAGCATAATTATTTGGTAATAATGTTATTGTGCGTAGTAATAATACACCATAGATACTATATTTGTTAATCCACTTACAGTCGATGGCTATTATAAATAAAACTTTGCAATGAATATTTGCAAGCAGGTCTTTATCTTTTTTTATTGAATTACCATGAGATAAAGCATAACAAAACTGTTCATGAATGCATTTCAGACATAGTGTTCCAACACCCGTCCTCCGCCAGTGTAATTCCCAGCACCAGTGTTTCCAGTTTCCCTCCCACCTCTTCAAACCACCCCCCATCCCATCTTCCTCTATGGCAGACACCTCTTTCTCTCTCTTTCTTTTTCTCTCTCTCATTTTAGTCATTATGGTTTGCCACACTCACTCTGCTTTCAACACTCAGTTCTTGTCCAGAGTGATCATTTCCAACTAGTATTGTCATAATGGATCTCCTCTATCTTAACTACCCTCCATCTCCCACACTGTCTCCCACACCATTGACCAACCATTGACTGGTATTCCTGGCCCATTTTCCTTGGCTTTGGATTTTTTTATATTCCACAAATAAATGCAGTCAATCTATATGTGTCTCTCTCCTTCTGACTCATTTCACTCAGTATTATACTCTCCAAGTCTGTCCATATATAGGCAGTTTTCACAACTGCATTTTTCCTAACAGCTGTGTAGTGTTCAGTTGTGTAGATGTGCCATAGTTTCTTTATCCATATATCTGCTCTTGGGCACTCAGGTTATTTCCAGTTTCTGGCTATTGTGAATAGTGCTGCAATGAACACAGAAAGGCGGGACCAGTTGGCATTTTCACCATCAATGAATGAGGGTCCCTTTCTCCCTGCAGCCGTACCAGCACTGGTTATTCTTATTCATTTGGGTGTGTGCCAGTCTCTGTGGCATGAGATGATGTCTCATTGTTGTTTTGATTTGCATCTCCCTGATGATAAGTGATGTAGAGCATTTTTTTCATGTGCCTTTTGGCCATTTGAATTTCTTTGAGGAAGCTTGTGTTTATTTCTTCTTTCCATTTTTTAAATGAGGTTGGGTGTTTTTTCTTGTAAAGTTCTACCAATGCCTTGTATATCTTTGATATTAACCCCTTATCAGATGGGTATTGGGTGAATAGTTTTTCCAGTTCCATGAGCTGTCTTTGTATCTTGGTCACTATTTCAAGGTGCAGAAGCTTCTTAGCTTAATGGAGTGCCATTTGTTAATCTTTGCTTCCACTTGTGCAAGCAGATCTTTAGATACAGCTTTTTTTTTTAAATAAGAAACTCTCAGGGCTGGACAGGTAGTACAGTGGGCAGAGCATTTGCCTTGCATGTGGCTGACCTAGGTTTGATCCCTGAGCACCTCCAGGAGCGACTCTTCTTCTTTTTTTTTTGTTAACTATTTAAAAAATTATTATTTTAAATTAAATCACCATGAGATACATGGTTACAAAGTTGTTCATGATGGATTTCAGTCATACAATGTTCCAACACCCATCCTTTAGCCAATGTACAATTTCCCTCCGTGCCCCCCACCAGCCTGTCTATGGCTGGCACTTTTCTTCTTTCTCTGTCACACACCCTCTCTCTTATTTTGGGCATTATGGTTTCCAGTTCAGGTACTGATATACTTTCATGTATATTCCTTTACCTCCTTTCAGCACTCAGTACTTGGCAGCATGATCATTTCCAACTATCTTTGTCATAGTGGTCCCTTCTCTATCCTTGCTTCCCTTCTGCCCCTCATCCCCACTTCCATCCACTTGTGGCAAGCTTCCAATGGACCAGTTCTCCTGGCCCTTGTTTCTACTGTCCGTGGATATTAGTCACATACTGTGTTTCTTTATATTCCTCAAATGACTGTGATTATTCTATGTCTGTTCCTCTCCTTCTGACTCATTTCACTCAGCATGGTGCTCTCCATGTCCAGGAGTGATTCTTGAGTGCAGAGCCATGAGTAACTAACCTTGAGCATTGCTAGGTATGGAACAAAACCAAAAAAAACAGTAACAAAAATTGCTTAGTGTTTCAAAGTGGCTGTGTATTTTACATACCAACAAGTGAATATGAGAGTTGTGTTGCTCCATATCCTTGCCAGTGTGTAATGTCACTGTGTTTAACTATAGTAATCTTATAAGCATGTAAAGAGAACTCACTTTTAAGGGAATGCCCTGCCACAGAGGCAGGGTGGGATGGGGGGGGTGGGGGTGGGAGGGATATTATCCATGGTGGTGGAAAGTGAGCACTGATGGAGGGATGGGTATTTGATCATTGTATAATCGAAACCCAAGCACAAAAAATTGTAAATCTACAACTGTACTTCATGGTGTTTCACTAATAAAAAGAAAAAAAAAAGATAACATATTAAAGACACTATATCTTTAAAAAAAAAAAGAGAACTCTCTTTTTCATTTGAATTTTCCTAATTGCTAATGATATAGTGTAATTTTTCTTGTGCTTATATGTTGTCTATCTATATACTTTGGTGATGTATCTTTTAAAACCTTTTATCCATTTTAAAATTGGAGTTTTAGTCATTCTGCCATTGAATTGTAAACATTCTTTATTCTGCCTTTTTTTTTTTTTTTTTTTTTGCTTTTTGGATCACACCCGGCAATGCACAGGGATTACTCCTGGCTCTTCACTCAGGAATTACTCCTGGCAGTGCTCGGGGGACCATATAGGATGCTGGGAATCGAACCCTAGTTGGCCGCGTGGAAGGCAGACACCCTACCTGCTGTGCTATCACTCCAGCCCCCAACATTATTTATTCTGAATACAAATTCTTTACTGGATATATGTGTGTGTATATACATATTTACATATATATATATATTTTTTTACCCCCCACATCCAGTTATGCTCAGGGCTTTCTCTTGGTGCTGTGCTCAGGGATTACTCCTAGCGGGCTTGGGACCGTATAAGGTGTTAAGGGTAGAACCAGGATTGACTGCATGCAAGGCAACTGCCCTATGCGCTGTACTACCTTTCTAGACCCTAAATACATGTTTTGTAACTATGTTCTTCTACTCTGTTACCTTGTTTTTTCCTTTAATTTTATGTTTTGAAGATTGAAAGATTAATTTTGGTGAAATTTAATTTGTTGATTATTAACAGCTTGACAATTTTGTGTGCTATTTAAGAAATTTTTCCCCTAACTCAAGATCGCTGAGAATTTTGTTTCCTAATAGAATATAAAGGTTTTAGGATGTCACTTAGATCAGTGGAACAGTTCATAATTCATTTTTAAACATGGTATGAAATAAGGATCAGATTTTTTGTTGGGGGGAGAGGAAAGTAGAGGGGTATATGGAAGGCTAATTGCTTAGGATTATTCCTTAAAAAGTATCTTTCCCCCTATTGACTTGCTTTGACACCTTTATTGAAAATTAGCTGGCTATACATGTGGATCTGTTTTTGGGCTTCCTATCCTGGAACATTGATCTAAAAGGTCTATATTTTTTTAAATTTTTTTTTTTCCTTTTTGGGTCACACCCGGTGATGCACAGGGGTTACTCCTGGCTCTGCACTCAGGAAACACTCCTGGCGGTGCTCAGAGGACCATATGGGATGCTGGGAATCAAAACTGGGTCAGCGGCATGCAAGACAAATGCCCTACCCACTGTGCTATCTGTCCAGCCCTAAAAGGTCTATCTTTTTAAATTTTTTTTTATTTTTTTTAACATTTTCTTTTTTTTTTAATTAGTGAAACACCATGAGGTACAGTTGTAGACTTACAGATTTTTGTGCTTGGGTTTCAGTTATACAATGATCTATCTTTATAACCACCATTTGGGTTGCTCTTTTTATAAATAATTCTAGAAATTGGATACTGTAAATTCTTCAGCTTCTAAAAAGTTCCATTTCAATTCCTTCTGTCCCTGCCCCATTATCTCAAGTCCTTAATTATAATAATCTTCTATTCCTTCTTAGGTTATGTTCTAATTTTTTAAATTCTAGATCCTAGACATATTTACTGCTTTTACTTTTAGTTGTTATTTTGTTTGTTTGTTTTGTTTTCGGGCCACACTTGGTGGTGCTCAGGGCTTATTCATGGCTCTGTGCTCAAGGATCACTCCTAGCAGTGCTTAGGACCATATGTGGTGCTGAGGGTTAAGCTGGGTGAGCGCTATTCAAGGCAAGCAGCTTACCTGCTGTACTGTCACTCTGCCTCCATGGTACAAGTTTTTTTTAATCACTCAATTCTATAGTGATAGGAAGAGGCTAGATAAATAAAATTTTTGTTTGAATGCTCTCCTCCCCTTTTGGTTTAGAGAGGATATTTGTTATGTAAATTATCATCTTACTATCTTTCATAAGTAGTATGCTATCATTTTCATTGTTAATCTTCTGCTTACTCCTTTATACATGTATGTCTAGCTTCGTCTCTGAAATTTTCAGAATTAAGATGTAGATTGCAAACATGTTTCTTGAACAATTCTGTTTTTTTTTTTTTTTGTCTTTAGTAGAAGGAACAAGTGGTGGTGCCCTCCAGCTTTTTGTTGATGCAGGGGTTCCTGTGAATTCAGACATGATTAGCCACTTGGTGAATGAAGCTCTTTCTGAGACCATTGCTGTCATGATGGGGGACAGAGAAGCCAAAAAACAGGCTCCGAGTGCAGCAAATGTGCCTGGGGATGTTTCTGCAAGTCAGACATACTTTCCGGTAGGCATGATTGTCCTTTCATGACTTTGGATAATGGGGGATTTCTGATATATATGGTGAAGTACAGTAAAATAGACACATTTAAGTTGTGTATTATAAGACAATAGTTTATAGTGGAGTATGAATTCTTGTTCTTAAATCCTACAAGGGCGATTAGAGGCCGCCCCAAAAGCCTCTGTCCCTCTCGGAGAGACTGGCAAGCTTCCGAGAGTATTCCACCCGCACGGCAGAGCCTCACAAACTATCCATTGTGTATTCAAAAGTAACACTTTAGCATTTTAATTTAGAAACTTTTATATCTATAGAAAAGTTAAAAGTTTGATATAATAAATATCTTTATATCTATATTTACTAATTGATAAAATTTTGGTACATTTTCTTTATGTTGTATTTAAAAATCACTTGAAAGTTCTCGATATCACTTTACCATGAAAAGCATCTGCCTTCTAAGAGCAAGAAAATTTGTTATATAATCAAAATACCATTATTATATCCCAAAGCTAATTTTGTCATAGCTATGCCAATATTATATAATACAGAATTCATTTAAAATTTTTCCAGTTTTCAAAAAATAATCTTTAGTTTTAAATTTTGGGGGGAGGGGAGGACCACACCCATTGGTGCTAGTAATGGAGTCTGGGGTTCCCACTTAGATTAAAGCATATCCTCTGGTTCTTTGATCCTCTCTTGATGATGTCTGTTGTAGTATTTGTGAATACTATGTTCTTTTTCTGTTGGCTTATAAAATCTAGGGGTAAATTTTTAGTGTATTTCTCTTAAAAATCAAGGCTATGGGACCAGAGGGAGCATAATGGTCTGAGAATGTCCTAGATAAGTGCTGTACCAGCTGAACATATACCTTTGCTCGTGAAATTCCACTTTCGTGGTCATCAGAGTGACACAACCCTCAAAGTTTGATAATGCCCTTGTTGAACAAATCTTGGGTAAACAGAATTTCTTATATGTTTTGGTGGTAGTATAAAATGCAAGATTGTGAAAGGAAATTTGACTACATGTTCAAATAAAAAATGCAGTTAATGGAACTGGGAAGATAGCACAAAGGCCTTGCATATTTGAGGCCCTGAGTTCTTTTGCCCTTTTTGTGGGGTGGCAGATTGGACCCCAACCGAGCTCTGGGGAACCATGGGTGATTGCTCAAGGTTCACTCCTCGTGGTGCTTAGAAAACCATATATGATCCTGGGAATCTAACTGGCATTCGTGTGCAAGGCAAGTACCTAGCCCCAGTACTCTCTCTCCAGCCTAAAGCCCTGAGTTCAAACCTTAGCATTGCATGCCCCATTTGAGGACCACAGTGTAGCCCTAGTGGCCCCCAGCTCTGCTAATAACATTGCATCACCAGGCCTGAGGATCGAACTGTCCGACCTTGTGGGCCAGGTTTTTGCCAGGAGTGACTCCAGCCCTCTGATAATTGATTGTGAGGAACTTTCCCCAGCAAAATGCAGTGAGCTCTTTAACTGAGCAGTCAGACCATGAGAAATTTATTACACAGATCATAATATGTATATGAAGTCCTTAAATCAAGGTTATATTTGATAAGAAAAGGTAGTAGGACAAGGATAGGAAAGAAGACTAATTGTCACTATCATCCTTCTATACATTTTGAGTTTCGAATGATTTGAACACAAAGTGTGTACTTCTTTCTTCTTCAGTACTTTACATCTCTGTATTATCTTACTCCTCCTCCCGTGCTTTGTTTTTTCTTAAACTCCCATCACTTTCACAAGCTCTGTTTTTGTGTGCTAAGTAGCTGATTTTCCATACCATGCCAGGTAAGTTAAAGTGATGCTTTTCCTGTTACCTGGCCTACTTAATCTACCTCTTTGCTCTTCACCTCTGTTTCCTCGTCCTCTCTAATAATAGAAGGGGGCCTAGAGTTCTTGGGATCTGCGTCACTGGCAGAGCTGTTTCTGTTTGTCTGAGCTTCCTCTTGGCTAATCTTGGGACTAATAGCTGGATGTTTGAGAGCCAGGGGTTAGGGCTCTCTCTATCCCTATCTATTTAAATTCTACATACTTTCCCAATGAGAGTATTTTACTGTTTAGAATCCCCCTTTTTTGGTGATTATAAGCAGCATTTCTTTTCTTTTGCTTGTTTTAGGAAAGAGTGTGCACCCCAGTGGCTACCCCACAGCCAACTCCTCCTTGCTCACCATCATCACTGTCTAAGGAACAAGTGTTGATAAAAACTCCGTATTCTTCTCCTCGTGACTCAGATAATGAAATAGTTCTTCCTGTGAAAGAAATACTTGCTGAAAAAGGTAGAAAACTCTTGTTTTTTGGTGTTTGGGCCTCACGCAGTGGTGCTCAGAGCTAGATTATGTACTGTGTTCAGGGATCACTCTTGGCAGGGTTTGAGGACCAGATGAGGTACTGGGGATCAAACTTGAGTCTGCCATTTGCACCCTGTACTTTCATTCCAGCCCCTAGAAAATAGTTACCTAAAACTCAGTTTTACCTTTAGCAATTATTGAACAAGATTCCCTTCATTACAGATTAATATACACTTCCCTGTTGCTTACTCTAAATTTCAATCAAGTTATGTGACTTTGTGTATGAAAGTATTAAAATTGGCCTTTTCAAAATTATTTATTTCTTTTACTTTCCTAAATGAATACAGGAATTTTCCCATTAATGGCTACCCCAAGGATTGTTACTTTTGTTTATATGACTAAATATTAAGAGATCATTGAAATGGAGTCTCTTACAAGCTCTCTTTATATGACAAAAGACTGATTCTTTTTTGTTGTTTACCTTTTTTCTTTATCTAAAAAATCCTTTAGGAAACGATATGCCTGTGGTCACAGTTTTTAATACTCCAGCAATTACCCCCACTACTACACCTCCTCCTGCAGCAGCTCTTACCCCTACGTTGTCAGAAATTTCTGTTGATAAATTAAAGAGGTTAAGCCCAGAGCTTCCAAAGCCATGGAGTGATGGAGACCTACCACTGGAGGAAGAGATCCCTAACTCTTTCCAGGAAGAACTTTCTCCGAGAGCTATGTAAGCAGTGATATATTCATTCTCTTTAGTGTCTAAAAATTTCATTTTAGCTTGACTTATGTGCTCTGTTGAAAGCATCTAAAATGTCAAAAGAAGCTCCAAATCACAAGCAAATTTCTGTTTTAATAAATCTTCAACATATTAATCAAATTCATTTGTACTTTTTTATTTATTTAAAAATTTTTATTTATTATTTGAGTTTTGAGCTACACCCACCTGGGCTGAGTCTTGGCTCTGTGCTCAGGGAGCACTCCTGGCAGGGCCGGGGGACTTGAGCCAGGGTCTACCTCATACAGGTAAGTACCTTGTCCATAGTACTATCTCTCCAACACCAAATGATTTTATTTAAATATTTTTTCCTGGAAAGATTAAAGCATCTCTCAGATTTTCTTGTGGAGGTACACTCGGTGGTGCTTGGGAGACATTCAATGTTGGGAATGGAACCCAGAGCCTTTTTCAGCTATCTGCCTGGCCCTATCATATTATTAAGAAAATAAAAAACAATTTTTCCACAACATGAATCTTGGTTTACTGTTGTAAGTTCACTCTCATATTACCACATATCCCCGCGTAGATTTAATTTTATGGATGATTAGAAATTTCAAGGTGGTCTTGGATTAAAGCATGAAAAACATTTATTATTAACAAACCTGCTTAATTAAAGTAATATAGACAGATTAGCAAAATATTTTACTAAAGTGTAGTACCTTTAAATCTGTTTTAATATTAGAATTTAATACACACCCAATTATCTATAACTATTTTTCCTTTTAGTATTATGTCTGTGGCCAAGGATGAAGAGCCCGAGAGCATGGATCTGCCTGTTCAGCCTCTGCTCCCGAAAACAGTTCCCTTTACACCTGCTGTCCCCAAGTCCCCTTCCCCCATACAGACGCCAAGTTCTGATTCAGCTTCAGTAGAGAGCACTGTAAGCGCTACTGCCACGGAAACAGAAACTCTAGATAAACCCATCTCGGAGGGAGAGGTTTTATTTAACTGTGGTCAAACAGTGGCTCCCAAAAGTGAGTTAACTTTATGTCAATTGATTGCACTGTTTAAATGGTAATTCCTAAGTAATACTTAAGGTAGTTTTCAAATGATAGCATTTATGTTTCAAGTACTTTTATTTGATTATTTTTGGAGAAGGGATGATGTCTCCCAAGTGGTGCTCGGGATACCCAGGGGCTCTTCTTAGTGATTCTTGACCAACTATCCAGTGGTTCAAGACAGGGGCTGAGGATGTAGTCCTGCTGGGTCCTGTGTTGCCGGGGATAACCAGGCCATCCCGCTAGTGTCAGGGGCCTTCAGTGCTATACTGGGGGCAAGGGGAGGGAACTGTGTGCTGGGGATTGAATTAGGGCCAATCTTCAGCCAGGCATGCATCTTAACCCCCATACACTCTTTTCAGCCTCAGGTTTTTTTGTTTCTGTTTTTTTTTTTTTTCTATTAGGGGTTGAAGTCAGGGCTTCATATGTACAAAGCATGTGCTCACCTCTAAGCTACACTTCTGGTTTTAATATTTTTACAAGTGCATAATATAGTAGAAAGAATATATATTCTATTTAAGTTAGCTTTTCTGGACTGTAATCTCAGTCTAGAAAAGCTAAAAAGTTAAATCTCCGTTATAAATTCCACCCTCAAGACATAAGAATCTTAATAGTGTAGGGAATACTCTTAGTTTTGTTTTTATTTTTATGCATATGTGTGTAATATACTTTGCATTAAAAATAGAATCTTCTGTACATATTATTTTGGGGGGAGGGAGTCAAACTTGACCCACTTCTGTCAGGACTTGTGGATCATATGAGGTACTGGGAATTGAACCAGGATTAATCACATGCATGGCAAGTGTCTTACCCATAGTACTATCACTTTGTTCCCTTATGCATTATTTTGTAACCTCTTTTTGTTGAATAATATATGTGTACATTGTTCTATTTGAATACATATAGATCTATTTTATTGTTTCAGTGACTGTAGTCTATTAGAACACTGTTCACTGATAGTATTTTGATTCTTTTCAGTGTTTTGTGCTCTTCACACTGGTCTAGTGGCTATCCTGTGTGTGTGTGTGTGTGTGTGTGTGTGTGTGTGTGTGTGTATATTTAGAATTTCCTTAGAATACATACCTAAAAGCAGAATTACTTAGTCAGGAAGTGTGCCTTTAAACATCTAACCATTACCAGCATTTTCAGAAAAGTTCAAAAAAGGAAAAGTTCATCAGTTTTACATTTTATTTATTTACTTTTGGTTTGGGGACCAGTCCAGGCTGTGCTCAGGGCTTACTCCTCACTCTGTGTCCAAGGATCACTTCAGGTGGGGCTCAGGGGACCATACATGGTGCTCGGGATGAACCTGGGTTGACTACATACAAGGCAAGTCCTTTACCTGCTGTACTGTCTACTGTCTCCTTGGCCCCTCAGTCTTTTTTTCTTTTTTATCAAAATCAGTTTTAGTTAGATTAGAGTTATATAGGATTATTTCTAAGTTTCATAGTTATTTATAATTTCTTTGAATTTTTGACAAGCTGAAGTGAGAAAAATTCTCATCTCATAAAATTTTTGTTAAGTAGTGTCACTAATAAGTGTGTGAGTTACTTTTGAATTTTATTTTATTCTATGATTTTAAATTAATGTTTTATTGTTTTATAGTAAGACTATTAAATTTATATTTCTTTTTTTCTAAACTTTCATAAACTTTCATATTTTAATTTCTAGTTTTAGGAGATGGAGAGCTGTGTCTGACAAACTTAAATGATAGCCTATCCAGTACTCTGCATGATGCCTTTGAAATGGTAAGAGAGTATTGATTTCATATTTATCTGAAAAATACCCTGAATAGGATATTTTTGCCATTGAATAGGAATTTTCTCATATATTTAAGTTCCAAACTGTAGTAAAATATCCATGAGGGGGCATAGAGATAGTACAGTGGGTAGGGTGCTTGTTTTGCACGCAGTTAGCTGATCTGGGTTCAATTCTTGGTAGCACGTTTGGTACCTTGAGCACCACCAGGAGTGATTACTGATCACAAAGCCAGGTATAAGCCCTTAGCACAGCCAGTTGTAGCCCAAGAACCAAGCACTGAGCTAGGAGTAGCCCCCCAAATAACAAAAATGAAAGTAGGTATTCCAGAAAGCACATGCTTTGCATGTGGGAGCTTGGGCTCGATCCCTGGCACCATTTGATTCCTGAACATCAAGCTGAGAAGAGGCCGCACACCACCAGATATGGTCCCAAAGCTAAAACAGGATAAAAAATGAAATGAACCCATGGATACTGACCCTACTTATTCTCTTGTTCTACTGAAGAATAAATTGGCATTTAAATATATTATACATTTTTATACACACACACACATTCACACACATACACACACAAATATCATGCAGAAATAATATGAGAAAATTTCTTTGGAAAAACTATTTAAGCACTTGAAATATTTTCAGTTTTATTTTGTTTTGTTTTGGGGCCACAACCTAGGGGTTCCCAGGACTTGTGACTGTGCTGCACTCAGGGATCATTCCTGGCTGGGCTTGAGGGACTTTATGGGGTACCAGGGATTGAATGCAAGTTCAGCTGTGTGCAAGGCAAGTGCCTATTTGAAGTACTCTTTCTCCAGACCTTCACATACTTTTTTTCCTCCCAGTTTAAAAAAACTTTTACTTTGATTATTAAATTATTTTTTATTGAATCACCATGAATCACAAAATTACAAAGATACTTTTTATTATTATTATTATTTTTAGTGAAACACCATGAGGTACAGTTGTAGATTTACAATTTTTTGTGCTTGGGTTTCGATTATACAATGATCAGATACCCATCCCTCCACCAGTGCCCATTTTCCACCACCGTGGATAATATCCCTCCTACCCCCATCCCTCCCATCTCACCCTGCCTCTGTGGCAGGGCAATCCCTTGTGTTCTCTCACTCCTTTTGGGTGTTGTGGTCTGCAAAAGAGGCTTTGAGTGGCAAACATGTTCAGTCCATAGTCTACTTTCAACATGCATCTCCCCTCCTGGGAGGATCCTCCAACACCCTTTATTTGGTGCTCCCTTCTCTATCTGAGCTGCCCTTTCCCCTAGAATGCCCGGCTGGCCTCTAAGCTATGGAGTAATCCTACTGGTGTTGATCTCAGCTATTCTTGGGTATTAATTTCATATTTTGTTTCTTTATATTCCCCAGATGAATGCAATCTTTCTATGTCTATCCCTCTCTTTCTGACTCATTTCGCTTAGCATGATACTTTCCATGTTGTACCACTTGTATATAAATTTCATGACTTCATCTTTTCTAACAGCTACATAGTACTCCATTGTGTAGATGTACCAAAGTTTCTTTAACCAGTCATCTGTTCTTGGGCATTCAGGTTTCTTCTAGTTTCTGGCTATTGTAAAGAGTGCTGCAATGAACAAACAAGTGCAGATGTCACTTCGACTATACATTTTTGCCTCTCTGGGATATATTCCCAGGAGTGGTATTGCTGGGTCAAATGGGAGCTCAATTTATAATTTTTTGAGAATCGTCCATACTGTTTTCCAGAAAGGCCGAACCAGTCGACATTCCCACCAACAGTGAAAGAGTGTCCCTTTCTCGCCACATACGCGCCAGCATTGGTTGCTTTTGTTCTTTTGGATGTGGGCCAGTCTCTGAGGTGTGAGATGGTATCTCATTGTGGTTTTGATCTGCATCTCCCTGATAATTAATGATGTAGAGCATTTTCTCATGTGCTTTTTTGCCATTTGGATTTTTTCTTTGAGAAAGTTTCTGTTCATTTCATTGCCCCATTTTTTGATGGTGTTGGGTGTTTTCTTCTTGTGGAGTTCAACCAGTATTTTGTATATCCTGGATATCAACCCCTTGTCAGATGTGTGTTCGGCGAATTTTCTTTCCCATTCTGTAGACTGTCTTTGTATTTTGGTTACTGTTTCTTTGGAGGTGCAGAAGCTTCTTAGTTTAAGAAAGTCCCATTTATCTATCTCTGTTTTTACTTGCTCAGCCAGTGGCATGGCATCTTTGAAGATACCATTAGCTTCAGTGTCATGGAGGGTTTTGCCAACTTTGTCTTCAGTGTACCTTATGGTTTCTGGTCTGATGTTGAGGTCTTTAATCCATTTTGATCTTACTTTTGTACATGGTGTTAGGCAGAGTTCTGAGCCCACTTTTTTGCATGTAGCCGTCCAGTGATGCCAGCACAATTTGTTAAAGAAGCTTCCCTTACTCCACTTCACATTACTTGCACCTTTATCAAAGATTAGATGATCATATGATTGAGGGGAGATGTCAGTGTATTCAACCCTATTCCACTGGTCTGCAATTCTGCCTTTGTTCCAGTACCATGCTGTTTTGATTATTACTGCTTTGTAGTACAGTTTGAAGTTAGGGAGGTTGATTCCTCCCATTTTCTTTTTCCCAAGAATTGCTTTAGCTATTCGTGGGGGCTTATTGTTCCATATAAATTTCAGCAGTGTTTGCTCCATTTCTTTGAAGAATGTCATGGGTATCCTTATAGGGATTGCATTGAATTTATACAATGCTTTCGGTAGTGTTGCCATTTTGACAATGTTAAGTCTCCTGACCCATGAACAGGGGATATCTTTCCATTTCCTCATGTCCTCTTTTATTTCCTGAAGTATCGTTTTGTAGTTTTCTTTGTACAGGTCCTTTACTTCCTTAGTTAAGCTGATTCCTAGGTACTTGATTTTCTGGGGAACAATTGTGAACGGGATTGTTTTTTTCAGGTAGCTTTCTTCTCTCTGTTTGCGTATAGGAAAGCCATGGACTTTTGTGTATTGATTTTATAGCCTGAAACTTTACTATACAAGTCTATTGTTTCTAGGAGTTTTTTTGTGGAGGTTATTGGGTTCTCTAAGTATAGTATCTTATCATCTGCGAATAGTGAGAGCTTGATTTCTTCCTCTCCTACCTGAATGCCCTTAATATCTTTTTCTTGCCTAATCGCTATTGCAAGTACTTTCAGTACTATATTGAACAGCAGTGGAGATAGTGGACATCCTTGTCTCGTCCCTGATCTTAGAGGGAAGGCTCTCAGTTTTTCCCCATTGAGGATGATGCTTGCTGTAGGCTACAAAGATACTTTTAATTGAGTTTCAGGCATACGATGTTCCAATGTCCAATACCAGTGTCCACTACCATTCACCAGTATCCCCAATTTCCCTCCTGTCTCCCAACCTGCCTCTGTGGCCCCTTGTCTCTTTTTATAACACTTAATCAGAGAAAGGTAGTTATACTCAATTTTCATCTCCAGAGCCTTCACTAAGCATTGCCATTATTCCTCATTTTGAAAGTTTTGTGATTTGGGCCAGTGAGATAGCTCAGGAGGCTGGAGGCTAGAGCCTCGAGTTTGATTTCCTGGTACTGCACTGTCCCTGACTCCATCAGGAGCACCCCCACACATGGAGCTGGGAGGAGCCCCTAGCAGTATTGGATGTGCCTCACAGCCAGTTGAAATAAAAACAGTATCAGTATATCTCATGGTTATTCAATTTAAAAAGATAGTAAAAAATTTTATATTTTTGACATTTATCTAAAAAGTTTACTCATCCTCTTTTGTACACCGTCTCTCCCATTTTATAATTCCATTTATCCTTCGTATTTCTCCTGGAGGAATTTCCTGTTACTGTTTTCTTTCCTGTTACTATAGGGTATTTCTTATTTTCTAGACTTAGATAAATAGAAGCACTTTATATTTTATTGTCTAGATGTTTTAGCTCAGCATAATTTTGAGATTCATCTATATTATCTATATTATAGTGGAGGGCTTTATTATTTTTTAGGTATTTTTTTATTTAGAGCACTGTGATTTACAAAGTTATTTGTAGTCAAATTCCTCTACCAGTGTTTCCAGATTTCCTCCCATGTCCCCCCTACATTCCCTCCATCCAGCCTGTCAAGGTGCCTTCTTGACAGGCACCTTTCTAAGTTTGATTGTTAAAGTTTGGGTCTGTTGATTTTAGTGTTGTTGACTCTGTGATTTGGATATCTGACTCTGTCATTCCTTAATACCACCTTTGTACTTAATTTTTTGACATGCCCCCCAGCCCCTTGCTTCTCATCTGTCTCTTCTCCTCCTCCCCCTCACTCTTTCTTTCCTTTTCCTTCCTATACTCTCGAGCTGAGGTTAATCTGACCACTCCCCACTTTATAACATTGCATTCCCTCACCCAGTTATTCTAAAAGCCACATGTAACTGATTTCATCCTGTGTTTATCCTTCTCCTTCTAACTTCATTTAACACGATGTCTTCTAGTTCCATCCACGTTGCAGTGAATTACATGATTTCATCATTCCTTACAGCTGCTTAGTATTTCCATTGTGTATATATTACATCTTCATGATCCACTTAATCTCAGCATTCAGGTTGGACATTAGGTTGACTCTAAATCTGAGCAATTGTCCTGAGTGCTGTAGTGAATAATGGTGTCGTATATTCTTTTGGATGGATGTTTTTCTGTCCGGGGGATAGATACCCCAAAGTGGAATTGCTGGGTCATATGGAAATTCAGTTCTGAGTTTACTGAATACCTTCAATACTGTTTTCCATAGAGGTTGAACCAGGCAGCATTCCCAAGAACAGTTGAATAAGGGTTCCTTTTTACACATCCCTGCCAACAGAGATTGTTCTCAGTATTTTTAATATGTGCCTTTCTCACTGGTGTAAGATGATATCTCATTGTCATCTTGATTTGGATATAAGCTTTTTTTTTTTTTAATGTGCCTATTAGCCATCCGTTGCTCTTCCTCAGATAAGTGTCTGTTCATTTCCTCTCCCCATTTTTTGATGAAACTTTTAGATTTTTATTTTTTGGTTGATCTTTGTGAACACTTTATAGATCTTGGATATCAACCTTTTATCTTATAGTGGAGACCTTTTTAAATTTTTTTTCTACCTGTGACCCTTTTCTAACTGAAAATTTTTTATGTGATCCTGGGTATCTATATATGTGAAATAGCATGTACAAATGGAATATTTACTGATACCAAATCATAAGGAGTTTTATTTTAAAGCATATTTTAAAAGTTTTTTTGCATTCTTCACATTCAGTTATATGTCCCCATGTGGGTTTTTGCGCACTTTGAGAAACTAGGCTGCAGTATTTATATCATAGTTCATTCCTTTTTTATTACTAAAGTATAACCTTTTGAGTGGTTTGTTTTTTAAAACCACTGTTGATGGATATTTGGATTTCTTCTACTTTGGCTATTACAAATAGTTTTTGTTAATATTCATGCACAAATCTTTGTTTGAAAAATGTGCTGTATGTTCAAACATATATCTATAGGCAGCTTACCTTGTTTCTGCAGCTTAGAGACTGGAGCAGTACTACATTAAGTAGGGCCTTGCACACAGCTGACCTGGATTCGACCCTGGAACCCCATATGGTCCCCTGAACCTGCAGGGAATAATTCCTGAGTGCAAAGCCAGAAGCAACCCTTTAGCACCACCAGGTGTGGGCCCCAAACAAAACAAGAGCAAAAACTTGGAAAAAAAGAACAACCACATATTTCTGCAGCTTTTTATTGGGGTTGTGGTCCAGGTTGTTGCACTACTACAGATACTTTGCCCTCATTGTGACATTGTAGTAACTGCTTTAATAAGAAGCCAGAATTCAAAACATGATGACACTGTAGAGGACATTCATTAGCCAGACTCTAGGGAGATAGCTCGAAGGACTGGAACATATGCTGTGCACGTGGAAGCTGTGGATGCAATCCCTAGCACTAGGGGTTCAATCTGTGGCGTCTGCATCGATGGTTCTCTGTGCCGGGATTAGCCCCGGACCACCCCTGGTTGTGGGCCCCTCATTTTTATGAATCAAAGTAACAGTTATGTGGGACAGAGTGTGTCATTTTTCTATAATAGATCACCAATTTGAATGTAATCAAATTATTTTGTACTCTCTATAGTTGAGACAAAACATATTTCTAGTATAGTTAGAATTAAATGAACACAGAGTCCATAAAGTGCTAATATGACCACTATAAGGACTACTAAGTTTTATTAATCATAAATTGAGAAAAATGTTCTTGTTTGATAGAATTTTTTTGTTGCATAAAGTGCTAATAAGACTATTAAAAATTGAGAAAATGTTATTGACAAAAATTTTTTTTTTGTTGAACTGACTTTCTGTTTTTCATTTAGGAAGATGATCCTCCCAGTGAGGGACAGGTGATTAGGCCCCATAAGAGGATTCACGCAGATGCAGTTCTTTCTCTTCTTGCCAAACAAAACCAGGAACCGTTAGTCTCACAGCAATCCATCTATCATTCAGAAGTTTCTGAGGTAATTTTTAAGCCTTAATGATAATAAAATAAAGCCATATTTTTAGGCTGTGCTAAGTCTTGGGAAGTTACATGCTAAGATATTTAAGAAGAAGTTTAGAGCGATGAGTGACTGAAGGAAAGATGGGAGATCTGTCAGACCCGCGCAGTTCTGGGTGAGAATGTGTCGAAGGAGTTACTACAGAAATAAAGAGGTGAGAGTTTTAAAATTAAGAGTACAGATTTGAGGAGTTGGAGCTATAGTGCAACCGTTAAGGAACTTGTCTTGCACCTGACCCATGTTTTATCCCCCAACACTCCATGTGGTCCCCCGAGTCCTCCAGGAGTGATCCTTGAGTGTAAAGTGAGATGTAAGCCCTGAACACTGCTGGATGTGCCCCCCACACACCCCCCCTCAAAAAAAGAAGAGAGATTGATTAGGGAAGTAGAGGGCTCCTCCTCCTCCTCCTCCTCCTCCTCCTCCTCCTCCTCCTCCTCCTCCTCCTCTTCCTCCTCCTCTTCCTCCTCCTACTCCTCCTCCTCCTCCTGCTCCTTCTCCTCCTCCTCCTCCTCCTCTTCCTCTTCCTCCTCCTCTTCTTCTTTCTTCTTTCTTCTTCTTCCTCCTCTTCCCCTTCCTTCTTCCCCTTCCTTCTTCCTTCTTCTTCCTTCTTCTTTCTCCTTCCTCCTTCCTCCTCCTCCTCCTCCTCCTCCTCCTCCTCCTCCACTTCCCTCCCACTCCCCCCTTACACCTTTCCCCTTTTTCCTTCCCCCTTCCTCTGTCTTCTTCCTCCTTGTCCTTCCTCCTCCTTCTTTTTTTTTTCTTTACTTATTTTGTGTTGTTGATTGACCATGATTTACAAAGTTGTTGATAATAGTTTCAGGCATTCAGTGTTCCAGCTCCAAACCTACCACCAGCAACAGTATTCCTCTGCCTAACGACCCAAGGTTCTCTTCCTTTACCTATCTGGCAAAAAAAAGTTTTGAAAGAATAATACAGAGGTTTCCTTGGGACCCTACATGTGTGGTTATATACAGTTGGCAGAAAAAAAGTGTCAAGATTTTTTGGGGAAAAAAATCTTCATTTGATTTTTGTTTTAAACAGTTTAAGTAACATGTTTACAGTATTGCTAACGTTTATGGTTTTTCCACCCATACTGTTTGTTTCCTTGTTTTTCTCTATTCCACAGATGAGTAAGAGCATCTGGTATTTGTCCTTCTCCCTCTGATTTATTTTGTTTACCATGATATTCTCTAGTTTCATCCATGTGATAGCAGACTGCATGATTTCATCTTTTCTTATAGCACTGCACTGTCCTCTCGTTGTTCGTCAATTTGCTCGAGCGGGCCCAGTAACGTCTCCATTGTGAGACTTGTTGTTACTGTGTTTGGCATATCGAATATGTTTGCCATACGGGCTAGATACTCTCAGTAGCTTGCCGGGCTCTCCGAGAGGGGTGGAGGAATCGAACCTGGCTGAGCCAGGCCGGCCATGCACAAGGCAAACGCCCTACTGCTGTGCTATTGCTTCAGCCTGGAAGGCAAACACCCTACTGCTGTGCTATTGCTCCAGCCCGGGTAGGAACTTAGTAGAGGAATAAGTTAAGTAGGGCTCATTTTGTGGGATTTTATAGGATAACTTTGCTGCATTTGGATGTGTGTTTGTGTGTGTGTGTTTGTGTGTGTGTGTGTGTTTGTACAAAATATATTTTGATTCTGCTTTGGGGCAGGGATTGGGGTTCGGGGTGGAAACATCTGAAGTATATACATATATAGGCACACACACATACACATGTATACATATACATATACAGAGGATTGAACTTGGGTTGGTGGCATGCAAGGCAAGTGCTTTTTTGTTTGGGTCACACCAGGTGATGCTTAGGTGGTACTCCTGACTCTTTACTCATGAATCATTCCTGACTGCAGGATAACATTGTTTGTCCTTTCTGTCTTGCCACAGGGAGCTTAGGTTTATTGGGTCACACCCATTCACAGTGTGAGGCACTCCTATTTCTTTGTGTTTATCTGTAATCTCTTTCTTTGTGCTCTGCTTCCCCAACCAGTCAATCACCTTTATCTCCTAATCAGAATCTGTTAACTTGTAAATATTGCTCTTCTCTTCTCCTTATGTCCTTTGCATAGTTACTTCAGAGCAATGTCCTTTTTGTATAAACACAGGAAGACAGTTAATGCTATGCTTTTGTAACTTGGGAGTTAATTGACTCTGAATAATATTCACTCCTGGCCATCTGTTTTCTCAGCTTAAGTCTCAGTTTCCCTAACTTCCCAGCACCCCAGAAGCAGTGTCCCAACGAGGGACTGGATGGATTCAGGGAAAGCTGTGAGCTACCCTGGCATAGAAATGGGCCAGGCCAGAGCACCATGATACTTAACTATACATTAAGAGCATGGTCATGGGCAAATTCTGTTATGATCCCAAAAGCAACAAGTAGATTAAGGACCCTGCTAGGGTTAGGAAAGATTAATCTGGCCTGAGCACTGTAGTCTGAGATCTATAGAGAGATGTCCCCAGGAGAGCCACCCTACAAGCTCAATATATCTCTTACTGTGTCCATACAAAATAACTGATATTAAGAATTAAAAAGAAAAGAATTAAGTTAAGATGAATGTTTAAATGATTATAGGACTAAGGAAAGGAGAAAAACCCCTAGGTGATATTTTGCCTTTGAGCCAGATCTCCTCGCTGCAGGTGATTAGGAAAGGCTTTGATAGGTTGATTGTGCTACCTGACCTAGGTGTGGTTGCTACCACCAATGCTGGGAGGTTGGGAAAGATTAGAGAGAGACCAAGGCAGGTAGTGGGAGCTGGGAGAGACAAGCGAGTGAGACAGGAGGAGACCGGAATGAGGAAATTAGTGAGACTGGAACAGGCATGTGAGGTCAATGGAATAAAAGGCAACTGATCTCTAACCAGCCTGGCCCTCGTTTCCTCCTTCGTCACTGATGGCATTGGCCGGCTGGGGTGGGGAAGCTGCGCAAGACCACTAAATGTAGGTGTCAACAGAGAGCCATGTGATTCGTATTCGTTTAGTGATTACACACCTGGCAGTGGGGGAACATGTGGGATGCTGGATATTGAACCTGGGTTGGCCGCCTGCAAGACAAATACCCTATCTGCTGTACTGTTGCTCCGGCCCCACAGCAAGTGTTCTTATCTGACTACTATCTCCCTGGCCCAGCCAGAGTTGCTTTTGCAATGCACAAGGTATTTTTAATCTTAGAACCTGACAATTTGATTAACAGTGATATTTAGTGTAATTTTTTGTATATTTATCAATGTTTTAGTATTGCTTTGACAAGTAAATTGTGCCTTAAAGTCCCTTGCTTAGACATGGTTCCAGCTAGGTGAGAGTACTTGTTTTGGTTGATGACCCCATACTTACGAACTTTGGTTGGGGCAAGGATGTGGTTCAAATGATAGAGCATATGGAGGTGCAAAGCCCTGGGTTCAGTCTCCTGCACCTGCTGTCCTCCCACATACCTCAGGATGGAGCTGTAACGGTGGCCACATACTGCTAGGGGTGACCCCAGGCTCCCAAGCAAGCAAGGAGTACTCCCCAGCCCCCTCCAAAAATCACTCGACAAGTTATACATTCATTATTATAGATTATAGACAACCTAATTTGGAATTGATACGAATTAAAGCTTTGAGTCTAATGCAAAAGTGATAGATAATTATGAGATTTTTTTTTTTAACAAGCTTAGAGGGTAAATAGGGCCACAGTATACTAACGCGTTAAAAAGTTTAGCTGAGTGGTTTTCAGCCTTCTTACACCTGTGGAACCTGTGAAAACAGAAACATTAGAAATAAATATTTTATAAACCGTTAAGACAGAAATAGACATTATTATACATTTCAATATTTTATATATCAGTCTTTATAGTAATGTGGCTAACTGACCTGGCTTAATATGTATTAACTTTCATCACTTTTGGGGGCCAGGGATCCCAAGAGCTCAGTGCTCAGGAGCCTGTGGGGTCTCCTTCTGACAACTCTCAGCCAACCAGGCCAGCAGTTCAGTGCAGGATTCCAAACACACGGTGCCGCCTGGGCCCTGCAGTGTCAGGGATGTCCTGGGCCAATCCGGCAGTACTTGGGCCTCCAAGGCTGTACTCAACAGTGCTTGTGGGGGCACCCTGTGGTGCTGGGGATCAAACCAGGTCAGCTATCAGGCAACCCCTCAGTCCCTTTACCAGCTTTGCCAGCCGCTGGCCATACCATTTTTTGTGGACTGGCAGCACATTTCTACGACTGACTCTAGTCCACAGACCTAGTTGAAAACACTGGCTTTGCAGATATAAATAGTTTATAAAATCATTTATCATGGAGAAGGTGCTGTATATAATGGTAGAATCAGATTACTATATAGACACGAAATATTTCTAGTTTCTAGGGAAATTATTTCTGTAGTTATTCTTAAGTTTTGTTAAATAGTCTCATATTAGTTGTAAAACAATCTTTTTCTTTTAAGGGGCATTGAACAGTTGATATTCCTAAAGAAAATTCATATTTGGAAGATAGAAGTGCATCGAGGAGAATTGAGAACAGGGCAATTTTTAGAAATACTTAAATGCAGAGCCTAAGAAGTTAATTTTATTTTGTAGTGAAATGTTATCAAAGATGTTTCGCTTTGATTTCTTAATGTATTCTAGAAAAATGGTACACACATACCCCCACTTGGTTTAGATTAAACTGCTTGAAATTAAAAAGTGAGAGCTTTCAGATACTGAAATTTTTATTCAGTTCTTGATTAGTATACTCATTAACTAGAATATTTTCAAGACTAAAAATGTGCTAGTTGCTGAAAGTAGACTATAGACCAAACATGATTGCCACTCAATGACTCTCTTGCAAACCACAGGACCCAAGAGAGAGAGAGAGAGAGAGAGAGAGAGAGAGAGAGAGAGAGAGAGAGAGAGAGAGAGAGAGAACAAAATGGAATGCCCTGCCACAGAGGCAGGGTGGGATGGGGTGGATGGTGGTTGGGAGGGATGCTGGGACCCGTGGTGGTGGAGGATGGGCGCTGGTGGAGTATGGGCGCTGGTGGAGGGATGGGTACTTGATCAATGTATAACTGAAACCCAAGCACAAAAATTTGTAAGTCTATAACTGTACCTCATGGTGTTTCACTAATTTAAAAAAATGTGCTTGTAACAAGGATATATAAAAAGAAAAAATGTTGTTTTTAGTCTTTTTTTCATTTCACATGTTTGGTAAAAATTTATACTTTTGTGTGTGTATGTGTGTGTGTGTGTGAGGGTGTGTTTTTGGCCAACCTGCAGTGCCCAGGAATTACTCCTAGAGGTGCTTGGGGAACCATATTGACTGCCAGGAATCAAACCTGGGTCAGTTGCATACAAGACAGGTGCCTTGCCTGTGTTACTATCACTTTAGTCCCACATTTGTCCTTTTTGTATATTTTTTCTTTCATAAATGTAGTCTTCTAGTAATGAATTTATAAATGTGATTTTTTTCATTAAACAATGTTCATTTATTTAATTTTGGTCTTTGGGCCACACCTGACAATGTTCAGGGGTTACTTCTTGCTCAACACTCAGAAATTACTCTTGGCAGTGCTCAGTGGACCATATGCGATGCCAGAGATTAAACCAAGGTCGTATACATGCCAGGCAAGTGCCCTGCTCACTGAACTATCTTACCAGCCCCATTTACCTTTTTTTTTTAAAAAAAACTATTTTATTTTTGATAAAGTTACAAATTTATTACATTTAACACCAATCCCACCACCATTACACCTTCCTACCATCATTATTTCAAATTTTCCCAATACCACCCAAGCCTGCCCCAAAGGCAGATCCTAAATAATTTATTTTGTATTGCTTATTATGAATAATCCACTAAAATTATCATAAAAGTTTCCTTAGAGGAAAGTATATGAAGAGCGTTGTATATCTCACCCTGGAGACATTAAACCCTTGTGTTCTTGATCAGTGGTGTTGAGTATGGGATGTCACCACAGGAATTCTAAACTTTTAAATAGGGTGATACAGCTGGAGTTAAATTTTTTTTTCCCTTTTTGGGTCACACCTGGCTATGCACAGGGGTTACTCCTGGCTCTGCACTCAGGAATTTTCCCTGGCAGTGCTCAGGGGACAATATGGGATGCTGGGAATTGAACCCAGGTTGGCCATGTGCAAGGCAAACGCCCTTCCCTCTGTGCCATTACCCTAGCCCTGCACTTAAATTTTTAACTGGATGATGACTTTGGGGTCTTGGGGCATCTCTGCAGCTTGTTGCTCTTTTCTGAGATTGATTTGTGAGTCTCTGGATCATGGCCTTTAATGAACTTATATGGTGCTAGAGGCAGTTCATGAGTGTGATTGCAAGGCTCCAGAAGAAGAAGGAGATGGAGAGAGATTGCCCATTCCTGACCTTGTGAGAGCCTGGAGATATCAGTTAGAAGACAAAAAACCTGAGTTTTTCAGGAAGTTTATTCTCACACATGCAGCTCATCCCAAGTGTGTAAAGAGTAGATGTGAATATGACAGCAATAGGGTTCTGGTAGTTTTTGGCTGCCGGGCTCTGTTGGGATGGGTGGTGGGACTCACCTGGCCCCCTCTGGGGTGCCCTGGATGAGACTCAGCCTGGAACAGTGTCTGGAGGCATCTTTGTAGTTTGTTGCTCTCTTCCGAGATTTATTTGAAAATCTCTGGATCATGGCCGTTAATGAGCATATATGGTGCTAGAAGCAGTTTGTGTCTAGTCCCATTTTCATTGATTTTTGTTGTTTTGTGGTAATATGGAATTAGCTTCACAACTCTTTAATTGTTGCCACTCTTAACAAAATTGTAATTATTCCCACAGGCTAATCCTTAGGCTATTTAGGGTCATTCTTAAGGTTAATTCTTTATGCTAATAAGGTTATAGTTTAACTATAAAGTTAAGCTTTATAATTGCTGAGATATAAAGTTTACATTAACAATTTTAGCCAATTATCAGAGATAAACTTTCTGTTCAATTTTTTATTTATTTATTTTATTTGGTTTGGTTTTGGTTCACACCCAGCTGTACCCAGGGCTTAGTCCTGTTCTGTGCTTCAAGATCCCTCCTACTGGGGTAAATCAGAGAGGGGTGTGTTAGTCTGGTGTCCGCCTAAGCAGAGCCCCCCGGCAGCCTCTTACTTCCACAATCCAAAATCACTGCCATACCCCCGACCCAACTCCACCATCTCAGGACAGACCTCACCAAGATACTATCTGCTGAAAATTCGGGTATGCCGGTTTTGTGACTGAAATCTCCAGGCTTTCTCAGGGTTGGGATGGGCTACCTCCCCCCACCTCCCTGAAATTCCAGAAACCTAGGCAGTCACATCCACACTCTAAAGCAGCTACCCAATTGGAAAGCTACACCTGCCTTACCGTCCTGATAAAAATACCAAATGCCCTGAACAAACACCATGACCTCTTAGCACCTGTATTGCAAACCATAATACACAAAAGGAAAAGGAGAGAAAGAGCAAGAAGGAAAGTGCCTCCCATAGAGGGAGGCTGGGGGGAGGGGGTGGGAGGTTGGGGGGTGGTGGTAGGGAAACGAGGGATGTTGGTGGTGGGAGGTGTGTACTGGTGGATGGATGGGTGCTGGATCGTTGTATGACTGAAACCCAATTTTAAACAGCTTTGTAATGGTCTATCTCATGGATATTCAGTTTAAAATTTTTAAAGAGAAAGTAATGTAGAGTTCATGCCCAATTCAATCAGCTTAATCAATGGCTGAATAAATAGCAGTACTGCTCCTACATTTAAAAAAAACAAAGGTCACTCCTGGTGTACTGGGGGGACTATATGGGGTGCTGGAGACTAAACTTAGGTCAGCCATATGCAAGGCAAGTACCTTTCCTCATGTGCTATTGCTCTGGCCCATTCTATTTTAATTTTAAGCTGTATGAACATGGATACATTTAGTATTAAATAAGAATTTTTTTCTTATGTGCTTTATTGCCATCTAATATGAAGGTTGGTAAATAATATTTAACTTCATAAAAATGATGGTGTTAAAGGCAAAGCTTACCACAAGATGGCTTAACTTTTCTAACTTGTCTTTCGTGGCATGTGTAGCATAACCCCTTTCTAAAACACATTTCAAACATTGACATAGTTTGGATCATGGCAAATGTTTGGCCAAAATGTTTGGGAAATATTTTTTTTATTATTAACTCAGTTTCAATGTAATGTTTTAAATAATTATTTCTGCTGTTTTACAGGACCTGGAAAACAGTGTGGGTGAACTTAGTGAAGGGCAAAGGCCCAGACTCTCAGCAGCAGTAGAGAATATCTTACTGGAATGTTCCACCTTTCCGCAGAAGTTTGTCACTAAGACAGAATCTTTGGATCAGAAATGTGCTCCTAAGCCATTATCTCAACAATATGACACGGTGACAGGTATACATACACGGAAGCATTGCTTCTTGGTCTGTCTTATATGAGAATATTTGAATTTGAATTCCATTGTACTATTTTTTTCTGTGCTGAATACTTTGTTTTTTTTTGTTTGTTTCTCTGTGTGTGTGTGTGTAGTGTTGGATTAAACCTAGGACTTTATGCATTGCATGCAAAATACAGTACTTCTGAGTTTATCTTTGGTTTCTCTGTGTTTGTCTTAAAATTGATAGTATATTTTCTAATTTGAATTGGAAAAAACCTTTTTTCTCAAACAGGTTTATAATATTGATTAACCAAATGTCCTTTAGCTAAAAGTATGATTTTTATATATATACATATATATTTATATATATACACATATATTTATACATATGTACTTAGAGCAGTATTTTCCTAAATGTGATTTCATGTATCAATCTTGATACACAAACAACTCTATGGTACATGAGATAATTTTGGTATTTTGCATATGGACATTTAAAATTTTAATGCAGATGTATTTACTTTTATACATTCTGGAAAATTTCACTAGGATGTTAGAACTGTGGCATAATGTGTCCTTTTCAGGACAATATTATCATAGATCACGATCATGATCACGATCATCCTGTTGTTGTCAATTGCCTCGAGCAGGCACTAGTAACGTCTCCTTTGTCCTAGCCCTGAGATTTTAAAGTGCCATATTCAAAGCTCTTTCAGGGTTAGGAGAATGAGACCCATCATTGTTACTGGTATTTGGCATATTGGGTACACCACGGGGAGTTTGCCAGACTCTGCCGTGTGGGCAGGTTACATTCGGTAGCCTGCCAGGTTGTCCAAAGTAAGAATGAGATAATAAGATGTTGCGTGGTGGGAGCTGGGTTTTGTAGTCTTTGGGTCTTGGCCATTGATGGGATTACACTGCGCCAGGGAGTCAGTTGGTGGGTGTGACCCCTGCCTACAGGAGGATGGAGGATCTGGGTGGAGGATGCTCAGCTCTGCTCGGGGTGGGTAGGGAAACTCAACCTGCCCCCCTCCAAGGGGCCCCAGTGAGGACAGCCAGGTGCGGGGGCAGAATTATCATAGATAATTCTGTAGAAATTAACTCTATTGTATGAATTTCTGACAGTATTTGGTACATATAGAACTACTTTAGAATTTCATTAATGAAACTCCTAATGTAAGTAATAGAGTAGAGGATAACCATTGCTATCATATATAGTTGATTCTTGTTTTCTGTGGTAGTTCTGTTCTATAGAGTGACCAGGAACACTGAATTAGCAAAAACTGAACAACTGTCACAAGGGAAATATCATGCTTGGTTTCTACAAGAGTCTCATCGTAACATTTTTGTTGAGTGGTTATATATTTTATGTGTGTTTTTATTTCTCTGCCCCTCTTCTGCACGGCAAAGCCTGGCAAGCTGCCCGTGATGTATTCGATATGCCAAACACAGTAACAAGTCTCACAATGGAGACGTCACTGGGCCCGCTCGAGCAAATCAATGAACAACAGGAGGACAATGGGCAGTGGGCCTTTATTGTCATCTTTTTCTATTCATTAACATTGAACTCAGACATTAATAGTGTAAGTGATGGGGCTGGAGTGATAGCACAGCAGATAGGGCATTTGCCTTGCACATGGCTGATCCAGGTTTGAGTCCCAGCATCCCATATGGTCCCCTGAGCACCGCCAGGGGTAATTCCTGAGTGCAGAGCAGGAGTAACCTCTGAGCATCACCGGATGTGACCTCCCCCCAAAAAATAGTGTAAATGTTAACTGAGTATAGATTATCTAATACCTCTCACAGGGTGAGAGACTGTCTGAGTTCATCATGTCAACCAAGACCATTCATGGTAACTCACAGTTCCAGAAGGCCGAATCTAAACGTTGGACATGGGAGTTTCCCAGTGGATGGTTCCACAACGAAATTGACCACATCATATTCAATCGACGGTTTTGCCTGATGGATGTCGCTGTTGTCCCAAAATTCCAAATGGGATCGGACCACCGTCTCCTTCGTGCAAAATTCTACTTCACAGAGAGGGGAGAAAGGGCTGCAAAATTTAAGAAGAGAACTCCCAGAACAACAATCAACTGGGAAATCTTTGGCACTATTGCTGCAACATGTGAAGATGCCGTCGCTGACAACATTGACGAGGAATACGATCGACTGGTTCATCTCCAGGATTGTGTGAGGAATGCCAAGAGAGAGATAACCACAAATAAATGCCTGTCTTTGAAAACTCTTGAGCTTATTTGCAAACGTGACTTGGCGCAAGCCTCAGGCAACCACAAGCAAACATCTGAGCTTGCAAAACAGTGCAGAGATAAAGGAAGACCTCAAAGAGAGAAGAGCAGCAGTGCTGGTAGATATGACAGAAGCCGGGAAAAGTATCCGCAATGCCCGCCTGTCCTTTGCCAACTACAAGACCAAGAATGACTGCCCTCCGATGTCCTGATGGATCTATCACATCTTCCAGAAGAGCAATGGAGAAGATGATCCATGACTTCCACTCTGATCTCTTTGATAGCCACGTCTACCTGCCCACATACCAAATTCTACAGGATGGATATGTCATTCCCAATGTTCTCCCTTCTGAAATCCGACACACCATTTCATTGGTAAAGAAGCAAAGAGCACCTGGCCCAAAGACAGACCCAAATACCTGAAGAATCTGCCGTCAGTACTCATCAATACACTGGCTCGTCTCTTCACATGCTGCCTGTCTGAATGCAAGATCCTGTCCCAATGGAAAACCAGCAGGACTGTACTACTGTACAAGAAGGGAGACATCCATGACATTGGCAACTATCGCCCGATCTGCCTATTGTCTGTCATCTACAAGCTGTTCACTCGAGTCATCCTGAATAGGATTGGCAGAACACTAGATGAAGGACAACCATGTGAGCAAGCCGGGTTCCGCAAAGGATTCAGCAAGATTGACCATATCCACATGATAACCAAGCTCATTGATATTTCTTTGGAATTCAAGATGCCGCTCTCTCTAACGTTCATTGATTTAAAGAAGGCCTTTGATTCTGTTGAGATGGAAGCAGTCATCAAAGCCGTAGCCAAACAAGGCGTTCAAACTCAGTACATCAGGATCCTTCGTGAGCTCTATTATGGATTCACTACCGGAATCTCACCATTCTACATAGAAGTGATCATCCATGTCAAGAGAGGGATTCAGCAGGGTGATACCATGTCACTGAAACTTTTCAGTGCCACCCTCGAGAATATCATGGGATGACTGGAATGAGAAGGAATGGGAGTGAAGATAGACGGTCGGCAACTATACCACCTCTGCTTCGCTGAAGACATTGATCTAATAACACCAAACATTAGCCAAGTGGCACCAGTGCTGGCCAACTTCGACCATGAGTGTGGAAAGGTCGGACTACAGCTGAATCTCACGAAGACAATGTTTATGAGAAATGGTCTCATTCCTGACGTTCCATTCGCTTTCAAAGGAACGAACATTTCCGAATGCAACAGTTATGTGTACCTAGGTCGAGAAGTCAACATGATGAATAACCTGGTACTTGAGTAGCACAGGAAGAAGAGAGCAGCTTGGAATGCCTTCAAGAGCATCAAAGAAGTAGCCAAGAGGACGAAGAACCTCCAGTTCCGGGCATATCTCTTCGATTCCACTGTTCTTCCTGCATTAACATACGCCTCAGAGACCTGGGCCCTACGAAAACAGGATGAGAACACTATTTGGGTCTCCCAAAGAGGAATCGAAAGAGCTATGCTTGGAGTATGACACTTCACTCAAATGAGAGAAAGAATCCAGAGTTCCGACCTCCATCGACGATCAAGAATTAGGGACGCTGTCTTGTTTGCTAAGGTGTCAAAAATCAGATGGGCTGAACAAGTAATGAGATTTGGAGACGACCACTGGACTAGAGCCGTTACCAACTGGATCCCACAGGACATCAAAAGACTGTGTGACTGCCCACCTACGAGATGGTCAGACTTCTTCATCAAGACCCTGAACGATCAATTTGAGGCTGTTCGTGTTCCTAGAACGAGCAGACGCCATTGGGCCACACTAGCACGCGACAGGGACGAATGGAGACATTGCTGGCGTTCGTGGAGCAAATCTATGAGTAACATGATGTCAAGTGATCAAGTAATCTAAATATTTTATATTCTCTTAAGTCAGCAGGTTTCAAGATGGCATAAAATGTGACTTATATTCACATACAGCTGATTGAGCAGTTTAAGGGAGCTGACACTAGATGGCGCTCACAGATCATATGAGAGTTGCCCAGTACTGGAGAATAGTCAGGAATTTGTTAAATTATCCTGTTTAGATCCTAATTCCTCCAGAATTAGGAAGAATTAACTAGAGTACAGTGAATTTCAAACTTCAAACACACTATAGATATTTGTTTCATTTAATTGAAAAAAATGGACAAGGTAGCATAAGTTTGAGCTTATTGTTTATACAATTTAACAGACTTTGGGTTTTCAGAATTTCGCTTTTGTGCCACACCGTCTGTGCTTAGGATTTACTCCTAGCTCTGAGCTCAGGGATCATACTCACAGGACTTGGAGGTCATGTATAGTGCCAGGGATCGAACCTGGGTCACCCACATTCAAGCCAAGTGCCCTACCTGTTGTACAAATCTCTCTGGCCCCAGAGTTGTCAGAATTTTGAAAATAAACTTGTACTGCAGATTTGTGTATCTTTAGGAAGGTACCTAATCTCCCTGAGCTCAATTTTCTTCATCTACCAAATAGAGAATAATATTTGCTGTGGTTGCTATATACTGCTATAGAACGAACTGTTTCAAAGTGTAGAGGTTGAAAAAGGGCAAGCGTTTATCCTCTTACTTTGCTATTAAATTCATAAATGGAAGTGGCTTAGTTGGGTGGTCTCGGGTTCTCTTTATGAGGTAGTCAAGCTGTTGGCTACAGCTGAGGTCATCTTAGGCTTCAGCTGGGCTTGAAGGATCTGCTTTCCAAGTCCGCTCATGTCTACACTAGCCAGAGGCCTCAGATCTTGGCTATG